TCCTGGGCAATAGGATTCCAATTTGGGTTGATGTTTTATATACCCAACAAGCCAAAGACAACACCAAATGCCTCAGAATCAGAAGCAAACTCAATCATGGTGTGATGCCCAGAGAGTTTCTTCAAGGGCCCGCTTTCCGGTTCATTTTTTCCATTCAAAACATGCATTCTGAACAGTTCCGGCCAGGCTGCAATGAAAGCCAAGAGAACACACATATGTGATAGGAAATCAATTAGCCCCTGGTAAACCTTTACAAAAAACGATGGAAAGATCCACCATGCTATTAAATGGGTAGTTATCCACTATTTCGACTGGGCCATTTTCAATAGCTATGTAAACGTTTACCAGAGGGTATCATGAGTTTTGGGATGTTGTGAGTTGTGAACATAGGAATTTCAACGCTGCCACATTCTCAGCCATGTCAACTTGAGGTGTCCCAAGCTTTGCTTGCAAGGTTCTTGTAGTTGGTAGGACATGTATTGGCCATGCGGGATGACGTGTTTGAATTCACATTGTATAAACGCTGGGATGATTACTAGCTCCTTATAGAAAAGTAACATCCTACTAAATTAGTGGTAAATTGGTAAATGACTGTTCCATCCTTTTGGATATTAGATGATATGAGTATATAAGAAATAAATGCCAAAAGATACAAAACGGAAGATCAGTAAGCTATCGGTCCAGCTGCTGTGGGCCGACCGGGTACTCATTGGAATCATCCCAGTTGTGCTTTTGAAAAGTGCCGTATGTTCGATGGGCTATGATGGATTTTGCAAAGCATGGAATTTGGGGTTTCACATGTTGGAGAAATATGGCAATGATTTGCAATGATAGGGATATATATATATGTACCTCGATAGATAGATATATCGATGAAACCAGCCATAATAGGAAAATGGCACAACATACATGCCATGGTCAAGTTATATACATCGCTTCTTTTCTTATAAAAGGGGAGAATCGGTCTCCATTCACAGGGGTTAATCATTGTTATATAATCTGTAATGATGGTGGGATGACCATGAGCCCTCAATTCCTCAATCTCATGGAGCTTCTTCAAATGGTGCCTGGAATGGAAACACATTGCAAGCTCATTGGAATGATGGTAAAAGTATAGGAGAATCCTCCCCATTTGAGAAGACGCACGCCTTATTTTCACGCCCAGAACCATGATGAAAATCCAGAACAAAGATGAAGAAATGAGGTTGCGATCCAAGAATCCCACAATTCATCCCTTGTGAGGCTTCTTGGCCGCTGGTCTTTGCATAGCCGTGCTCGGTGACTTGCTGAGCGGAGGTTCTGTTCGGTGTGTCTCACTCGATCGGACTCCACTAGGTCAGAATTGACATGGATCCGGACAGAGGAAAGATGAAGAAAATCGTCTTGCAAGCTCCAAATTCACTGGCTTTAAGTTGAATCAATAATTGTTTTTCCATAGGTTTTTCAATCACATTGCGGTCCCAACCATCGCAGTTCAACCGTTCAACCTCCGACAATTGCCAAGGTTTGAGGCCTGCATTCATTGAGGCTGGTTTCGAAGGGTTGAGGAAACTATATGTACGGAAATGTGGATGCTGTATTTCCAAGTTCTGATGAAATAACTGACTTCATATGATGGTCACATCATGTGCATGATACTCTTCGCAGAACCATGTTGCACTGTTGTATCAACGTTGGTAAGACATGTTTCAAGTAAAGCTGTCCACAGGTCTGGAATCAGATTCCACATGATTTTTGAAAATAGGGTATCCCGAAATCCATGGGATTTAGCAGTTTCCCATGGAAAGCCATGGGCAGTTTGGAAGTCCCCAGTTTCACAGCCATCACTCCATCACTTGCTCCAAGCTGCAGACTTCTCGAAGAGAACTAGTGGCATCTGTGGGGGCTCCCCAAGTGGACGAGAACAACTGACCCTCAGAGTAGCTTGTTTGTTTTGGGGGTTAGTATAAATATATCAAGTAATATGTATCTTTAAAATTCTATAAATACATACTATTTGGTATCATATGATCATTATAAAAATGTACAGAGTACGCACATGTATATATATATATATATATTATATGAATGTATTTATTAATTATTATCATTATGTATTCTAATCGCTTTGGCCGTGAAGTAGACACTCCTTCCTCTAGTGAGCCCCGGTGCCCGGTTCTTGGTTTTTCTGTTTCCCGTTGCCTGGCTGTGGGTTCACGGGTGCTGGTTCTTGGTTCTTGACGCTGCCTTCGTCCCGGGTTCTTGGTCCTTGGTTCTTGGTTCCTGGTTCTTGGTTCTTGCTTTTCGCTTTGTTCCTGGTTCATGGTTCTTGGTTTGCGGTCCCTGGTTCTTGGTTCCGGGTTCCTGGTTCTTGGTTCTTGCTGCTGGCTTCGTTCCTGGTTCATGGTTCTTGGCTCTTGGTTTGTAGTTCCGGGTTATTTCTTTGTTCCCGGTCCTAGGTCCTTGGTTCGTGGTTCGTGGTTCCTCGTCCTGGACGAAAGCAGAGATCACTTCCACGCACACGCGCAAGGCGATAACGGCTGCCATTGATGTGCATCGATAGCAAAAGTGACGCGTGACTTTGCATGTAAGCCGAACAGCACGTCAGACTTGAGATTTCCCCAACCTAGTGTGTGGCGTGGTTGCGGTATCGCGCATGTTACTGGAGAGAACTTTCCTGGGTCATAGACATAAATCTATTTTATCTATCTATCTACCTATCTATCTATCCATCGATCCATCGATCCATCTATCCATCTATCCATCTGTCCATCTATCCATCTATCCATCTATCCATCTATCCATGTTTCCATCTATCCATCTATCTATCTATCTATTTATCTATCTATCCATTTATCCATCTATATCCATCTATATCCATCTATCCATCTATCCATCTATCCATCTATCCATCTTTCTACCTATCTATCTATCTATCCATCCATCTATCTATCTATCTATCTATCCATCTATCTATCGATCTATTTATCTATCGATCTATCTATCTACCTATCTATCTATCTTTCTATCTTTCTATCTTTCTATCCATCCATCGATCTATCGATCTATCGTTCTATCGATCTATCTATCTATCGATCTGCCTATCTATCTATCTATCTATCTATCTATCCATCCTTCTATCTATCTATCTATCTGTCTGTCTATCTATCTATGTATCTATCTATCTATCTATCTATCTTAATAATAGATATACATATATATATATACACACATCAGTTTTTAGTGGCCTGCATGCGTGTATATTCTATCAAGATAGTTGCATCCCTTTTCTTGCTTCACAAGTTGAGGTACTGGATTGGAAAACGTTGTATGATTCCAACCTGTCCTCGTTTGCGCTTAACAATGCTTGGCCATAGTGCTGTATAGTATATGCTTCGCGGCTGTGGGCTGCAAATTGTGAATGCCTAACATGACCCGACACAATGCAGCAGCGCAGTACGACAACTCAGAATGTAGCAAAACATTGGTATAATGAGGATGTTACTGGCAGGACTTAGCTGGCACACGCATTGAAAGAATGTATCTATTACTGCCAGACCACATGTCCTGTTGCTCGTGGGGTAAGGAAAGAGAGGTAACCCTAGACGTGTGTTTTGGATGCATAACCTGGAAGTTTGTGACCAATGTGCTGTAAATTTATGATCACGGTGACAATCGTTCGTCGAACAAATTGATTTATGCCCAAAGTGATGGAGATTTGTAACTCTGATTTATGGCCAAAGTGGTTGTTTTTTTTGCCTGAAGCGATCATCGGTGGTCATGGGATGATTTAGGACTAAAGTGATGGAAATTTATGGCCAAAGTGATCTCCCTGCCTTATACAGTACTGGTACCCATCTTTGTGGTTCAAAGAGGCGTACCAATGGACCCAATTTACGAGTGAGATGACCTTCCAGTTTCCGAAGATCATCCAGGTTCAAATGGTCAGTTTTCCGTAGCATTTCATGGCCGCTTGATGGGTTGAAACGAAATTTAACGTAGGAAATCAACCCATAAACGGTTATCAAATAGGACACTAGATCTAACATAGGAAAATACATTTATGGCCAAAATGGCTACATTAAATCGGAAATCATCTTCCAAACCATATCCTATCAAATATCCCATCAAAGATTCCCTATTAGTTAAATCCTCAATTTGTGATGGTTAAACCTTCACTTCTCACCATGTGTTTTTCTATGTTTCATGTATGATATGGTATGTAAAACCGAAGCCATTTGGAGGTGTTCTAAAATGAGGTTACCCCCAAACCATCCAGTCATTAGACCATTTCAGTATTGAAACCTGTGGTGACTTGGACCTCAGGCCCTGCTGGTGGGCGGCCTCGGAGTCCCCAAAGGTCAGCGGCCAAGGGGGCAGGTCCAGAGTTAACTGTTGGATTTATGGGGGATACAACGAATTTGTTAAAGGAGGTTAAAGGGGATTATAAACAAACATAACTGGGCGGGCACCACCCTGTACTCAAATTTGGGATGTTCTTAGTAATGATATATGTTTTTTTTTGGTAGGAACATCACATAGTACTTAGTTGACACAATTATCCAGGTTTTCTCTCTAGAGATGGTTTTTCATCATCCTAATCTAAATGTCGGGACGTTGCCACCAGAATCGGTTTTGGATATGTTTTTAACCAGCTCAAAGTTCGGGTTTAGCATTGTTTAACCAACAACAGCTGGGGAAATCTGTTGACCAATCAAAAGCTGGGGGGTTTTGCGGACGCAGGAACCCCCAACAGCCGCAACGATGCTTCATTTGAGGTGGGTTTAGGTCTGTGAGAGTGTACTATGGGAATAAACATGGCAAAAAATCAAAGAATTACTTCATAGGTTGGGATTAAAAACCTAAAGTTGGGATCATATGAACCCCACATAATGGATATAATATATATATATATTATGTAACGTAACCACTGCTTGCACCCCCAAGTACTAGAGTAGTACTAGCTGGTTTGTTTACTGTTTATTTTCATCCCCAACGAGCGACGGTCTGACCATGGGACCATGCGATGGGACCGAGGTGCCCATGCCGACATGATGCTGGCGGGCAAGAATCGAGTGACCTGAAGCAGTTTATTGTGATGTTTTTTAGTGTTGTGAGTTACCCTCTGGTAATTTAACATAGCTATTGAAAATGGCCATTTATAGTGGAATTACCAATTGAAAATTGTGATTTTCCATAGTTATGTTAGTTTACCAGAGGGCATATACTGATTGGTGGTTTCAAACATTTTTTCCATATTATATATGGGACAATCCTTCCCATTGACTTTCATATTTTTCAAAGGGGTTGAAACCACCAACCAGTACAGTAATTTGCCCAAATGCATATTATCCATTATTATCCAACGTCTGGGTTTCTGCCCGATGCATCCCTATTGGTATGTCATATATCCTATCTTGGGGATGTTTTTTTGCATCCATCCTATGTGTTTAAGTAGATCCATCCTGGTGCAATCTTTGGGGTGTGTGTCATTGTTCTGTTTCAATAGTGTGCCCCCTTTGAAAACTCTCAGCCATTGCCCCTCGAAAAAAGATGCTGTGTCTTTGAAAACTCTTTTTGGAGATGATCAGTTTCTGGGCTTCATGCTGAACTTTTTTGCCTTGGTAAAACTGCCGGTGTAGATTTGATGCTAGATATTTACCATCCTCCAAATCAAGTCTAGGTAAATCTTGAGCGTGACAGCTTGTTGATGGCTGACTCGCCATATTGTGCGTCTTGACCAGTGTGGCTTTCGCAGCACACAGATGTGCAGGTTTTCACCCAGATAGCAACTGATGCACTCGCTGTGTATTGAGAGTAGCATCCTTTCACGATGTACCCATCGGTCATGTTTTGTTGACATTCCTCACAGCCAAGACATAGCAATACCAGATCAACCGATCTTGCAACAAAACGGGGCATCCCAACTTCACTGTCCTGTTAAAGTTTGGCCGCCGTTCCCTACTAAATGGGGAGCCAAGCAGCTCCTGGTCAATCAGACATCAGTTACTGTATGTGATAATGATTGTTGGTTGAATATCCCATTAAATCCTATTAAATCCATATCCTATAAAAGTTCCCATTCGAACTCAGAAATCTCAGGTCTTTTTCATCTTTGGATCATCCAAAACGTGGCCAGATCAACTCGTTGTCCCTGGAGAATGATATCAAGAGTGGTAACTTCGAGGGCTACGACATGAAAGGTCCGCCCGTGTTCTGCCTGGGTTGGATCATTGTTAGATTCGATCTGAGGAACCTTGCTGATAAACCTCTGACTGGTTGTTTGTTTGCGTTTTTTTAAACATGAATCCAGCACAAAACATTAAATTGAGGATGATGATTGCCACTGAGTAATAGTAGTTTGGGGAATGGGTTGAAAGCGGCGACCACTTCCCAGGTTGCCAGGTTGGAGCTGGGAAGTGGCGACCAGATGATCCTCCCGTGAACCCAAAAAAACCATGGGAGAACTCCGGTCATCAGATTTATGTTGTTCGTTGATTTTCCGCGCGAACTAAACCCCCATTTAGTGCTTGGATGTCCCAGCTAGGTATGTTTGATTACCGGAGAGCATCTCATTGAATATCAATTATTAACTATTGATTACTGTAGCCATTATTAATCATTATCGATCATTACTAGTTAATCATTATCAATCATTGCTAATTATAAATAATTATTATTTCACCATTATCATCGGATGCTATTGGCTGAACTAAGCTTTTTTGGCGTCGGGGATCCACTTGGGCCCCATCGTCAGGCACGGAGGATCGCCTGGGAAGCAAGTTGACCACCAACTACGACAAGGCAGTATGGTTATTCCGAGAAAAGCTTGGGATATGACCCCCATACTACGGTTATACATGTCATATGATGTCAAAAATGGAGTGTATAATCACTAACCGCAACTGCACCCCCAAGTACAGCTTTGTTTTTTTGGAGCGGCCATATCCAATGGTAATAATATGTAATATATGGTTTTAGCGAGTTACAAACTGGGATACGTCCCCAAGTACCATGTTTGTGGGAAGGAACTTGAACCTTGGATCCACCCAGCACTTTCGCCACTTTAAGCAGTGAATGGCAATGTACCATGGTTTGGACCTATTTTGGCCACATTTACCACAGCTCTCCATCATAATATATATATATATATACCCTCAAAAAATGGTTTGTTAGGAGACATATTATGACTAACATTGATTAACCAGCAAAATTAGGGCTATATACATGTATATATATATATTATATATATATATTATATATATATATTATATATATATACACCATACATTATACACCCTATTTCCTGTCTTCACGCAAACTCAATGGTTTTTTCCCAAAAAAAACGGGCTTTCTCCGGCAGGTGAAGCCGGTCTGCGAGGAGATTGCCGTGGCGGTGAATGCACGGCCGCCCGGTGATCGAGACGATTTTTCGACGATCGAGACGATGGACCAAGCCGTGGCCCCCCCAATTGGTTGGTTCACAACTCCAAGAAGTAGGAGTTATGGATAGGATATGTTTGATATAATTACCCTTTGGTTATTTAATATAGCCATGGAAAATGGCCCATTTATAGATGGTTTACCTATTAAAAATGGTGATTTTCCATGGCTATGTCAAATAACCAGAGGGTATATATAATTGTGATAGTAACTATGTGTCACAGGAATCTGTTGGATATTTTTTGGGGTCAAAAAAATTATCCAACAGGTTCCTGTGGTTTAGAAAGCCACTGGTTGAACCTGGGGGGACCACCGGGCTTGGTCAAACTTGGCTAAAAAAAAACAGCATCTGTCCATCGGATCCCGATCTTATCTGTGGAAACCGTGGATAGTTTGCATTATAGTACCTTAGAAGTTTGCATTATAAATTGTATATGTTTCAGCAACTAGACAAGTTTTTTTTGTTGGGCCTGGATGATGTTAGCCATCTTATTGTTCTCTTGACATCGCTTGGCCCCAGGGTGGTTCTCGCACCAGCCTGGATGATGCCACGAAGCGATATCTCTGCGATCGCACGGACCTGAAGAAAAAGAAGGACCTACCTGGATGAATTATGGGTGTGTGTGGCTGAAAATTGAAAAAAATGGGGCCTCCAAATCACCATTTTAATGGCGACAATTAGTGATGAATTATAATCCATTGGAATTGGAGGTAGCCTGTTGACAAACCCTTATGACGATCTCAATTGGTTCATCGGACCAATGGTTACAGTAGTATATATTAGGGGAATCATCCCCAAGTGGCCGTGTTTCAGGTTGGTGAATTTGTTCTATTTCATCTCTGTATAATTTTTGTAAGTTCAGTAAACGGGCGGAATGTGGATGGCTCAAAAATAGTGCAAACTGGGTATGACTCACAGCAAGAGACCCGCGAACAATAGGGTGCCTTCCTTTGCAACTATGATAACGTGGATGGAATTATGCCGGATATGTATATAAATAGTTTCATGATGTTTCATGGGGTTGTCAGCCAACTTATAAATTGGGGGAGCTTCCTGAAACTGGACAAAATATTACTTTTTCATAAACCAAGATAAAACATGGGTATCTCATTTTTTGAAAGTTGAGGAAAAGGAACAAAGTGGGAATGGCTCACAAATGAGGTACATACTACCAGCAGACCGATAAAAAGCTGGTCATTTTAAGAGCATTTACTGATCCCAATATTTGGGTCAACAATTTGAGTTAGAGATGGGAGGTACTGCATGATTAAGCTAAATAACGTATATGGTACTGCATAATTGTAGTTATTCACCTAAATCCATGGTTTTGACAAAGAAAAGGGGAGGTTTTATGATTTAGGCAGGAAGGCTTTGGGTTCAAATGCAGAAATGGGTGATCTTTCCAAAACAGCAATGGCCCACGTGCTTCTCCCTAGTGTGGACACATCTTTAAGGAAAGAGCGTTGATTTCGAAAATACTGTAGTTACACAATGTTACACCACTGTAATCGAACATGACAATGGAGAATCCCCTGTTGATTTAGAGGTGATTTTCCCATTAAGATCGGGTTCATTGATTTTTCCCGGGGATCGTCCATTGCCATGAACTGCCGCATCAGCATCAGCTGATGATCCGAGACGTGCAGGAAGAGGGGGGGGAGTTCTCCTACACCAAAGCTGCAAAAGAAATGAACGATCAAAAACTGGAGGAGGGGCGGTGATTGTCTTTCCCTTGGAAGGATCCTTTTGGAGTGGAGCTTAGTTGAAATTGGGGTGGGAACGTTTCACCACTCGGAAACTCATTTATCACCTGAAGTTGGTAAATGGAGCTCAGTAATAGTAAGTGGTTGCTTCGTGGCTGCATGTGGTTTTCTGTATCAGACCTAGTGACATCGCTGTGACTCAGGTATGGCAGGTTCGTGGTTTTTGCATGTTTTAGCTATGTTTATGTTCAACCTGATTGCAAATGATGACCAGCTACAAATGGTACCCCCCAGTATCATCATGTAGAGACTGTTAGAGACTGTTGGAGACTGTTACCTTCCAGATTTTCGAGTGACTTGCCCTATGCCCTGTGTGGATCCCAATTTTATCCCCTAGAAAAAATCGAACTCACAGGCCTCAGGAACAATACTTGGAACATGGAACTGAATGGGCCACTGGCTGAAATTTCGGAACCCCAAAGTCAGCAGGAGATGCGTGCGGAACGAAAAGCTGAACGTGAGGCACGGCTAAAGATGTTCCGACGACCTCGCGATCAAATCGTGACTAAGTGAAGTGGGACCCTGTCCCATTGCCATGAGCATTTGAGGTTAATAAAATGGGGCCACATTTGCTTTTGGCATGGAATGTGTGACTTGTTTGTTTTTAGTTTTGAAATTGGCTGATGAATGTTTATATGTTGTTGTGTAGTTTTGAGATGTTGAAACCTCAGTGGGATCGCTTACAAGCGAGACAGACATGATTCAAGAGTCAATATCGTTCCCGTCGGTGTGCAGAGACGCGGCCCTCCCAACGGGCCGGGCTTCGCTGAAAGTGCACCCAAATGGCCAGAGAGCCAAATTTCAAGGCACCCGAATCTGTGTGGACCAATTTTTTGCAGGATCCAAAGCTTTAAGCCCACACTTGTTTTTGAAGAGTAGCAATGCACTGATGTACTGAACGTACCTTGGGATCTCTCAGCATCAGTGATTCGGGGTGCCTCCAGCATGTCAATTTTCAATGCCCATGTCCTGACCTGTGCTCGGTGACACCCTGCCGGGAGATGCGCAACACCATAGACGTCACAAAATCGCTGCTGTACAGATGAACCATGACCATGTCCAAGATCGTGGCCGGGCAGTTTTTCGCAGGGCGGTGTTCCATCTTTACTCATGACTTCAGGGATTCGGAGACCTGAACGGTTGTTGCTTAGAAGTGTAGGGTTGACGGGAGGCCAAGAACTCACTAGAATCATCTTGCCAATGCGAGAAATTGGTCAAATTCATTGGCTTGTGAAATCGTTCAGCGCTTCATTCATGTCCTTCATTTTTGAATACCGTTATTTTATGTTATTTTTCAGTGCCACATTTTGATCACGGTCTATTTGTGTAATATGGGTAAAACAATTTAATAGACCATCCCCCAGTCACCATTTTTATAGGTGGTATAAACAATGTATAAACACGATAAACCCTTCCCAGTCATGTGGTAAAAATGACATTGTTTCAACCACAGAGTCCTACCACACCCGTAAGTTGAGGCGAGTTTTTCACCATGCCAGTTTGCTCCAGCCCCAGAAAGATGTGACGACCATAGAACCATCAGCAGGGGAACCATGGGGAATCGCGAAACATTGGAGTATATTGTTTTCATTTATGTATTATATGTATGATATAAATTGATATAATGGAATGCAATCAATGTAATTCATATAAAATTCATATAGATATGATATATTATATTACATTACATTGTATTATATTATATACTAGTAGATTATATTATATTATATTATATTTATATTACATTATATTATATTATATTATATTTATATTATATTTATATTATATTATATTTAATTTATATTATATTATATTTATATTATGTTATATTATAATAAATATTATTATATTATATTATATTATATTACATTACATTGTATTATATTATATACTAGTAGATTATATTATATTATATTATATTTATATTATATCATATCATATCATATTATATTTTATTTTATTTTATGATATTATATTTTACTATATTATATTATCTTATATTATCTTATATTATATTTAATTTATATTTTATTATATTATATTATATTATATTTATATTATATTATATTATATTTATATTATGTTATATTATATTAAATATTATTATATTATATTATTTTATTTTATATTAGTTTATATTATTTTGTATTATATTATAGGATATTATATGATATTATATGATATTATATTATTTTATAATATATTATATTAGTGTACATAAGTATGACAAAGAATAGTATATTAGGATTTGTTTTTCCATAAACGGAGTATACGCCCCAAATGATTGTGTTAATTGAGAACATTATGATCATCAATGTTTCTTTTGTTTACCACACTGGTTTCAGTCAAATTCAACACAAATCCAATTCTTATCCCATCTCTGAGATGTTTCCCACTTTTAGTGGATATTATCACTATGTTATTTGTTGGAACTCGTATGAACCAAGAACTTCAAAGGATTTGCGGTGGTATTTTTGTGTCTGCACATGCTTCCAGCACGTATCATGTCTTAGCCCATGGCACGTCGACAAGGCTGCTGGAAAGGACCAAAGGGTAGGATGAATAACCCCTTATGACGGGAGAACTGGGGATATACTGAAGTTCCAAAGCATTTCCAGTACCACCAACTTCAGAGACTATCCAACTATGAAATGAATGTCCATGCAAAGATGCACACCGGAAGATGCATCATCCTGAAATCGGGGAATTTGGTTGATGCAAGAGCAGACTTTGGATACTAGGTACTTAGCTAGTCTAGTTATTGTTGTGGTCCTGTTGCAGCTGAAGCATGTCTGACTGAGGGCTTTGGCAGTGGTTTCATGCTTCAATCATGGATTTTCGCTGGCTGAAATCCCCATTGAAGCAGGATGATTTTACTGACTTCTTTTTCCATGGAAATGTACGGGTATGGGGTATGGAAGTAACATATACCCATACACCCGAGGGTGGCCCATACTCCATACCCATACCCCAAATTTTCCATGGATGTTTTTTTGGGGGGGTCTGGAGTGAACCAGGGCCACCCTGGTTCACCTTGGAAACTCACCATCAATACTTGTGGAACAAAATGAACAAGTGGGTGATATCTTGGTTGGGTAGGTTCATGGGTAAAGTTGAATATTATCTGTATGGGAATTTGACTGAAACAGCCTCAACTGTAAAACAACAAACTAGACGACGGATGGCCCGAGAGCGTAGAGGAGCAGGGTCTTCTCTTGTTAGTATGGAGACGCAATATTAGAAACGATATATGAAAGCTGTGTTATAGGCAGTCGAGAAGAGGAGTATCAAGACAAAATAGTGAGAAGTGCAAGTGAATAGTTTGCATCGCAAACACTTTTACACACAGACGCTTTTACACAGACGCTTTTACACACAAAGCTTTTACCCACAGAAGCTTTTACACACAGAAGGTTTTACCCACAGAAGCTTTTACACACAGAAGCTTTTACATACAGAAGCCTTTACACACAGAAGCTTTTACATACAGAAGCTTTTACACACAAACGCTTCTACACAGACACTTTTACACACAGAAGCCTTTACACACAGGAGCTGCTTTTACACACAAACGCTTGTACACACAGAAGCTTTTACACACAATCACGTTTAAACAGATGCAATTTTACATACAATCACTTTTACACACAAACTTCTTTACACAGAAACACTCGTACACACAAACCCGTTTACACACAAAGGCTTGAACACACAGAAGGTTTTACACACAACACTTTTACACAGATGCACTTGTACACACAAACACTTTTACACACAAACATCTTTACACAGAAACGCTCGTACACACAAACCCCTTTTCGTGCGAAAGGGTTACTCCAGCACACGAAAAATCGCAATTTTACCTCAGTTTTTGCCGATCGACCCTCATTTCGTGCGAAAGGGTTGCTCCGGCACAAGTAAAATCGCAATTTTACGTCAGTTTTTGCCGATCGACCCTCATTTCGTGCGAAAGGGTTGCTCCGGCACAAGTCAAATCGCAATTTTACGTCAGTTTTTGCCGATCGACCCTCATTTCGTGCGAAAGGGTTGCTCCAGGACAAGTCAAATCGCAATTTTATGTCAGTTTTTGCCGATCGACCCTCATTTCGTGCGAAAGGGTTGCTCCAGGACAAGTCAAATCGCAATTTTACGTCAGTTTTTGCCGATCGACCCTCATTTCGTGCGAAAGGGTTGCTCCAGGACAAGTCAAATCGCAATTTTACGTCAGTTTTTGCCGATCGACCCTCATTTCGTGCGAAAGGGTTGACGTTTCCTGACTCGCCGCCGGCACCACCCTCGGCCTTAAGAGAGAAAGATAAAAAGAAGGCGTGAGAGAGAAGGTGAGCAGGTGTGAAGATAAGAAGATGTGAAGATGAGCAGATGTGAAGATGAGCAGATGTGAAGATGAGAAGATGTGAAGATGGGAAGGTGTGAAGATGAGCAGATGTGAAGATGAGCAGATGTGAAGATGAGCAGATGTGAAGATGAGCAGATGTGAAGATGAGAAGATGTGAAGATGGGAGGTGTGAAGATGAGCAGATGTGAAGACGGGAAGGTGTGAAGATGAGCAGATGTGAAGATGAGCAGATGTGAAGATGAGAAGATGTGAAGATGGGAAGGTGTGAAGATGAGCAGATGTGAAGATGAGCAGATGTGAAGATGAGCAGATGTGAAGATGAGCAGGTGTGAAGATGAGAAGATGTGAAGATGGGAAGGTGTGAAGATGAGCAGATGTGAAGATGGGAAGGTGTGAAGATGAGCAGATGTGAAGATGAGAGGATATGAAGATGAGAGGATGTGAAGATGAGCAGATGTGAAGATGAGAGGATGTGAAGATGAGAGGATGTAAAGATGAAAAGATGTGAAGATGAGAGGATGTGAAGATGAAAAGATGTGAAGATGAGAGGATGTGAAGATGAGATGTGAAGATGAGAGGATGTGAAGATGAGAGGATGTGAAGATGAGAGGATGTGAAGATGAAAAGATGTGAAGATGATGAGAAGATGTGAAGATGAGAGAATGTGAAGATGAGATGTGAAGATGAGAAGATGTTTTACAGACCCCCACTATTGGAAGAACCCTGCGCTCAGACGCTCTCGGGAAAAAGGAGAGAGAAAGGAGAGAGAGTGAGAGAGAGAGAAGATGTGAAGATGAGAAGGTGTGAGGGAAGGTGTGAAGATGAGAAGGTGTGAGAGAAGATGCGAAGATGAGAAGGTGTGAAGATGGGAAGGTGGTGAGAGAAGAAGTGAAGATGAGAAAGTGTGAGAGAAGGTGTGAGAGAAGATGTGAAGATGAGAAGGTGGGAGAGAAGATGTGAAGATGAGAAGGTGTGAGAGAAGATGTGAAGATAAGAAGGTGTGAGAGAAGGTGTGAAGATGAGAAGGTGTGAGAGAAGATGTGAAGATGAGAAGGTGTGAGAGAGGAAGGAGAGAGAGAAAGGAGAGAGAGTGAGAGAGAGAGAGAGAAGATGTGAAGATGAGAAGGTGTGAGAGAAGGTGTGAAGATGAGAAGGTGTGAGAAAAGATGCGAAGATGAGAAGGTGTGAAGATGAGAAGGTGTGAGAGAAGATGTGAAGATGAGAAAGTGTGAGAGAAGGTGTGAGAGAAGATGTGAAGATGAGAAGGTGTGAGAGAAGATGTGAAGATGAGAAGGTGAGAGAGAAGATGTGAAGATGAGAAGGTGTGAGAGAAGATGTGAAGACAAGAAGGTGTGAGAGAAGGTGTGAAGATGAGAAGGTGTGAGAGAAGATGTGAAGATGAGAAGGTGTGAGAGAAGATGCGAAGATGAGAAGGTGTGAAGATGAGAAGGTGGTGAGAGAAGATGTGAAGATGAGAAGGTGTGAAGATGAGAAGATGAGATACAGACCCCCACTATTGGAAGAACCCTGCGCTCAGACGCTCTCGGGAACAAAAACAGTTCAAAAGAATTGGTCATTGTGCCTCTACATTACAAACATTCATCTAACATCCTCTAAGCATCTAAAAAGGTCTGTGTTTTGCCTTAAACAACAAAAACAAAACGTTGTGTGCAATTGAAAATCCCCTAAGCATGGACGTTTAAATGGCAAAATCATCTACAAATGGTGGATTTTCGTGGATTTTCCAGCAAGCCATCTGTGATGTTCATGTCCGCGTGTCAGGTGATGCACCGAGTCATGTGGTGGCTGGTAAGGTGAGAATGACAGAGATGCCTGGGGAGTCGAGGGGTAGAATAACCATGTTTTTTTGGACCAAAATTAGTCGACACATATGCAAAGTATTGAGAAGGGTAAGTCATTTGTCATTTAATAATATTTTATGTTTTTAAAGAAATTTATTTAGTATTTAGGGCATTGTTTAGCTTGATAACAACGTATTCATGCAAAGAAGGGCAGAATAAGTGCTTCGGGGTCGGAGTTGGAAAATTCAAGACTTCTTGGGTCTGTTTGAGTGGGGGTATACTGCAAACTAGTATCCTAGGCCTGCCGGCTGGGTAAAATTTCTTCCGCCAGCCCAGACTAAAGGAATTATTGTCGCTTCAATAATTGTTGCCGTCTTAGCCAAAAAAAACGTTTCAATTGTTTGGCGGTATTCTTGCCCGGTCAGCTGCCATTCTTGATATTCTTGTGTTTTGTTCACTTTTTTGACATTCATACACCCTGGAGAACATGGGCAGATATGTAGCATGTCAACGTCCAAATATGCATTGAAAACAACAAAGAAAATTTACGCCGTTTGGTTGGAAATGTACGCCGTTTGGTTGGAAATTTATGCCGTTTCAGTTCGTCACTTTTTTGGTAGAGGTTTTCTAGGTGGACACATGAGTTATGTGTTCTTCATGCGGCGAAAGTCTCCGTCACACCTGTGGAATTGAGAGAATCTCATTCCTCTAAAAACATCACAATTTGCTGGAACCATCCAAAATCCAAAAACTTACGTCTCATATGTCTCATCAAAAAAAACTCCGTTTGAGGGTTGGCCCCTCCAAAAGTTAATTTTTCACCAAACATATAAATAATTATTGCTGCTTCGGTTGTTCTTAAGGAATATGTTGATAAACCACTGGATTTTCGGGTTCCCTATATTTAGACAAAACCCAGATGACGATGACAAGTAGTTTGCGGATGGTCAAACTGGCTATCAAAAAACCAGACATGGGTATACCTATGTGGTAATATTTCAGACAAGAGTATATAATATCTATGGTAAACATGTGTAGAACATTTATGGTCTCTTATGGTTGCTCGCAAACAGATAGACGCTCAATTTGACAGTATTTTCCTTTTCTGGTATATATCTTGTCGGGGGTGGCTATAACACATTCATGATTAACATGTGTAGAATAACCGCACTTCTGAGTACAGTAGCCTTTGGTACTCAAACATGGCTAAGTGGAGGATCCCTAAATTCCTATCGAAAAGGCTGGTGTGTGACATTTCTGGAGGGCAAGTATCGACAAGTGTTTTATACATGATGCGACGAGTTAGTTCAGTCGGATGTTTGTTCCAGGACGGTTGGGAACGGTTTTCGAAACGCAAACTGTAGCTGTGAAGATGACACATATATGATTACACTCCTATGAGCCAACATAGATGTGGAAACCTCAGTTTTTGATCGTTTTGGTAGATCATGTTCCGAAAGAAAAAACAACAACACCATGGGTTTTTCCACATCTACTGTATCATCATCTATCTTAGTTTACATTAAAAAAATACCCCAGGGTCTCCACATGAGATGATGATCCCGTGTCACTTTCACCTGCTGTGCATCTCAGAGATAGGTGACATATGAGAAACCATACCATGTCTGATCCAAAATAGCCGACAGATTTATATTGTTTCTTGTTGACAACTGTATTGGTCAAGACATTGTTTCTGTGTTTGTTTGTTTGTCTGTCTGTCTGTCTGTTTGTTTGTTTGTTTGTTTGCTTTCAAGATAAGTAGATGCTGTACTTCACAGGGATTCCACTTCACAGGGATTCCACTTGGATACTTTACTGGAATATATAGAGATTCAACAAGTTCTACATGGCACTTGGAACACTTCAGCTTAACGATTCATCAATTTTACCAATTCTGCCGGATGAATAGTTAAAACCCCTGTTGCTTGATGATTAGTTCAAAGTCTTGGCTCAGTTCCTTCCAGGGGTAGACTTATTCGGACTAATAGCTGAGCTGTTCATCCTTGCCATGGAAGTTGATTTGGAACCCCGGCTGGCTTCAGTTCCACCAGGGACAATTGTGGATGTGGTTCTCCGACCTATGTGGATTGGTCCCAATAGTAGTTTGGCTTCAACAAGCATTCATGGAACCTCTGTTTTGCTGGATGTGGTGTTACCCAATACACCTTCTGCAACGGTTTTCCAGGGACGTGTGGAGTTTCGAGGGAACAGAGTATGGATTTGCAAGATGCCATCAACGGTCGTCATGGGCCACAGTGCAATCAGGGAGAGGGACTTCCAATACATGCGTGAAACATGTGCAGGGTTGGGGGCAGTTTCTACTGGTTTTGCCAAATGTGGAGTAGTAACATCAGTGTACAACGATGTGAACAAACCTTTTACAGACTGGATGAAAAGGAATGGGAAACGTGCCATTTTGGGGGACATCAACGACATCAAGGTGGTGCAATCCATGGGACAGGCTCCAGGCACGTTTTTGTCGGCAGGCATATCATGCCAGCCTTTTTCGTTGCTTGGCGATGGCAGACAACAACACGATGAGAGGTCCAAATCCTTTACAGGCACACTGAAAGCAGGACACCTTTTGCAAGCTCAGGTGATACTGTTAGAATGCACACCGGCGGCAATGACGTCAGAATGGATCCAAGCCAACCTTGCCTCATTTGCCAACCAAACCAAGTTTAAAGTGCATCAGAAGATACTGGATTTGCATACCTATTGGGTTTCAAAGAGAACACGATGGTGGTGTACCATTTCCAATCCAGCACTTCAGGTTCAGGAAATCCCAGACATTCCTCCGATGATTTTCAATCCAACATGCCTCCATTTGTTTCCCAAGATGATGGACATTACCGACCAAGATTTACAGGAGATTGAACTGTCCATGCATGAACTGCGAATGTTTCATGGGTACCCCTTTTTGGAAAAACATTTGGTTGATGTCATGAAGACCCTCCCAACAGCGACTCACTCATGGGGCTCTCAAGTTGTCGCCTGCAGCTGTGGATGCCGTGGAGCAGGATTTACCACACAACGTTTGGAAGAAAAAGGTTTGTATGGACAACTGCTTCCAATTGGTGGAGAGGTAACACATGGAGGTCAGCAGTTTCGAAGGTGCCGACATCTCCATGCACAGGAAATCGCACTTGCAAATGGTTTGAACCCTTTTCATGTTGGAAACCATAAAGGGTCTTGCAGACTGGAAGTGGCAGGTGTAGGACAGATGGCCTCTCCGTTTCAAGGGGCATGGGTGCTATCCAATGTGCTTCAAAACATTCACCAACATGCTTTTCCTTTGAAGAACTTTCGGGCCCCAATGGACATCATGCAAACCATGGCCATGGAGTTGTTGTGGGCACGTGACAAGCTCTTGGGGATCTCCAAACACACCCCATCCAATGAGATCTTTGCTAAAGCCATTCAGCAATGGGGACAAGTGCCAGCTCTGCCAGCCCAGGTGCCAGCAGACCACATCAAACGAGACCAAGAAGTTGACAAGACTCATGCAACACAAACCAAGAGTTGCAGTGCCGCACATTCGATGTCCGAGGCAGGGGTAGGCAGAAATTTCACCAGTGATCCCACAAGCCATGCACTGACCCAAATGACTGCATCCGACAAGCATTCGTTCCAGCAGGCAGGGACCGCAGCCTTTTGTGCAACCGAGGCAGGGGTAGGTGTTCAGTCCAATGCCAAGCATGATCAGATTGAACCGGAACCAACAGCATCCGAGGCAGGGTGGATCAGCAAGTTGAAGACCAAGCCTGGTTTGACTAACAGTGTCAGTGCCAATCAGATGCAACCGAGTCACCTTGATGCCGCAGCCATTTGTCCGCCTGAGTGTGAACCAAGGGGTCAAGCCGATCATGCAAGCACCCGTGCCAAATGCCCGACCAGTGGGCAGCCGTCCAAAGCAGCCGACATCACACGACCTGTGCACCCGATGAATACCAGTGTCGAAGCAGCCTTTTGTGCATCTGAGGCAGGTCAGGTTGATCAAGCGTTGTGCAACGGCCTTTTCCCACTTAAGTCTGATGTCGTGTCTCAGGCGGGGTTAATGGTAGGATCTCAAAGTGAAATGTCTCCATTGTTTGTCCAATCAATAGGTGGGGACAGTAGGTCAGATCAGGCAGGGCCCGCAGCTGTTTGTGAACCCAATTCATCCAGTCCAAACTGTCTCACGAACATGCATGTGCCTCACACCACACATGAACTCGGACAGGAAACACACGGTAAGCCAGAAGGTCGTGCCTTGCCGAATGCACATGGCCCCCCAAGCGCACATGGCCATAGATCCCTGCCCACCCTCTTTCATGCCACGCCTCTTCCACGTTTAGGGTGTGGAGGCCCCTCCCATGATCAGCGAACAAACCCCAGTGAAAAGCCAAAAGATGTTGGAGGTAGCACAACTTGCACTAGCAACCAAGTTTGCCAGGTAGGCCCAACTGCCAATGCAATGGTAGGAATTGCAGCCCCAGCATGTGGACATCGAGATGAACTGACCCGTCCAAACACAGCCTTGCCAAGCCAACCGTTGCCTCTTCCACGACCAGGGTGTGGAGGCATGCCGTTGAACGAGATCATCCCAGCACCAGCCAGGTTTGCACATGACACTCAACGCGATGACAGGGCTCCTGGAACGACGTTGACATGGAAAGCCAATGATGCCGCAATCCAGGTGATTCATCCATGTTTGCCACCTGCCAACAGGCATACCAAAGACTGTGCAGCCGCCTTGCAGATGCCGAGAGCAACACCAGAGTATCCAGACGGCCATGATGAAAGATCGACTGATGTACCTGGAGATAGGTTGAATGGCCCCTTGAGTTGCATGTCCCCGCCCACCCTCTTTCATGCCAAGCCTCTTCCACGTTTAGGGTGTGGAGGCCCCTCCCAGTACAATGAAAGTTGCTCCCCATTGGAGTTTGGCCACATTGAGCCCAAGGTGCCCAGTCATGCAGAACCAATTGACCGAAGTCAGCAATCATATGCCCGCAGTGCCACTCAGGTGAATGCCCATGACGGCGCCATCCATGAAGACCCAATCGAAGACTGCCAGCCCGATCCATGGCTCTTGGCTTTGCAACAAAGAAGTAAGAATGCAATGCACTTGACACATGACAACGAAGAATCACCAGTGCATGGAGAATGGGTACCCTCCTTCCACGTTTAGGGTGTGGGGTAGGGGTACACAATGAAATGTTCTCCCATGATGAAAAGGATAAAAGGTGGCGGCAAACAGAAAGTCATTTGAGATCTCTCTCCACTCCAAGCCACGTCCACCCAACATCAGGCGGCTTTTGTGCCTTTGCCACCTGTACAAGTTCTGCTGAAAACACTGAGGTCAAAGTCAGCGAGCCGTGCCATGCAATAGCCGAAGCTGAGGCAGAAGTGAACGAGTATCCTTGCGTAGTTTCACAGGTACACAAACGCACCTTGGACAATGCAGGAGTCGCACAGGCCAAGTATAGAAAGCTTGAAGAACAGAACCATGAAGACAGCACCAAAGCACCATCCGAGTCATCAAGCACCAAACAAAGCCTTGAAGCCATGCAATCCAACATCAGCCCGTATGAGACACCATCACAGGAAGAGCTTGATCTTGCCATCCTGAGTCACCTTGAGCAGCTCGAAGCTAGTGAGCCTGGTCCAACCCAGCTAGATCCAAAAGATCATTGCAAGGTAGCCGAGCCAGAGTTCCAAGCCAGTCAACATGATGGTGAGCGTGAAAATGTGGCTAATGCCCTCCCAGAGTTTTATGTGAATGTGGTACTGCCAGGCCAGACCATCTATCAACATGCCACGGAACCAAAGAGCACAGCAGCATGCCTTGCAATCGCCACCAGCAAGCTGGGACTGATCCAGCAGCCAATCAGGGTAAGCACAGCCATGGGTACACAGGTTAGCCAACACCAAGTGCTCAAGCAAAACCATTTCCTTCTGTTGGAGGAGAATCACCAGGTGACGCAGTTTTCCTGTCCAAAGAGCAGCCAGCAAATGCACTTGCCGCAAGTTGCAGGGATGAGCAGAGAAGTTGCACTGTGGCAACAAAAGGGTTGGGTGGCCGTAGATGAAATGAAATACTACATGCACATGCTGGAAAGCTACCATCCAAGCTCCACGTTTGGAGTGGTTGAACTCCCGAACAATCCCGACCGTGATGCCATGGTAGTATCTACTATCATCAAAGCCCTCACCAGAGCACACCTTGACCTTAACAGTCAAGTCAAGGCCATTGCCTTCCTGAGTGACAACCATTGGATCCCTTGCTTTGTCGAGGCCAAAGGAGATGAGGCCCATGTACACCTCCCACCGGAAGAACAAGATTGGGTGGTTGAAGCTTTTGCCAAAGTGGTTGAAGAACATGAGGTCAGGTTTCATACCAGCAAAGTCCCACACGCCTTTCCTGCTGACTGTGGTTTTCAAGCTGTGGGGTGGCTCTTGGCCAAACTGATGGGTGATGACACAACCCAACCGTTCACTGTTCGGCAAGCATGCCAGTGGAGAAGCCTGTGCCATCAAAACATGGTGCACACAGGCAAAGCTTTCGACACTGTCAAACACCTAGCGATGGGAGGAGCCCTCCATGCTAAAGAGCAGCTGCAGCAGCTGGTAGTGGCACATGGAGTGAACCCAGGTAGGGGAGCAGAATGTTCTGAACAATTGATCAAAGCCCTAGGCATCAAGCAAGTTCAACAGATACTCCTGTCGCCGAAACCATGGATGGACCTCAAAGCCAAGGCAAGCCTGCATCAGCCACCAATCCGAGTGGTTACCGCCGAGGAGTTGCATGAAGCCGTCCAAGCACGTCTCAAAGACCCAAAGCAGGTTGGAAAGAAACAAAACAAGATCAAAAGCCAAAAGGCAACCAAGACCATGCAGCTAAAAGCTGATCAGCTCGCAATTCCAATGGCGGTATTCCGACAGGAAGATGGACAAGAGATCGGCCAGATCCAAGCCAATCAGATTGGCCCAAATGCCATGGGGGTGGTCCTGGTGAACATCCATGAGGCCCTCCCGTATTTCCAGTAATCAACTCCAGTAAGCCAACAAGGCATTGCTCTGCTGATTCTTGACCATGACGATGCAAGACTCCCACCCAGTTGCCAAGTCACCAAGGTACCCGCCAAGTGCTTAGCCACCAATGAGCCCATGATCGTAAGCATTGCAGTCCTGCAAATCGGAGCACAGAAAGTTGTCCGAAACTTGCCAACCAACTGCCTGGAAGTCCCGGAAGTTTCTCACCAGGTCATTCGAGTTCAGATCTACAAAGACCAGTGCAAAGCCAAATGGGAAGAGCTCATCCAAAAGCCAGTCAAACATCTCCTGAACATGTCTCCATTCACAGAAGTAGCCTCGAGTGCCATCTTAGATGTATGGGATCGCCAATGCATGACCGCCAGAATGATGAAGGTGCCAGTCCAAGAAGCACAACTGTTCATGGTCAACCTCAGGGTAGAATCGGAAGCAGTTGAAACGATCCTGAAGGCCAATGGTGAAGATGGAAGATTTTATGAACTCAGGCGACATGATGGAAGACAACCTGATGAGACTCAACAAGTTGTCTGGCTCCCAGGAAAAACCTTTGCTGAAGCACAAGTTATCCAACGAGCGTCCAAGATCGAAACAGCATTGGTAAGACAAGGTGACAGGTATGGCTTGCGTACTGACCACAACAAAGCGGAAGAGTTGCACAAGCTGCATAGGCCAGACTTGGTCTACATCCCTGGAGCCGACCTGAAAAAGTACAAAGTGGGCCCAATGCCCTTTGGCACCACCAAACAAAGCCTGGTCCATGTCTTTCAGAAGTGGGACTGGTGCGCAAGGCCGGTTGGGCCCATAGGCCAAACCGGTGATCGCTCTGGTATCATGTGGAATGTGCAAGCTGCCACAGACCCAACTCATTGGGTGTTCCAAATGGCCCATGGAGACGTGCTGGTGTCACCGGAGGAAAAAGTGACCACACCAATCCATGCTAAGCCAACCATTCTGGCTTCAAGCAAAACCATCCACAGCCTGCAGTCCAAAAGCAAGGACAACGCGAAAGAGGATCCATGGTTGCATGATGACCCATGGAAGCAACCAACTGGAGCTGCCACCAGGGAGATCCCCGTTGGCCAAATTGCCTCAATCCAAGCCAATGTTGAGAAAGCCGTCCTTGCCAAGATGAAAACCGTAGGTGCAGATGATGACATGAATGGCTCACAAGACCATCGAATCGAAGCCCTGGAGCAAAGACTGGAACGACTGAGCACTCAGGTTAGCCACCAGCAGCAAGAGCAACTGCAACACAACCAACAGGTGCAGTCACAGATGATGAACCTGGACCACAAGATCGATCAACAGCAGAATGCCTTCCAAGCAGTCTTAGACACCAAATTGGAACAGCAAATGGCGCGCATAGAGCAGCTTTTTGCCAAACGCCCACGCATGGGCGAGTGACTAGCCGTGAGAACCAGATGGGGGGCATACCAGCCGCTGTTGTGGCTGATATGCATTTTTACATGCGTGTGTCGCATAGGGGAAGCGGCCAATCCTGGCCCTGCTACAAGCGGTGAGCTTAACATCGGTTGTATAAATCCAACAGGCCTTTTGGGCCGGGGGCAGTTGATCGCTGACTTGCCGAAGGCCCAGGGCACAACGCTCTGGGCAATTTCTGAGTCTCATTTGACAGCTCCAGGCCGTGCCAAGTTCCACAAGGAACTAATTCATCACAAAACGGGGTATCATTTGCAAACAGGGGCTAACACGCCCACCAGATCCAATACCGTAACAGCCATTGCTGGCAAACATCGAGGGGTAGCATTCTTGAGTACGTGTCCTTCCAGAGCCATGACCTCAACATGGCCAAAAGAAAGCTGGGATGAAGCGAGATTTCATATGTCCTGTTTCCAAGTTCAACAACGGTGGGTGCAAGGGGGTGTCGTTTATGGCCATGCCGCCCAAGCTGAGACCCTTGCCACCAAAGCAAAAACCGATAAAATTTGCCAACATGTCACCACCAGACTTTTGCAGCATAGCCACGGACTTAGATTCATTGCCGGGGACTTCAACCAACCAGATGGCGCCTTGCCAAGCATGCAGCAGTGGAAAGAAGCAGGGTGGGTAAATGCCCAACAATGGGCCTTGGAAAGGCTCAACAAACCAATCGAAGTGACTTGCAAGAACAAGACCACCAAGGATCATGTTTACCTGTCTCCAGAGCTTGCCATGTATCTGAAAGATGTGGAAGTTCAACACCATTGGTTTCCCGATCATGCCGTGCTCATCGTCAAGTTCCACCCACTTGGGAGACCCCCAATGATCCCCATATGGAGGCAACCGAAACCAATGCCATGGGATGACATCCCTGCTGAAGCTTTGACCCAAAAGTATACTTCAGCAGAGCCAAAACCAGATGCCTCAGCGGAATTTGTCCGCATATGCACGTCAGTTGAAACCGCAGCAGCCATGGTCCTCCAGGACAAAGGGAGGTGCATTCCACCCCAAAGCATGGGCCGGGCCCAAACTACTGAGGTGCGATGGAAACAGGAGTACAGTGCTCCGCCCAGAGCGCCCCGCCATGGGGAATACCAACCAGGTTTTCACGGCCTTAATGTGCAACATGCAAGATGGCTCCGTCAATACCGTAGGCTGCTCAACATGACCAGGATCACTGAACCTGCCACTGACAAAGCTAGGACACATCGTGCCAACCTGTGGAATAGCATCGTCCTGGCGACAGGTTTTTCCCCATCATTCCAACTATGGTGGTTCCAAGCCTATGGCCAATGGTTGAACCCTGCAGTAGCACCACCCACCGATGTAGTCATCCAAATGTGTGGAAGCTTCCATGAGCACCTGCAAGCCTTCGAAAAAGCCTTAAATCAACACCGAATGAACACAGCCAAACAAAGGAGGATGGATGACCCGATGGTGATCTTCAAAGACCTCAAACAGCCTGCAGCACAGCCAGTGCAAATGCTTCTCAATAAGCCAGCAGCCACCGTCACGGCCGTGGATCAGCCAGACCAAGCCGTTGAAGTAGCACCTAACCAAAAATGGGATGCCACTATCCCACTGCAGCTGCCTAATGGTTCCTCACATGTCATTCATGCAGAGCCAGATAAACTGTGGGTAGACCAGCTTCATGACGTCGAGGTCGGGGACAAGATCTACCAAGACCAGTACGTTGGGGAACTCACAGAACTTTTCCGGCAATTCGGCCAAGAGTGGACAAAAAGGTGGGACCGCCACCTTGAAGTTGATGCCCGTAAATGGGACCCGGTAATTGCCTTTGCCGAGCAAGTACTCCCTAGGCCTAGCCCAATGGAATATAAACCGCTGACCGTTTCAGACTGGGACAATGCCCTACGTAAAAAATCCAAGAAAGCGGCTACTGGCCCTGATGGCCTTAGCAGAGCTGACATGTTGCATTGGCCCATCCCAGCCAAACAAGCTTTGGTTGACTTGTTCAACCGAATTGAGCAAGGGTTGCCCTGGCCGCAGCAAATGGTCACAGGTTTTGTAGTTGCACTGGAAAAAACACCAGGGGCTGAGATTGTAAACCAGTACAGGCCAATTACAGTTTTTAGTCTGTGCTACCGTACGTGGAGTTCCATAAGAGCCCGACAGGTTTTGCAACACCTTCAGCCATTGGCACCTTCCACCTGCACAGGCAATTTGCCTGGGAAACATGCAGCACATGTGTGGTATGGCATCATGCAGGAGATAGAACTGGCCCAGTTGAACAAAGGTAGCTTGTCAGGATGGGTTGTTGACCTGGTGAAAGCTTTCAACATGTTGCCCCGGACCCACATCCTTCACTTCATGTACATACTACAAGTGGCGCCACAAATCATGTTAGCATGGGGTAGTGCCCTCACCACCATGGAGAGGCGCTTCAAGCTGCATAACTGTGTTGGACCAAGCTTGCGGTCGAGCACGGGTTTTCCGGAGGGATGCGCGTTGTCAGTCACAGCAATGTTGGCTCATAACCTGGTAGCTCACCTCTTCCTCAGGCTCCGTCATCCCAGTGTGACGTTGTGGAGTTATGTAGATAATATAGAGTCAACAGCGCCAGATGCCCATGCAGCCGTCCAAGCATTGGAAACCTTTCATAGCTTCAGTGACGTGATGGATGTTGCCATTGACAAGGAAAAGTCCTACAGTTGGTCAGTTGATGCCTCTCAGAGAAAAACCTTGCGTGACCAGCACCAGGTAACCAAACTCAGTGCCAGAGACCTTGGAGGGCATGTGCAATACAGTAAAGTTGTTACTAACAGCACTGTAACCAACAGGTGTGAAGAGATCAAACCACTTTGGGGTAGGCTTGCCAGGTCCCTTGCACCGTATGCCCAAAAGGTTAGAGCCTTGGTAGCAAAGGCATGGCCCTCATGCCTTCATGGCGTAGCCTCCGTGCACATGGCAGATGACCACTTCGACAAGCTCCGTACTGGAGCCCTCCAAGGCCTGGGGGAGCACAGCAGTGGCACATCTCCAGCCATACACCTTAGCTTGATAGAAGGACCATTGGCCGACCCGCAGTTCCAAGCCTTGTGGCAAACAGTGCAGATGTACAGGGAACACAACCAAACAGATGACTGTACATCTTTCTGCATGAAAGAGCTCCACTATACCAGGAAAACCTATGTGCCGAGGCCAGGCCCAATGTCCGTTCTCCTGAACAGACTGCACCAGGTTGCGTGGTCATGGACTCAGGGAACCGAATTCCTAGACCACGCCATGCAAGTTATTGACTTGCGCAACTGTCCAGTCCAAGAGCTTAAAGGTAGACTCACCGAAGCATGGCAAATGCGCATCCAAGGCATTGCGTCTAGTCGGAAAACTTTCCAAGGAATGCAATGGATGAATGTACCACTTACCATGGCAGGAACACGTCACCTCCCAGCAGAGGACAAAGCTCTGCTGCGGGTATGTTTAAATGGTACCTTCTTCACAGCAGACAGAAAGAAACACCAGAAGGGGCAAGGAGATACGTCATGTAAACATTGCGGCCTCCCTGACTCCCAAGTTCACAGACACTGGCTGTGTGCAGCCTTTACCTCATGCCGGACTGTGTCCGAAACACAGGCCACTGAAGTGGCACAGATGATGCCGTGCATTTCAGCACACGGATGGATGCCTGAGCCACCCAGTTTGCAGCCTTTCAGACGAGAGTTAGCAAAGATCCCGGATGAAACCAAAAGCTTCCTTGTGCCACCTGCAACCACGGATGTTGTGTACGCCTTCACTGACGGCAGTTGCCTCGCCCCGACATGTGCCCTCAGCAAGCTTGCGACCTGGGGAGTGGTGATAGCAATGCCTGACATGGCCACCTTCTGGCCCCTTGCGTCAGGAGTGGTCAAGGGGCGGGTCCAGACCGCCCTGAGAGGAGAGATCACTGCAGCAACAAGTGCGTGTTGGTATGCAGTGCAGGTAGGTAAGCCAATCATACTTTGGACTGACAATGACTTGGTTTTCACAAGAATGCAAAGATTCCAGCAGAGACAGGCCTTTTTCAAGCCCAACCAAAAAGACGCCGATCTGTGGTCAGCCTTGCATGCAGTGGTTCGCCGTTTAGGACCCAACTTGTTAGGCATCAAGAAAATTTGCAGCCACCAGGACGTTGCCAGTGCCGAAAATGAGTATGAGGAATGGGCCTGCCGAGGTAATGCAGCTGCTGACCATGTAGCAGAGAAAGACATCCATAGTTTCCCAGTAATGTTGAAAACGTGGCTACAACTCCAACAAGACATTTCACACATACATATCCTTCGAAACCATGTGCACAAAACACTCATTCAGGTAGGGCGACAAGCTGTCCGTGCACCTACTGCCACCACCGTTGACAAACAACATGTTGAGCGCATCACCCAAGAAGAAGTTGCCGAAGCCAATCTCGCCATTCCGAAAGTTGAAGATCTCCCAGCTAAATATAGTTTTCCACATGCTGCCGAGTTGTTGAACTGGATCGCCCAGCTCACTGACCCTTCCGAACCAGTCAAATGCATTTCATGGTTTCAGATGAATATTTTGTATGAACACCAGACTGGACACACTGGTGTGCGACATGTGACAAAGCGTAAGGTTTGGGTCGATGGCATGCATGACACTAAGGCCGTGGACTTCGTCAGAAGAACAAAATATCTGTCATCTTGGATTCAAGGAGTGTGGAGCCATTTTGGCCGTCCACTCAAGCTGCTTCACCTAAGACCACATAGCTGTGTGGTACAGTTTTGGACGCAATGCATAGCACTGAAACTGCGCAGCGGCTTGGTTCAAATGGCAGACGACATACTTCAAGAAGCTCAGGGCAAAGTCAACAGTGTTCGATCACTCAGGAATTTGTGAGGTACCTTTTGATGTGAGCCGGAGGTGAAACCTCGACGACTCCGCAACGCTGAGTCGCTGAGACAATCAGAAAAGGTGAGAAAAGGTGATGATTAGTTCAGGGATTCTACGAACCAATAATGCCAAATAATATGTAAGGGACTATGAGAATCCATGAACTGGCAATCCCGTTCTCAACCAACCAGTATTTATACAATTTTATACATATATATATATATATATATTTATTTATTTTGACGACACAGGCTTTAGCAGCCATAAACCTGCCATGAAAAATCATTTGGGGATGGGTTTTACCATGGGTTTACCATGGGTAAAAATCACATCCCCAATGACATCAATGGCATTTTTTTTGTTAGTACAGCAGTAATGAACCATCCATATGGATTGTCAATTTGGGGATGTTGGATCCTATTGTCCTTTACTAACGTAGCAATGGACATATCCTCTAGGTAATTTAACGTAGCAATGGACAATCTTCTATAAATGCAGCTTGAAGTGGGAACACCACCAATCAATTGGTGATTTTCCGCCAGGTTTGATTGCCAGAGGGTAAACACTCATAATTTTCTGGTCTCCTTTGGGGCAGGTCATTTGTTCATTCAAAACCTGATATTACAATATTTATTACATTTTATTACCATCTTGGGGAGACTCATTATATATTACCATATTTATTATATACCATTCCTATATAATAAAAAATTGCCATGAATGGTATATCATAAATGTGGTTTCATATTATACCATTATATGTTACAAACGATTTTAAGGCACCTATATAAATGCTACCGGGCTTTTGACCCACAGGCGCCCGTGCCTTTGTACTTCGATCGACATTTGACGAGGTCAGGGCCATCATGGGGTGTCAGATGGGGAACAATCCCTGAGAAATGGATGTTTTCATGGGTTTTCATGGGATTTTAATATATACAATATATCTGGGTGAATTATAAGGACCTCACTGTTCTCCCTCACTGGAATCATGGATAATAGGGGGAATCATCCCAAAATGGCCTTATTTCAGGTGTGTGAATTATTATAATTTGCCCAGAATATATCAGCTGGTTCATAATCACGCAAAAGGGTTGTTAAACTCAACAGGAAAAACCCTGGAAAATGGATGAACATGGCCCATGTAAAGATGACTTATGATGATTTACGTATGGGTAAACGTTTACATTGACGTGGAAGCCATTGCCCATGTCGTTCGATGATTTATGATGATTTGCCGAGCTATAAAGGGTTGATTTTCCACAGCTGTGTTAAAGTACCAGAGGGTGTAGCCCGAAATAATACCCTCTGGTACAAAAAACTTTGGAAAATCACCATTTTTATGGGTAAATCAACTATAAGTGGCAATTTTCAATAGCTATGTAAACGTTTGCCAGAGGGTAGCAGTTCCAACTGGAAACATGAGGATCAACCGTCGGATCAGAACCCGTTTGGTACTTTCCCAGGTTCAGATTCCATGGAAGTAGGATCATGACTGCGGATAAGGCTGCATTAGGGCAAGGTTCAGAACATTCTACCCTGCATGGGTGGGATGGCAACTGCACGTCAATGGCTCAAAAGATCAGTGTGCGGAGCACTCTTCTTGACCTCTAAACTATGCTCCATCTAGAGTAGTTGAAGCCTCTCCAAATGTCACAGAAGATACGCATGACAAAATTGAAGGTTACATGAGTTTCTTCACATGAATAGTATCGTATAGTAGTATATGTGCAATTGAAGTCTATATGTTCTTATTGTTGGAGAGAAACCACATGTGTCTATGTCATTCTATGTCTATATATATATTTACATACATATATATATATATAATATGATATATGATATATGATATATCATATATCATATATCATATATCATATATGAATAATACAGGTATATAATATACATGCATTGTATTGCATTGCATTGCATTACATAACATACCTATTCTCATACTTTATGTTGTTGTATATGATAATATGTTGTTATTTTGATGTGGGTTGGTTTGGGATGATAGGATAGGGTTCGGGGTACCCCAAAATCCCCAAATCCCATATGGTTTGTCAGGATTTCTCATCAGCATCGCTATTTTGAGGATATCCCATTTCTCAGCAAACCCATATGCCAACGGCTACACTTTTTTCCGAGTCTGAGAATGAGTTCAGGGGAAACATTGCAGGAAACCCTCATATTTGGTAGGAAGCAAACAAGTTTCTCTGTAGATGCTCCTTTCAAACAAACCATGTTGCTATATAGAGGTCTGTTTTTAAACATTGATTGCCGCTAAAGAATCATTTAGTATTGCTGAACTCCCCATGTTTGTTGCTTAAATACCAGAATATTCTCCAATTTGCAGACCTGCAGGCCCCTCTTTGCATCGGAGTGTTACACTCATCCCCAGGCCCCAAGATGCCACCGTGTTGCCAGGGAGCAAGGCTAGAGCCAACCATGGTTGGATTCTCTGGGAATTCAGTGCTGGAAAATTCCATACAAATTGGTTCGATGATTTTCCCCTTCAAAATTCAAGAAATATAGGACATTAATATGATTTACAATGCAATGCTTGATTACCAGAGAGTACTAGAAATAGATGGAAATAATGGTAATTTGACAAGGGCGCATGCTCCACTCCCAATTCGGAGAGATGGGACCAGGCAATCTCGGTGTTGTTTCGTCAGTGTGTCCCAAAAATTGCGATACTCCGCACTGAAGCTCCGGCGTGTCTCCATCACCAGGGTCACCAGGGTCACCAGAGTGCTGAGTTTGCAAATTCTTTGACCAAGCTTGCAGCGTTTGGCTGTTCTCGCTTCATGCAATGTTTTTTTGGCTGTTGCTTGATACGTGGCGATTATTTCCCCCAAAATCCCTGGATTTTGACCCAAGCGAACGATGATTGGAACAGTTTGGAACGGATCTCATTGGATGTGAACATTGATGATCTGATGTTTGATATCCTTTGACGTATGTTGCATTTGCAAATATTTGGTACTGAGGAGCAATCAATATATTCATGAAGTAAGAAAGGTTCGTATCCCCAGGCCATGTTTTCCAGTATTTCGACATCATGTTATCCGGTATATTCCAGTTATCGCTTTTTTGACATCTCATTTTTCTCAACAAATCAAGTGACGCTATGGAATCCCAGGCGGGGAAGCGATGGATGGCGACGGGACACGGGGCTTGATGGTTCTTGGGGATGACAGGCTGAATCTGGTATGCTGCCATACATATTCCGTCATTGTATGTATTTCATGTGTAGTGTAGATATAATGATACAGTAAAAAAACATATATGCTATGAACACAAGAGCTTGAACAAAGCATGCTGCATCTTGGATATGTCACACTTGCTGTTTTGGAGGGCCGACAGGACATTTTGCTTCGCTCTCCCGTGTTAGCTGACACCAGGTTGAGATGTTGACAGGCCGGCTGCGGTGACTGAGGGGTTGACTGCGGCTGGTGAGTTGTTTGGGGTGGGGGTATTCGCTGCAGGGTCCCAGGGTATGGGTATGACCGTGCAACTCACAGATTCTGTTTTTTTTGTTGAAGCCACTATCACTATCCTAAATTGTATATATATATATATACATACCATTATATATCATACACATACGTGCATTGTATCTATGTATATATAATTATATATATATATAGACGTGCCGGTGCCTGCAGTGCCTACCCTAGCAACAGTTGAAATATACCAAGCATATCAAGTATACTAGCACTAGAATGAGGGAATAATCACATATACCCTCTGGTTATTTAACATAGCCATGGAAAATGGCCCATAGAAATAGATGGTTTACCTATTAATAGCATGGTGATTTTCCATGGCGAACTGTTAGTCATAACCAGATGGTAACAACCTTGATCTATGTTGGTTGATCCACAACCACCGTTTCGGCAGGCATCGCCTGGTCGTTGTTTCATCGCTTCTGGCTGCCCGCTTTACTGGTTTGGGGTCGACGCCCCCAGCGTGGCGTGGGGCTTTCTCTGCTGAGAAACCAGAGATGGGTGCCGTTACTAACAGTTGGATGGTGGAACCAGGAGAAAACATACTGATCTGGTTGATGGTGGTTAGTGATGGTTAATGATGGTTAATGATGGTTAATAATGATTAATAATCACTGGTTGATGGTGACTGGAACATGAATGTTAGTTTTCCAGTTGGTAATGTCACAATCCCAACTGTTACTCACTCCATCATTTTTTGGGGTAGGGCTCAACCACCAACCAGCGATACTTGAAAAAAATGACAAAAGTGGGATTGAAGTACTTCAATCCCTGGCTTCGGAGCTTTTTTTGGGTGGATTCGGCAATTTTTTCACACGTTCCAGGTTCTATGAAATTGGTGCAGACCATTGGACGCATTTGTCTTGCATGATGATTTTTATGGTGAGATACCATACATTATATGTTGTGTCCATTATGTTGTGTCCCCACGTCCCTTCATACATGTCTACATTGGTTTTGCAAAGTCTCATGACGAAAAGTAGTTGGTCGCCATCAAAATCTAATTTGCACGAACGCACGCATAGTAAATCAACAGAGATTGGCCCTAAAGATGAAATGCATCTGGATGATTCTCCCATGGTTGTATACTAAAAAGGCCCCATTTTTGGTGGTTCCCGTATCACCCCAAGTCACCACGGTGAAGGATCCCCTAGCAGCCTAGCAGGTCAACGGGTATAATGGGTCACATAGCTGAAAATCATTGAAAATCTTCATGTCCTTAGTTCACAACCATTGGATTTATATATATATATATTTATTATCCTTTATGGCTGTTTATTCTTTGTCTTCCACCAATCCACCCCAAAAATCGCCTATTGAGTTCTGAGTCAGTACCCCCACAAAACTCCAACATCCAGGAGCACTCCACCTCTCCATCCAAAATTTGAGATACAAAAGGCCCAGTCATAGGTGGGATTCTTGTCCAACATTTGTCCATTCATAGACCCAATGATAATTCAAATTTGTAGGGATTGGAGGGATTTGTTGTGCAGAGTCGGAGCAATAATTTGAAATGTACCGAAGGAAATGATTTCGAACTCACATATATGGTTCTGTCTGAAAATGGGGTATACCGGGTATACAGGTATACCCTGGATCAAAGACATTTGATGCGGAACATTTTCATGAACATGAGGACATGAATTTTTGGGGTACCTTATTGACAAACCCATATTATTATTACTATTATTATCATATTGTTGGCTATAAATCCCATACAATCCCATGATATAGCCATGACATACCCATGACATCCAGATCGAGCTTCACTGGGCCCCAGGCGGAGCTCGTTTCGTGATGGGCGTGTCGCACGCCATCGGCATGGTTGGTGGCCAAGGGTTTTCGGTTTTTTTTGGGCGACTACCGGGTATGAAGAAATCAGGTTGGAATGTGTCCTTTTCCATACTATGACGATTCGCTATATCGATTTGATAAATTTCTGGTTTTTGAAATTCTATAAATTACCTTATCCACGAGAAAATTGTGGATGAATCGGATTGAATCGGTGTTTTAATTGAGATTGACTTTCTAGGAAATTTTTGAGGATGTAGCCGTGGTTTTTTTAACCTTCCAGTGATGGAAAATTTAGAACCATCGCAACAAGGTGGCTTCCCCAGTAAAAGGCTGGTACACCCAGACTTTAGGTATGATTGTATAATATTGTATACTTCATGGTGGTTATAAGCCAACTAACGTGGGGCAGCAGTGGGTAGCAAGGTGGTCTGAAAGTCTCCATGGCCAGGGTGTCCTACTTGTTACAATGCGTGATTCTGGAGTTGCTACTGAAGGTGCGGATGGGTTGGGACGCGTACCATACGGATATGGGGGCTTTAACCAGAAGAAAGGCATTGAACCAGCAAAAACAGCGATATGGGAAATTTGATGGGATATATTTTATCAACTTGATATGATATTTGGTTCAGTCTGAAAATTGAGATTTATAGAACCCCCCAAAAATGCGATTTTAAGAGGGGAAGATTATGATTCACCAGTGGATGGACTGCGGTATCCTATTTTCAAACACACTTATGTATTATTGTAGACTCCTTACCCTCTCTACTGACCTATGGGCTGATGGGCTGATTATCCAACCTCTTACAAAAAAGCACGACTTGGTGCAACCAAACACAATGCTGTCTGCTGTAGAGTACTGGGTCTGTTGTCCTCTTTGGTCATCAACGCTCGGAAATCACCACTTTCAGGAGGAATGTACATCATGTTCGACTAGTGTTTGTTTTGAAATTGTCTTATTCTTTGGAACCTCTTCAGCAGATACAACATAGTGAATAGTGACTCCACACAAAGAATCCGAAACAACTCGCAAACAATCTCAAAGCCTTGACACCATTCCTGCAAGGGCATCCCACTTCTAAGTTGTTTTGAACCTATTCTTCACCATTTAGATGGTCATTGAACAACTATTTAACCAATCATGCGCACCCGAATTTGGCACGAATTGGGAACAATTTAATTCCAAAGAAACAGTTCTAAATATCCAGCCAGATCCAAGCATTTTGACATATGTTGACTAAGCATGAACCAAAGTTTACACATACAACATATCTACAATCCATTAACGCAACCGAAGCCAGCCATTTTTGAAGGCGCCTGGTCGATCCTGGTCAGGTGCAGGTGCTCATCTTCACATCGGAGGCCTTGGTGCAACCCAAGGCGTCACGGCACGGAAATTGGAAGAAACATTGTTTATCGGGCGAGGTTGTTACCATCTGGTTTTGACTAACAGTGAGCGAACTGGAAAATCCCCATGCAAAAAAAGTTCGGCAAACCATCTATTTCTATGGGCCATGGCTTCCATGGCGAACTGTTAGTCACAACCAGATGGTATTGCAATGTATTGCATTTGTTTCCCCTGCCAGGTAAGGGTCTCACTGCCCACTGAGATTTGGTGCTCACGGTTGAGGTCCATCAGTGTCCATGTCAGAGAGAATGTCCGAGTAAAATCCCAGAATAGAATGCCAGAATAGAATGTCAGAAAATATATGCCATATACACTTCCAGATGAGATGTCAGAAACTGCGACAAATTTATTTTGTCACGGTGGGGATCACTCGAAGTAAAGTAATTTGATCAAAATAGTTTATTCAAACCCATGAATATCCGATAATATCTGCCATATTCTGCCATAGTATACTATATGATATTCCAACTATGTCACCATGTGTGTCTTGTTGATTTACTTCAAAGTTGTCAAATATCGTTGGAATTTTGAAGCCTAGCCACTCGTGAGGCATCCCAAGGAGCGCCAAGTCTCACGGCAGAGGAGAAGCAGTTGCAGTTGAGAGGCTGCAAGGTGTGGAAATTGCTGGCTTTTGATGCTGTTTCCTGGAGATGGATGATATCACCTGCAGGGTTATTGACACAGAGATATGGGGATACCAGATATGGGGATGTCCAACAACTTGGGATATCGGAAGAAACTGCGCAGTTGCTCAGATGTGGTATTGCCTGTGAAGTATATGTTGTTTAGCATAAGTATATTGGATATCCTTCAAAACCTTTGTAAATGGTACAGGGACTTGTTTTCCTGGTTGCTTAAAATACTTGGAATGATTTGGAATGGTCCACCCCTGCCCATCCCATGTCATCACTTGGCATGTCAGTTCTTTGCCGAAATTGACATAGCAAGACGGTGATATTAGAGTTTCACAAATTTGTACATGGTGATATATATATATATGATTATATATGTATATGTATTATATATATATATGTATTATATATATACATGTATTATTAATATATGTATATTATATATGTATATTATATATGTATATTATATATGTATATTATATATGTATATTATATATGTATATGTATTATATATCTATATATGTATTTTATATGTATATATAACTATATATGTATTATATATATATGTATTATATATATACATGTATTATTAATATATGTATATTATATATGTATATATGTATATTATATATGTATATGTATTATATATCTATATATGTATTTTATATGTATTTATAAATATATATGTATTATATACATGTATATTGTATGTATATATATATATATTATATGTATATATATATATATGTATTATATATATATGTATATTGTATATATATATATACAATAGTATATATATATGTATTATATATATATATGTTATATATATATATATGTATTATATATTTGTATTATATATATGTATACGTGTAATATATATATATATAGGTATATATATATATGTATATATATACATATATTCATGTATATTATATACATGTTTTTTTTATTAATAAAAAAAAAAACAAAAAACAAAAATATGTACATGTGTATATATATAGTTATATATGTAGGCATGTATGTATGTAAGAACATACATTTTTGCCATAAGTTGGATTCTTGAAGTTGGAGGTTCCCGTTTGCAGGTTCTGTATTTCTTCACCCAGTTTGTTCTGCAGCACAGGTCGTGTCCCCCAAGGACTACACGGCCTCCGGACAAAGTCTCCCTCCTAGCAAGAAGCAGTGTGCTCAGGGGAAGCGGACACCGACGTTGCTAACCGTTGGACGAAAGAGGGGACGTTGTTGAACCAACAATAATCATGGTTACCCTCTGGTAAACTAACTAACATAGCGGTGGAAAACCACAATTGTTAGTGGGTAAATCAACTATAAATGGTCATGTTCACCAATCATTATTGTTGATGATGGTATGATAACTGATAACTAACAATAAGGGTTAATGAATGAACCATGATGGTTAACAATAAATCATGATGGTTGATTGTTGTTGGTCATGTAAGAAGGGTTAGTACTTGTTAATGATGTGGGTATAACCAACAATGGGTGAATAGTGGTGAATGTGTCAACATGTGAGATTCACCAAATATTGGATATTTGGAATAATGTGAGATTCACCCAATGCAATAAACCATCCCGAAGTCATCACCAATGTTTAATGGGTTTGATTCCAACCATCCCGAAATGGTAAGTTTATGGGTAGTTTTATGGCATTGGGTTTGCCACATTACTGGGCAAACCTTTGTGAATGGAGGCAGTTCATGGATTATATTGAAATTTATGTATTATATGTATTTTTCGACATGTGGATCAATACTTGCTGTAAAAAAAATGTATCCTCTGGTAAATAGGTAAAGTATCATACATCATCTATAAACCAGCAATTCTCCATAGATATGTGACATAGCCAGCCGGTACATCATCCCATGGTTGTTCCTCGGAACTGCTAGGGTCCCCAGGGTCCCTGATATCGACAGGGTCTCGACCATGTTCAAAGATCCTCCCGCTGGGCAACGGATGGAGTATGGAGGAGCACATGCTGTGGGTCAGCTGGGCCCTGTCTGGTTAGAGGTTCTGGGCAATAGAAGATCCAATATTTTTGGGGGATATTCCTGAGAATTATCGTATATATATATATATACGTATTATATATATATATATACACTCAAGATCGTGAACTGTCACCTGATTTTGAGTCCAAAGTAAACTATGCGGGCGGTCCGGACCTGTTTTTTTTGTTTGTTGTTTTGCATTTGTCAATTTGGACATTCCGGAATCTGTGCGGGTTTCAGTTTTCAGCCATATTTGGAGATATCTAGAGGTTAGAGGAGTTGAAACATGTTGACACATCCCCGTTCCAATTTCCAGCACAGAATGGGAGAAGCCTCACATTCCGCCGTATCAGGTCTATTTTCTAGGTAAACATAAGGTTGCAAAATGGGTTTGGGCCGTGCATTTTGTACAAACAGGTTGGGCATTGCATTTTATAAGATTTCAATGTTTGGGTAGTTGAAAGACCTTTAAAAATCAAAAGCCGTTTTGTACCACGGGAAGTTGCCCTACGGAAGGCATCATGTTAAAACCCAATCTCATTTTGTAGTGGTGGAGTGTCCCCTTCAAGTAACCTGATGATAAAAAAACAATCTTCATTTTGTAGCAGTATCATGTTGTCATTTTCCGTAACCCTCAGGAGGTTGAGAACCATTATTTTATAATGGCTGAGGTTAGGAACAAATGCAATGCCTACTTAAAATGACGGGTCCCGACCCCGTAGCCGAATGTGTTTCATGGGGATGTTGAAACCACCATCCACCAGGTGATTTTGCCCATGATTTTGAGCTTCTACCCATGTAAAACCGGGCTGGGTGAGGAAGCAGCAGCAGCAGCTCCAGTCATCTCGGTCGGAAACCTCAGGAGGCTCTGCATCAAAATCGGATGTTGAGGTCACTTGAGCCATTCAAACGACCTTTGCTGATGGTTTCATAGCGGAGGTTATGCTACCCTCTGGCAATTTAACATAGCTATTGAAAATGATCATTTATAGTTGATTTACCTATGATAAATGTGATTTTCTATAGCTAGGTGAGTTTACCAGAGGGTACTCAACATAGCAGGAATTCTCACAATCCATGATGGGAAATCCTATTCACCATCACAACAGGGGCTGCTCAATGGTCTTGATGGGTGCCAGTTTCATGCCAAGTTACGCTTGCCGAGTTGGATGCCTTGATCTCTTTGAGGTCGCCATTTTGGAAAATGCCCCTGCAATAGATCAGAATGGCAGACCTGCATCTTGGTCCCAGTGTTTTCAAGAAATACTCCACACCATACCATGGTACCATGGTAGGTGCCCTCAAGAATAGCCATATGTTGGATCCCAAGCTACTCACTGGGATGATCCAAACAAAACTCCAAGTATCATGTATTGATTACACATGTTTGTATACAGTATAATATAGATATATACATACACATACACATATCCATACACATACACATATACATACACATACACATATACATACACATACACATACGCATACACACACACATACACATACACATACACATACATACACATACACATATATATATATGTTGTTATATATAATTGTATGTATTGTACACTTGTTGCTCCATGAACCCAGCTACAATTTCTATACTGTACACTGTATATTACGTGTATTTGTATAATACTGTACATGCGTGGTGTACTTACTTGTCAATCTGTGTATATATACACATGTGCACACGATTTTATTATACATCACTTTAGCATACAATATTGTTGATTAGATATTTTTTGAGTTCAATAACTATAATATATATATATATAAGTACCAACATTATCGCTCTATATCATGTGTATTACACTTATAGTCCATAAACATACTGATACATTTATACACACATTACACATCATATGCATCATATGCTTGTGCAGACTACATATAATGTTCTTTTTATCTCAGGATTAGTACACATTTACTATATGGAGGTTTCCTAAAATAGGACTACCCCCATATCTTCCATTTATAGATGGATTTTTCCTTATTAAAACCATCTATTTTGGTGCCCTGCCAGGCCACCTCTCTCGGTCTGGTGGAAGAAGACTGGCTGCAACGTCGCAACTGCTTACGTCCGGTCGGCCGGTCCAACGTGATGCAGTCCCAGTTATAGCTTGGCTTATGAACCCATGAAACTGCATTTCAATGCGCAGTAATTATGAACACTTTGAATACACCTACAAACTGATTTGAAGAAAATTGGGATAAGTATCATCCAAATTGATGGATCTAACTATCATTTGATAATGGTTAATGATGAATGATTCAGCAGTATTAACCACTATTAACCATTCTTAGCCATTAACGTTGGCCCTGCGGGCGTATGTCGTGAGGGTATCTCCCTGGCATGACTTCGTAAGCGCGGATGGTTCCAGATGGTGGAGGTGTATGAATGACCCAATCAGTTAGTTAAGCCTGAAAAGTAAGATGGAGTTTTTTGAACTCCATGAATAGCTATTAGTGGTTAAATGAATGGTTTATTCGTGGTTAATAATCATTATTGGCCATGGTAATCATATTAACCAGTATTATTGATTAATAATGGTGAATAATGGTGAATAATGGTGAATAATGGCTAAACTCCATGGTGATTAAACTAATAATCATGGCTAATGATTAATTTTCTGGCTGTGAACATGTCCAAGTCCGGAAAAGCACGCCGTTCCATTTCTTGTGGTTTTGAGCTGATGGGCCCATGAGGACTCGTAGTGTAACGATGGAGGAAGATGATGTCATATGATGTCCATGTCTGAAGTCATAAACTTAATACCTACAGTTTGGATGGTGAGCCCCTCTTGCTGTATATATATATATATATATATGGTCAAAACCCTAAAGAGTTAGAAGGTGCGAAAGGGTCATTTAGGTTCCATCTGGACGTATACCTAAGCATTTGACATGCATTGAAGTTTACAAGTGTATTATATATATATATATGCGCATATAATGTTACATTTACTGTATGTTCCTCTATATTGTTTGGGTTAATTACCACAAACTTACCCGCCCATGTCACTGTGTATGCTGGTGTACGTACTACATGTACATACAAGCCTATATAGGGGGACCACCCCGAAACAATTTTGTTTCAGATTGGTGATTTCTCTTGATTCAATGACATGCCTTCATCCCCGCCAAGTGTTAAGCGTGGACCGCAAGTTTTGCATCCCACATCGGCTCATGTTCAATTACCATCAGGACCCATCCGGATAGAAATTGGGAACAGCATGTTTATGGCCATTGGGAACAGCTAATCATGACCCATCCCCATCAGAACAGCATGTGAAAATTTGATGATGCCCTCCGCGAATCATGGCCATTGATGGCTGTACAATCCCCCCTTTTTGGCTGTGCTTTGGGGATTTCCTGGCAGCTAGTGGTGCTTGATTCATCGGGCCATTCATAAAGGGTATCCCATTGTTTGTATCCCAGGACCAGCCATGATTTTTTTCCATGATTGGCAATGACTAACCGTTATTAGCCATTATTGGCCATTATTATCAATGATGAACCATTATTACCAATGATGAGCCACTATCAACCATCATTTACCATTATTAACAATTATTAACCATGTTTAGCCATTATTAACCATGTTTAGCCATTATAAACCATCATTAACCATTATTAACCGTTATTATCAATGACTAACCTATGGATGATTGTCCTATGTCAATGCCGTTTTTCGCAGCGATTTCCAGCGACGATTGCGCCAAGGCGAGGGTGCAGAGGTCCACCGACAAGTGCGGCAGTTTCTGCAGCAGAAGGCGGGCGGTGGGTGGTGAAGCAATGTTCAACAGACGACCAACTGGATAGGTAGGAAATAGTCCAACTGGATGGGTAGAAACCCATCCAACCGGTAGTTTTTTGCGATAAATGTATGAATCAACCAAAAACAGCAAACTATTGTTGTTGCTATAAACAAGAAAATAAACAGCAAAAGATGACGTTTTTTGTGTGAACTACCAAAGATTAAGACTATGTGTAATCACCTGGGATTTGTTCAACTGAATATGTCGCGACTATATTCATGAAATTCACAAATAGATATTTGACTGATATTACAACAATAGTCATTGATAGGTGCACAATTACAGTAATTAATATTACAATAAACATTGATAGATGAGTCTTGCCAGCAGTTGTTTGAAACAAAATCAGTCAAGTCAATAGACTACATGATATGTAAACAATGTACTTATGTAGACAACATGTCAACCATTAAAAGATACCTTGGTTGATTGGTTAGTATAGGGACTTTACTACCTAATTTATTGGAGATTATGATAACCATAGTAGGGAAGCCTATCAACATTATTTTATGTCCCAGTAGTAGTATCACCATTATGATAACCATAGTAGGGAACCCTATCACCTATAGAAAATAACATTATAGGTAACTACAGGTATTACATGTTACATAGGAATAACATACTTTATGATAACCCTATCACCTATTACATAGGAATAACCCTATTTATCAACATGTAATATGCTCTGGTATTCCTTTCAGCTGCAGGTCCGTCCAGGCATCCAGTTGCTGGAAATTGCAGAGATGGCCTGGGGACCCTTGCGTTGGTTGATGGTCGGTTCACTGGCTTAAGCAACCCAAATAGAGGTTTAATATGGTTTAATCATGTTTTATCCGTTTGCAATGTTGGTTCTTAGGGATTTCAGTGATTTCGATGGATACTGGTATTTATGTACATATATATATATATGTACATATATATATATATACATATACATATACATATATATATATGTATATATATACATACACATGTACACATATACATAAATTATATATATATACATATGTAAATGTGTGTATATGTACGTAAATATTTCATACATGCAAATGTTGGGATACACGCGAATTGTTCAACCCCGCCTCTTGGGTCTTGAATTGTCTCTGGCCCATTTTTCGACAACGCCTTGGGAAGTACTGAGTATCGCCGAGTCCGCCAGTTTTAGGATGTTTTAGGACACACGTGCTGTATATATATATAATAACTACTACTAATAATATAACTATTGTATAATATATATATATATATGTATGGTCTATACTTATTGTATATATAATATAAATATATACTCTGTATATCTTGTAAACTGAAAGGACGATGAATTAAGATTTGTTCGCCAACCCCCACCCCCCAGCATCACGAGGTCGAGAAGGTCCGAGGGAGTTTGCCTGATGGAACTGCGTATGGGTCAATATTTCGTGGAACGCACAGAATTTGGGTCTTATCAATAGTATTTTCCTCTGTTTATTCAATACTGCTCATACAATAGGCTAAAAAAAAGGTTTGATTTGAGTTTTGAATTTTGGGGCGGTAAAACCATGTAAAACCCACTCAAGACAGGCCATGTTAGGCCGTTGAACATTTTGCCTCGTTGAATCCTCTGGGTAGATTATAGCATCACAATGACCTCGCCGTAGAATTGATGGTTAAGACGAATCATCCCCAAAACTGGTTGTGTTTGGTTTGTGTTTGGTTTGTGTTCTATTGTTTGCCCAGGTTCACCCCTCATGTTTGATTTCAACCAGTACCTTAGATAAATTTCTAATCCCCGATTTATGGTTTGTGAATCTCAGTATTGTTGTAGACTCAATGTCATAAACATCCAGTAGGGATGGTGAAAAAAAACAGCCATTTCTGGAGATTGGTTCATTATCCCATGAATTTGTTGGGCGAACTACATGAATCTGTCCACAAGATCATGTTTTGATCCCAGACTCCTGGTCCAGGCCTCCAGTTCTTTGGTGGCTTTTGATCCTCGAAATCCGCTGAGGTGCGCTTCGGGAGTCATGGAAGGAGTGACTGGAGGGCGGTTTTTGTGATGTGCTCTCCAACGGGAGCATTTACAGCAAGCCCTTGGATAGATACCCTCTGTTTTTTTAACATAGCCATGGGAAATGGCCCATTTATAGATGGTTTACCTTTAAAACATGGTGATTTTCCATGGCTATGTTAAGTAACCAGATGGTATATATATATAACTGTTTATAATTGTATACATACAGAGAGAAGGAATAAAAAACACACACACATGTACTCGTAATTGAAGCTACTAATATCTTTGTATCGGTTGTCTCCATTGGCAGACATTAGATGCATTGGATTATCCTGCACTGGGATCCATCTGGGTATGTCCCGGACTATTTGAACATCAAACCAGGTGTGTGGTGGTTTAGACAACCCTTAAGCACTCAAATTACGGTAGAAGCCTTTACAAGGCCATCAGCATCCTTGTGCCTTAGACATAGACCTTGCTTAGAGCTGTCAGGAACCTCCAATTCAGGTGCTCTGGTAAACCATGGTAAACCCAAATGCCATAAACCATCATCAATCATCATCCCCAATTTGACCAGAAATGGGTGGTGTAAGGGATTTCAACCATTTTCAACCATCAGAAATAACGTGTAACGAACACGTTGAAGTTTATCGCATTGGGTCAACCCCACATTTCCTGACTTGGCCCCACTGTGCTGACTTGGCCAACCCTTTGCCTAGGCGAGGTTGGGCCTTTCCCACTGGCTTGTCGCTGAACGAAGTGGTGCCTTGTCGCGCAGGATTAGGACAGGGATGAGATGTGGCATGATGTGGCGGCAATTTTTTGGGATCAAACAATGACAACCACCAAAAAGACGGGAACGTCATTTTCCACAATTTTAATAGGATTTTACAATTTTTCTGGGGGGGTTGCGATGCAGCATCCAAGGTTCAGGGATATTCAAGGACTGATTTGCCCCAAATCCCAGCATCATAGGTGTGTCACGAAGCAGCAGGGCTAGAGTCAACCAATGGGAAATGGGAAGTTCTAGTGTAATTGAGGCATGATGAATCAATATAGGGGATTGGATTGATTTAGATTGCTGGAAGGAATAGTGAGCAATAATGGGTGGTTATTTTCGCTGAAAGAGTGGGGTAGAAACAAGCATAATGCATAGAGGCGTATGGTGATGTGAAACCAGCAATACCTGGAATTCAGTTTTGTCCATTGAAGATCAATATCCTTGAACTGGCGTCACATTTTTCGGGATACCCGAAACACTAGTGGTTTCCCCTTCTATGAAAGACTATCAAATGATAGATGTAACTTCAAGTTTCCCAATTCGGGACAGTCCATACTATATGATTTTATTCAGAGAAGCATTGGCAGAGTTCAACAATTCCTTAAGATCTACCTACCCATTGCTAGAGGCACGTTTTCAGCATCCATCCCAGCTTGCAATGATCATAACGGGGCAGGTGATTCCCTTCTTTTTCAAATCCAAAAACCTTGGGATAAGCCATGATCAACAACGTATTGTTTTTTTTTTTCTGTTAAGTTTGTCTTCAAGATTGGCTACCAAAAAAACATATTCAACATTTTCCCTACAACAAGGTATTTTTCGGTCTAAGTTATTTTCAGACACCCCCATTTGCCACGTGCAAATGGTTCCTCGATCGAAGCCATCCCTGATCCAAGGCCATTTGCATATTTCTGATGGCTATAATCTAAAAATACAATGTATTGACATCATTCAACATTCACAATTCTTGCTGGTTCAATTAAAACCTAAGATTGGCCGGTGAAACTCCAAGTTTGCCTGATCTAATCCCATTTTCTGCTGGTTGGATTCCATTTTTTGTTACAACTGGTGACAGCAGCAGCCCAGAACCCAGGCAGCACACGACACGGTGAACCCTGGGGATGCGGCCAGATACCTTCGCCCAGTAACTTGGAGTATCATTGAGTAGATGTTTATTGTTCAAATCTCATATATTTTTTTGTATATATCATTATATATCCCAAAAACGGCATTGGATAGGCTACTAAAAGATCCATATGGAATCATTGTTCTAATTGTATCTAATTATCTAAACTTAGTTATAACATGTTATGAATATATGTATGCCCTATGGATCCAGCCCTACGCAGTATGACTGGGGATTGTACCTTTTGGATCTGGGGGGTGCATCCAAACAGTTGGAGGGGGTGCCTTGGTAGAGATCCATGGTCCCTGTCATGCCCTAATTGTGTCATAGGATTTGATCATACGATATATGTATATAGATATATATATATAGCAGATATATATAATGTACATCTGTGTTTGCATTCTTCAATCTGGTTCTTTGATTTGTGGGATATACTATGGTGATGTAAAAACATCGAAGAACGATGTTCTGTAAGAATACCAGTCTTGGGCCTACCTGCTAAAAGAAACACAGGTGACCCGGGGAAGTGTTGACCAACTGGACAATTATTCTCCTTTCGAACAAGTGAATGCACTCCGGTGATGTTCACACACGCAGCCATCCCTAGTTGTTTGAAGTGGAGTATCAATGTTTTGGTTTAAGGGAAAAATTACAGGAAAGCCCCATGTTCAATGGGAAAATCGATGGTTTCCGGTTTAGATTTTCCCTTAAACCATTGAGAGTAGATACTCAGTGAATCAGTAAATCTTCAGAGTGCAGTTGCCAGAAGTTCACCGGCCACCGCTTTGGTGACCCGTTGGACCTGTCTGATTTTTCCGTTCCATGGCGATGTGTCAAAACACAAAGGTACCTAACCCTAAAATAGCTGGTAAATGGATCTGGTTGGCGGTTTGGAACATTTTTTTCCATAATATATGGGATCATCCTTCCCATTGACTTTCATATTTTTCAAGATGGCTAAAACCAAACCAGGTATGTTCATCCCGCATTCAAATTGTATCTATAGGATTCTTTAGGTATAGACAAAAAATACCCCCATTTTGGTTCCGCACCCTGCGCGATGAATTTTTCCCCAGGCGGATCTCTTGAAGGTGGACTTTGGCGTCCATGTGGCTTGGTTCTGCGATTTCGGAAGGTGGATGAAGGAAAATGAAGGAAATGGTGGTTAAGAATAACCACATTTGACATAAAATGGTGGTTAATCACCACGTAAATTGGTGATTTATTCAGAATAAACTAACAAACACTGGTGATTTGACACACACACACAATGGGATTTAACCATATTTGACCAGCAGGAAGCGGACGTTTCACCAAGACAAGCTATGCAAGTTGGCAGTTCAGAACAAGACATACCAGGGGACTTATATACACAAAAAGGGGAAAACTCAGGAATCGAAACTTAGGCAACAAGCCTTGGGAGACTTTTCCCCATTCACCATTAATTTTGCCGTCTCTTGGCTGGATCCATCATTCAAAGCATCAAATCCTCATTTGTTCCAACGGAAAATATCAGAACACCATCTAGTCAAATTATCTTGTGATTTTCTATGAAGGGTACGTAGTAGTATCCAGTGTATCCATACGTGATATCCCCATGGGTTACAAAACTGTTTGTGGACCATAGTCGCCAATATCATAACACGTACAACCATTATAATTGATGTTTCACTGATCAAAACCGGATTTATAGAATGCATGGTTTTCTACATTTTGTCATACATATATATATGTACATATGTACATATGTTTTCCCCATTTTGGTGGTTAGGTTAAACCATTTTTTAAGGATGGAACCTGATCGCTCAGGTGGAAGGACACATCTTGGACTGCGCCTTCTCAATGTCGTTTGATCCCATGCATGACGAGCGGGGCATCCAAGATTATTGTTGAGATTCATGGATTCATAAGAATGAATAGGTTATTTTACAGAACAGGCCACTGTGGGAGTGCGCAAATTGCAGCATTTCCTGTGCAAAGATCCAACAGCATATGGCGCAACCGGACAAAATTGAATTCCATTCCTCTCTGCTGTTCATTGGCTGAATGCACTATGTCATAGCAAACATTGCTGTACTGTAGTGTATCGACCTTGCTTCTAGTGCAACCACTGACAGTGCCTGGCAATCTCTGCTTGGCACATCTGCAATGGCTATCCAAACCAAAAAAACAAAAAACAAAAAAAACAAAAAAACAAAAAAACAAAAAAAACAAAAAAACAAAAAGACAAGACCCAACACTCTGCATCTGACCCCCTCCCCTTGGGGTGTGCAATCTTGTTTTTTTTTGTTTTTTTTGTTTTTTTGGTTTTTTGGTTTCTTGGTTTTTTGTTTTTTTGGTTTTTCCATGGATTTTTGCAGTTTGGCCAAAACCTCGAGAAAAAAAAAAAAAACACAAAAAGTTCAGACCCATGGGCAAGGTCTGTGCTCTCCACACACAAACCAAAACACCAAAAAAACAAGAAACCAAAAAACCAAAAAACCAAAACAAAAAAAAAACAAGATTGCACACCCCAAGGGGAGGGGGTCAGATGCAGAGTGTTGGGTCTTGTCTTTTTGTTTTTTTTGGTGTTTTTGTTTTTTTTTGTTTTTTTGGTTTGTGTGTGGATAGCCCAGACCTTGCCCATGGGTCTGAACTTTTTGTTTTTTTTGTTTTTTCCATTGTTGTTTTGAATGTTTTTCATGTGAAGATGCTTTCATCACAGTAGCTCTCAAAAAAATGCGCGTCTCTACAATTTGCACACCTGCGCCCCCCAGGCCAAACTGCAAAAAAAAAACAACATGGACTAATATAATGATTAATATAATGATTAATGTAATGACTTATTTTTTTCATGAATATAATGACTAATACAATGATTAATATAATGATTAATATAATGATTAATAAAATGATTAATAAAATGATCAACATCATGATTATTATAATGATTAATATAATGATTAATTTGAATGATTATTAAAATGAAGAATTTAATGATTAATATCATGATTATTATCATGATTCATATAATGATTAATGTAATGGTTCATATAGTGCCTAATGCAATGACTAATATAATTAATATAATGATTAATATAATGATTCATATAATGATAAATATAATGATTCATTTCATGATTCATTAAATGACGTTTATAATGACTAATATCATGATTAATACAATGATTAATGTAATGATTTATGTAATGGCTGATATAATTATTAATTTATTGACTAATATAATGATTAATATCATGATTCATAGAATGATCAATTTAATGATGAATATAATGAAACATTTAATGATAAATATATTAGCATTCATTTCATGATTCATTTAATGACTTTTTTAATGACTAGTATCATGATTATATTTAAAGAATGATTAATATAATGATTACTATTGTGATGAATACAATGATTAATATCATGAGTAAAATACTGACTAATTTAATGAGTTTATATATAATGAGTAATGTAATGATTAATAAAATGATTGATATAATGATTAATATAATGACTAATTTAGTGACTAATATAATGATAAATACAATGGCTAATATAATGAATGTTATAGTGATTAGTATAATGATTGATATAATGACTAATATACTGATTAATATAATGATTGAAAAAATCATATAATGACTAATATAATGATCAATATAATGATTAATAAAATGATCAACATCATGATTATTATAATGATTAATATAATGATTAATTTGAATGATTATTAAAATGAAGAATTTAATGATTAATATCATGATTATTATCATGATTCATATAATGATTAATGTCATGGTTCATATAGTGCCTAATGCAATGACTAATATAATTAATATAATGATTAATATAATGAATCATATAATGATAAATATAATGATTCATTTCATGATTCATTTAAAAACTTTTATAATGACTAAGATAATGATTAATTTAATGATTTTTGTAATGGCTGATATACTTGTTAATTTATTGACTAATATAATGATTAATATAATGATATATATAATGACTAATATAATGATTACTAAAATGATTAATATAATGAATTATATAATGACTGATATAATGATGATTCATTTAATGATTAATTTAATGATTCATATAATGATTCATATAATGATAAAAAATAATGATTCATTTAATGACTTATATAATGACTAATATAATGATTAATGTAATGACTGCATGGAAAAAAGTGCACTCCCACAGCGGCCAGCTCTCCAGAATTTTATGGGCATAAATCATCATAGATCTCTACATTTTCTCTTATTTTAGTCAAATAGATATATAACCAGCACCATTTTCATATGATTTCTGCCAATTCCTGGATTTTTTGGGGTGGTTGCTGATGGTATTACCCTCTCGTAAACACACAAAAAACTATCGAACATCACCATGCTATTCATGGGTAGTTATCCACTATTTCGACTGTGCCATTTTCCATAGCAATCTGTCAACGTTTACCAGAGAGGATACCCTCTGGTAAACTAACATAGCTATTGAAAATGGCCATAGGAATAGTGAGTTTTCCCATGAATAGCATGGTGATTTTCCATAGTTTTCACCATTAAATGGCCATTTATAGTGGATTTTCCCATTAAAAATGGTGATTTTCCATAGTTATGTGTATGTTTACCAGAGGATATCGCCAGTGTCAACACAGTCTCTTCCAGCAAGGCTCATGCGAGCTGTCCAGGAAGCCACTGAGGAAGGCCTCAGGCCATGGGTGTACTCCATCCAGTCGTCATGGATGAACTGTGTATATATATTATATTATTATATTTTATATATTATATATTATATATATATTATATTATATATTATATATTATATATACAATTATATACATATTATATATTATATATTATATATTATATATACAATTATATGCATATTATATATATATATATTATGTACATATTATATTATATATATATCATATAATATATATACATTATATATATATATATTATATTTTATGCTACAAACATATATATATATATAGTATATACTATTATATATACGTATGTGTGTAATGTAATGCAATGAAATGCAAAAAATGTAACATAATCTTATTTATTTCCCCGTGCATGTATTAATGTATTTATGTTATGTTTAATATATATATATATATATGTATATATATATATGGAACTAGTTGCTGGTTGCTGGAGGATGATATACATTGATATGCATAAGTGTTTGGATTCAATAAGTGACTATGGTCCCGGCCACAATTATAGAACGGAAGCTGAGGAGTACGAAAGAACGGTTGGAAGAACGGTACCCTGTTGTTCCATAATTCCTGTTTCCTCAGAACGTTGGAAGAAAAACTTAGTCTCAACTTACTCCTAACATTTTTTTGTCGTTCATTGTCGTTCTATAATTATTGCTGTGTTCCATAATTGTGTTTTTCCCCCATATTTCTTACATTTACCAATTCTGTTCTATAACTGCGTGGTCTATATTCAAGAAGACAGAAAAGCACCTGTTTGTTTGATGATTGTTGGTTCTTTTCTGTTACCCCCTGGCTATTTAGCGTATGTAGCTATGGAAAAACACATTTTTTAAAAGTAAATTATCATAATCAATCTATAGATGAACCATTATTTCCATAGCTATGTTTAATGATCAGATGGTAATTTCCGTACTTTTTCCAGGCCCTGGATGCACAAAGTTTTGCCAGGCAAGTGGGGCATGACGCGCGCATCTGTGAAGTGAGCAGATGTATCCAAGAGGTCATGGAAGCTGGTGAGGTGCGGGTGCCACGGATGCCGATGGGATGCCGATGGGCCAGGGATGGTGGAATTTCTGACAAAAAAAATGATAGATATGTTCAATGGAAATTCCAGGATCCTAAAATGGAGGAACGTTAGTACCATACTTTTTGGGGGGATATTCCCTTACATAGAAAGATGGCCATTGATAGATATGTTGTTTAAAATTGATGGACATGACAATTGATACTACGATAGTTCTGATACAAAAAGTCTGATATAGATTAATTTTGATAGGGGTGGATTTGAAAGAAAACATGATGGCTACGCTTGATGTAGATGATTTTGATAGCGTGAAATGGGTTTGAGAGAGAAAGAGAGGGAGAGAGTTTGATCAGACCGCCATAAAGTCCCAGTGGTATAGGATGTGTATGCACTTTGAATGGGGGCCCATCATTGTGAAATTTTCCCACATGGGAACTGAGGAACTGGGGAACTGGTGTTGTGATCCCAAGAGAAGACGACCACATGCCAGTGTGAACAAGAGGTTTTCCGGGAAATTTTAGAAAGAGGATTGCATAGCAATTTCCGGGATGAATTATAGCAATATCACATTAGATTAGATGACCAAGTCCCATGAATGAAGGATGTGTTTTTTGTTTGTACCAGGATTGTGCAACCCACCAACAATTACAGTACATAAAATCATAACAACAATCACCGATTTATATAGGATTGGTATTGATTGAGCACAGACTCTCCAGAAAATAGTTGATTGTCTTGTTTGGTTTGCGCTTCGCTACATTGATGCCTACAGTACATGGAACATCATGGGACATCATGGAACGCTGGTTGTGTCTTATTCTGAAGGCGTCCTGCCTTCAGTTGTACTCAGCAGCAAGCCTTGATAGATCATTGTTGATGCAAATTAGGTAGTTATATAATTAATTATATACTGGTTGGTGGTTTCAAACATGTTTTATTTTCCATTTCATATATGGGATGTCATCCTTCCCATTGACGAAGTCATATTTTTCAAGATGGTGATTGCACCACCAACCAGATTTTATTGTCAACTCTTGAGATGGGTATGTTGCCCGTGTTGAACTGAAAGATCACAGCCACATGCTGTCTTGATTTACCCACTGGTTATGACTAACACTTCGCCATGGAAAGATCCACCCATGCTATTAAGAACGGTAAACCATCTATTTTTCTATGGGCCATCTATACCATGGCTATGTTAGTCATAACCAGAGGGTATACCGTTAAATCCCATTAAATCCCATTAAACCACCATTTTCCTATGGTTTTCCTATGGTTTTCCTATGGTTTTCCATAACTGGTAGTCATAACCAGAGGATCTTGTTGTTGTTTTTTTGACCATCTGGGTTCGGCATGGAAAAAAGGGAACCCAAAGGGGACGGACAATCAGTAGAAGTAAAGAACTTCTTGACAACAGGGAACCCTACATTTGCCCATACTGTTATGCCCTGCAAAATACCACGTGGTACCCAAGTCTTATCAAATTCAGAAGTTTCTGAAGTGATATCAAGTTGGTTAGATGCATGTTTTTCATGATTACTCCCAGTTAGAATGGGGTTTCCCATGTTTTTTTCCCCTCTGATTGTCCTTACAGCTATGAATGGGTTATGCGAATCGTGAGCCACTTGGGTCCCATGTCATCCAAGGTTCATCATCCCAATGGGAAGGTCTTACCCGTGAAGGCCAGTGGCGGCCTGGGATTGTTTGAAACCTTGACATGTTGGATGGTTTCAGATACAATGTATATATCATTATATATCATTATATATCAATATATATATATACACATAAGTCATCTAAGTATGTGTATGTAATTTTACACTACTGGACATATTCCATCCTATTTGTTTCCTTAATGTGCCACATGCTTGATGATAGGCAGGGCCCATCTCTGGATATCTCTGGGGTCACAGTTGTCAGGTGATCAAGAACCTCACCGGGCACATGATTGGACCATACAAGATCCATGCTGGAAAGTGGGGGCATCCCCGGGCACGGAAGGATTTGACCTGGGATCGTTGGTTCGTCAGTATAGTCGTTGCTTCGTCATCCCCATTTCTGAGAGGTTTCTGAATGGTTTCTGACTGGCTGAAAAATGAGAACATGATGTTTCGATGAAGAATGCCTTTTATTTCTACTAGGTGCTGGGTGCTTGATCTACCAAGTCGTTTTGCTTTCGAGGCGGTTCTGCATTTTTATCACTTAAGTTTTTGGGTGAATTGACCGTTCTACAACGGCATCGCGGCATCCAGTGTGAATGCTGCCTGTAAACTCGGAATCTTGCGAATAGAGAGTTGTAGGTCTTGAACTAGCTGTTGAATCTACAGACTGTAAACATCTGTAAACCAAGGTCATGATGTATCTTTGGGATGCAGTTTTTTTTATATCTCGGAATTTAGAATAACGATTTGAGGTTTGTGAAATGTTGTGATCCAGTCAGATACACCATCGAATACTGGGAATTATAATAATATTGTGATCCAGTCAGATACACCATCGAATACTGGGAATTATAATTACGTATATATACACATGAATTGTATGAATGTTTAGCAGCAGTTGACCCATTTGCACTTCTCAAATGCTGCGAAGCAGTTTGCGTTGTTTCCTTCAGGTCACTCCCATCCGTGAACACCGGGGATCAGGCGCCTGAGATTTGGCTTCGTGGAATTTCATTGGGATGGGTAGGGAATGGTACTACCCTCTGGTAATGACTAACATGACTAACATTTTGCTATGGAAAATCAGCATGCTATGAGAATGGGTAGTTATCCACTATTTCCACTGGGCCATTTTCAATAGCAATCTGTTGACGTTTACCAGAGGGTACTAACTAAGCATCCAAATCACATAAAATTTGTATCAATGGATTCAGGAATGTCCTATTGTGATGAAAAACTTGCCATAAATTATCATAAATTGGTTAAATTGGTTTTAAAAAAAATGGATCCAATTTCAGGCTGCTAATACCTGGTGAGTTCCCATGTTTCACAATCCAACTATATGAGGTGTTATCAGCTGTTATCCGATAAATTCCGAGAGTTCATCTAAAAAAAACTACCGATGCTCTATTCATTGTTTCTATGCGCTTGTTTTGGTATGTTCATCTGGATTTTCATTATATGTAAAGTTATATATATATACATGATATAAAACTAAATAATCTAAATAATCTAAATAATAATAATTATAATAATGACAACTATAACAACAACAATATTAATAGCACATAATTATGCATAATAATGCATAATAGTGTATTTATGTATATTGACATGACCCATATTTCAAGAATTGGATGTGGGTCACTGGGTGGCCTCTGCACCAGACTCGCATGCTCGCGGGAGAATTGTGGGCTGTAGCACGCCCCAGACCGGCAAGCAGATCGGCAGGTGCTACCATAACTCCACTGGAATCCAAAGGCACATCCCCAGGAATCTCATCATTAGTAGAGGAATGGCCATTCCAGGTACCTAAATTGGAGGAACCTACCATGGATATGTAAGGGGGCTTTACATGGTACAGCACCTCTGGAAAATAGGATCGTGAGTTTCCCATTGATGTCTCTTTCTTAAATGCGGTAGGTGAAGTTACACAGTTTTTGGCTTGTAAAATCACTGGTTCGGCTTCATTGATTTCCGGATCGCTCCCGTTCCTTTTTTTATCTTTTTTCAGATCCAAGTCACGAAAGTTGTGCGTTCTGGATGAAACCTTGAGGAAGCAACTGTTGTTGGAACCAAAGTCTTTGGATCATCAAGCAATGCACCACAGATGGAACCGATTTCAAGTGAAATTACTTTGCCATGGATTCTTTTTGCGGATTTTAACGCATGCCCCTTTTCAGTCAGAATGATATAGAGCCCTTCAATGGTTTCCACATATGTACATACACATCATATATATATGTATGTATGTATGTATGTAATGTAATGTAATGTAATGTAATGGAATGGAATGTAATGTAATGTAATGTAATGTAATGTAATGTATGTATGTATGTATGTATGTATGTATGTATGGAATGGAATGTAATGTATGTATGTATGTATGTAATGTATGTATGTATGTATGTATGTAATGTATGTAATGTATGTAATGTATGTATGTTATGTTATGTTATGTTATGTTATGTAATGTAATGTAATGTAATGCATGCATGCATGTATGTATGTATGTTATGTTATGTTATGTTATGTAATATAATGTAATGTAATGTAATGTAATGTATGTATGTATGTAATTAATGTAATTAATGTATGTATGTATGTATGTATGTATGTATGTATGTATGTATATACATATTGTACATATTATATATATATATACCAATATTGTACATATATTTTTTCTATATTTTATCTATTTATATATTGTACATATATGCATATGTATATATAGATATATACATGTTGCACTAATCCGCAAAAGAATGTCAAAAGTCAGTTATCACATGTTCTTCCACAAGCTGAGGTGGAAACCTTTGGCTCGGTGGGTGGCTATGGCTACGTCGGCCATGGAGGCTTTATGGAACCATGGGGATATGGGGATGTCATCAGCAAAAAGCTGTTGGAACATGTTGGAACGATGCTGGGATTTACCTGTTTTTCAGCCTGAGGAATGGGCGGTTGTTGGGATTTCACCATGGGATGATGATGATTTTTTTTGCTCAAAAAAATGATGGCCATTTTAGCTGCTAAAATTTAGTGATGAAATCACCGGCGGAGTGATTTTTTTGCTGGGAAAATATGATGGGATATAGCAAGCATGTGATATTTGCTCCAATTTAGGATGGATATATATATATATATATAATATGGGTCTTGCCCTTCACGGAGGATTTCATCAAGAAACATGGGATAATCGGATAACCAATGTAACCAACCAGGGGAAATGGGGATTGCAAAAAGATGACGCAACGAGATATATACAGTATATAACCAACAATATGATATTTGGTTTTGTCCAATATCGTAGGATAAACCCAATGTTTGCATTTTTTTGAATGATAAACCTGTGGACATTTGGGTGCAGTAGTACCCTGTCTTTGGACAAGCCCACTTGAGATATATACACATACATTCATGCAGTCTGCATCAGTATCAGTATGTGAGTCTGTAAGTAGAGTACGTGTATACATATATATATAATTACATATATATATATAATTACATATATATATAATTACATATATATATATATGTATAATTACATATATATATATATATATGTATATTTCAGCTGTTATCAATGTATGTGTATTAATATATATATATATAATTATATATATAATTATATATATATATATATATCCAATCGTATATTATATGTAATTATCGAACCAGGGCTATTTCGGGTCCATATATTCCACCGACGGGAACAGTATCTTGAGCAACTGCCTGAGACCCGTCCACGTAGATGGCGACCGTTTTTTGTCGCCGGACTTCCAGGAAACTGTTCTCACTTCATGAGGGCATCGAGCGCTGCACCAACATGGCAAAGGCTGGGTATAGGTGTTGAGCGGTCAAAGATTGACAGATAACGCTGATTCTTACAGTGATTTCAACTGATCATTCCAATGACGCAAATGAACAACCGGCCAGTGGTTAGCAATGGTTAGCCTTTTTTTATCAAGGTTGGGGGACCACATGGCACAACTACAGGACCTGTTTTTGGGTCAATCTACAGGGACCTGAAATGACCAAACCCCACCTTGTTTTGGTGGAAATTATCAACAGTGGTCCTGAAATCAGGTCTGGGATTATGATAGACTGTCCGCATAAATTATGTGATGATTTGTGTTGTCGTCATCCCTAGAATTTTGGATTCTGTTAATCCCAATAACTAAGAAGCACTTTCAGGGGAGGTGGCTCAAGCACTAATCAATGTGTTATATGACTTAACCAATGCTGGGAGGGAGTGTTGGACGGCAGGTGCAAGGTGATTGGATGGGCATGGGGTACTGTAATAAGTCAAAAAAGTGGCTGATTTTTGATGCACAGTTGACTCATTTTTCCAGCACCAGACAGTGTCGAAAAAGGGTCAATATATGTCAATATTTGAGGCCAAAGGATGAGCATTGTGCTAACCAATGACTTGATCAATTGGGGATTTTTGTTATACAGAAAAGTGGGGAGATCGAAAACAGCATCAGTAGCAAGATCAGGAAATATTAGAGCCTGGTCAAACTGGTCAAACAACCGACAACCCATTTTTGCATGGTCAAAAGACCATGGCAAGTCATGGCAAGTGGAAACAGCATTTTGGACGGTCAACTCCCCGTGTTTTCACCTAAAAACCCGTGCTTGATGTTTTTTTTCTGAATCAAAAATCAATGTGTTGGATCCAACGAATAGTTTGTGAACCAAGACCCATCAAGGGGTGTAATTTGCTTGGCAGCTTTTGGGTTACCCTCTGGTTATCAAAGCGGAAAATGATGAACATGGCCCATTTACTTCGATATCTTCGATGATAATGATTTAGCTAGCCATACCCTCTGGTAAACTAACATAGCTATTGAAAATGGCCATTTATAGTGAGTTTTCCCATTAAAAATGGTGATTTTCCATGGCTTCCTTGCTTTGATCCCCCAGTTCTGTGTTGAGCGCCAAAGCCACGGATTTGTCGTTGCCTAAAGGGCGGTCGGTCTGGGGTCTGGGGTCTAGCCTGCTTGGTATGTGGCCGATACATGCCGATACCAATTGCATTTTTCCAGTTTAGGCAAAATACGAAGTCTACATATAATTATATATAATTATATATATATATATTCAGTGTATATATATATACATACATACATACATATGTATATATATATATATACAGATATACATCATATAACCATACACACTTAATATATATATATACATGATCACATGTGTACGCGCGCGCACACACACATCATGTTTATACATATATATATATATGCATGCACATTCGACGTGTACATACTGATACTGTAGATAGAACCCATTAGAATGGTTCATAACCCACCCATGGCGACTCAACCAACACACTTCCAGAATATGAATATGACTGACCACACCATTTGATGGTTTAGTCAAGATGATGGTTTGGCTACAGTACCTCAAACAAACAGATTCCCATACTCAGATCGACCATGTCAGCAGGCATTTTTTCCGCTTGAGGATGGCTTGGCAAGTCTTGAATCGCTGCTCGGGTCTACTATGTGTATCATATGATATCATATGATACTGCTGACTGTTTATCCTCATGATGATGATTGCATGATCATGTATGTTTTGTCTAAAGTCTATACAATCCGCCATTGTCAAGCTTTGTTTTTTATAGGTTCACCGGTTGACCATTTGCTGGCCCAATAGTGGCACGGTTTAGGATTGTAAAGAATGACCAGTCCATGTTTGTTTTCCAGGGTCTTAGTGGGTGGAATTCCTAGTTGATTGGTTGAAATCCTAATGTTGCAGCTGAAACCAGGTCAAAAAAAACGTCATAGACCCGTAGCATTCTGTGACCAAATCTTGCCAGTGCCCTGAAGAGTTTCCACCAATTTGGGATGATCCCCTGACCTGGCACCTCGCTGGGCATCGAAGAACCAGGTTGGAATTGATCGACAAACGCTTCGGCACCTTGGCCTTTTGTCCCCGATGGGTGGTGCAGGACGGGAGGGCCGGGGAAATCGGGGGGAAATCGGGGGAAATCGCGACGTTTGATGGGCGGAAAAATCTGGGAACATCAGGAGGTTGCTGGGAAAATCATCGAAGTAAATGGTGGAAAGCTTCCAGCCAAGTTTGATTACCAGAGGGGAAGCAAGATTCAGGGAAATGGGTATGGATCAATACCTATTAATACCATTTTTAATGGGATGAACATCCATTTACCAGCTATTTTGGGGTTCACTAGGTACCAGGGTTTTGACTCATAGCCAAATCGGAAAAGTCGTTGATTTTCTTTTTTGCTGGGTGTCTCTATTGATTCAAAGGACATGTGTCTTCGGTGAATGGGACCACTGGAAGAGCATCATCCCAAAAACAATTCTTGTCATACAAAGACCTTAACTTCCAGATTGTGGCGATTCGTATTGACCAAACTAACACACTTAGTGCACTTACAGATTTTTCTGGTCCCATGAGATGTTTCTGCAGCAAAATGTTGAAAGGAATGAGCAACAGCATGCTCTAGAAGGGCCTTTAGCCGGGCTCTGGCTGTTGACATTTCTAGAATCAGCTGACTTCCAACCACTGCTTCAGAGGCTGACGTGATGTGTCAGCATGATCACTTCTCAGGTGAGTCCCCTCATCCCCCTCCCCCTAAATCGTCCCAATTATGCTTAAATCCTCTACCAAACCATGGTTTCTGGGAGCTGTTTAATATTAATTAAGAGGAATGGATTAATCATGTCTGATCCAATTAAAACTGTAACAATTATAGCGACCTTACTATTACTGACGGACAAAACCATGAATGGAAGTACACAGTACCGTAGCCGGGGTCAACAGACTGAGTAGACAGTCCCCAAATTCCCAGGAAAGTTTGGCAAACTGTTCCCATTTGGAGGTTTCCTAAAATGGGGCTACCCGCAAATCCATTTCAATAGGATTTTCCATGAAATAAAGAATCCACTTTGGGGTGCCACCATTTATGGAAATCCCCATGTGTTTTGGTGAAAAATCACTGTTTTTTCTGCGTATAGATCCAGTTGCCGATGAAGCCGCATCTGAGATCAGGAGGCAGAGCGAAGTAAGTCGAAGATGGCCAAAGGAAATCAGGTGTGGACATCAAAGAAATCATCGTCATGGGTCCAACGCTGCAGACATGCTATGACGTCTGAAATTCCAAACCCAAATGATTGGAATCAGACCAAAGCTACATGTCAATCATGTCAGCAAACAGAAATTGGATGAAATTGGCATTTGTTTTAATGGTGGATCATGGTGGATCCAAATTCATCCGATTTAAATTAGTTTATTTTTTCATGACGAAACCAATACTGCCGGGGGACCCCAAGTTTGTGAAACTCATTCATCAACCGCTTAACCTCCCTTATGTCCTGCATGTTCTTCAATGTACTTGTTTCTTTTGCTAAAACATAATCAAACATAATCCAATAATGAAATCAACATGTTTTTTTCTGCCCAAAAGCGATCTCACAACTCACAAATCCCAGAAATACATACATATAATATGTATATATATACTATGTATAATATCATATGTATATATATATATTATATAATGTTTTTCCTACCCCCAAGCTCTTAGCAAAATCGCAGATGTGGTGGTCCTCGCCCTTGGATGAACTCTGCAACCTGGGCGTGGTGAATCGGTGCGCCGAGGTCGACCAAACCCGTTTTCTCCAGCGAGATCGAGCAAGAAACATTTGCCTCTGGTTATTTATCACAATAAGCATCCTCCCCCCCCCCAAACCCCCCTCCCCTTTAAGATAACCCTGAAATTAGAACCAATCGCATGTGGGAAATAATTAAGGCCTTAATAAGGCCTTAATAAGGCCTTAATAAGGCCTTATTTTTTTTCCCAAATTAAGCCCAATATAAGGAGTAATCGACAAAAGATGCAAAAAAAATAACCTTGAATTAGGCTTATTTTTTACGTTAGTTTTGAAGGATGTTGTCTTGCTGCGACGGCTAATGCTCAGACAAACGCATGACACCAGAGACACCAGTGGAAAACCAAAAAGCAAATCCAACAGCAATGGAAAAAGAAGAACAACACCACATCATATTTGCTTTTGTTCAACTCATTTCATGTGAGTTTTTCTTGTTTTAGTCCGATTGGACAGCACTGGGCGCCATGGATGAATCTTAAAAATGCACCAAATCAGTCATTTTTTAGGGCCCAAATTCACAAACAAGTTCTCCAGGGATCAGCATTGATGGGGTCTATGAAATAATCCGTTTGAAAAGAAAATTTTGAATGTAGCCAAAACCATAGTTTTTGACCAAGACTTTAGATTTCCAAAAATAATGTCTAAATAAGGACTAATCGATGAAAAAGACTAGGTTTTTCATCGTTTTTGGCTAAGCCCTGAAGATTCCTTCAAAAACAACGTCATAATATAATGAAACTAGCTGCAAAAAATGTAAAAAAAAATGTGTTGAGCCCGTTTTCTGTGGAAACAGCATCAAAATCAATGGTTACAACAAACTCCTAGATTTCCAAAAATAACCTCAAAATAAGGTCAAAATAAGGTCGAAATAAGGACTAATCGATGAAAAAACCCATGTGTTTTTGATTGTTTTTGGCTAAACCATGAAGATTCTTTCAAATCAACGTCAAAATAAGGTGAAAATAGCTGCAACAAATTGAAGAAAAACGTTTTCTGTGGAAACAGCATCAAAATCAATAGTAAAATGGTGAAAAATATAGTAAAAACCATTGTTTTTACAAACTCCTAGATTTCCAAAAATAACCTCAAAATAAGGTCAAATTAAGGTCGAAATAAGGACTAATCGATGAAAAACCCATGTGTTTTTGATGGTTTTTGGCTAAACCATGAAGATTCTTTCACATCAACGTCAAAATAAGGTGAAAATAGCTGCAAAACTTTCCAGAAACCATGGTTTTTGAGCCCGTTTTCTGTGGAAACAGCATCAAAATCAATGGTAAAATGGTGAAAAATATGGTAAAAACCATGGTTTTTACAAACTCCTAGATTTCCAAAAATAACATCAAAATAAGGTTGAATTAAGGTCAAAATAAGGTCGAAATAAGGACTAATCGATGAAAAACCCATGTGTTTTTGATGGTTTTTGGCTATACCATGAAGATTCTTCCAAATCAACGTCAAAATAAGGTGAAAACAGCTGCGAAACATGGCAAAAGCAATGGTTTTTGAGCCCGTTTTCTGTGGAAACAGCATCAAAATCAATGGTAAAATGGTGAAAAATATGGTAAAAACCATGGTTTTTACAAACTCCTAGATTTCCAAAAATAACATCAAAATAAGGTTGAATTAAGGTCAAATTAAGGTCGAAATAAGGACTAATCGATGAAAAACCCATGTGTTTTTGATGGTGTTTGGCTAAACCGTGAAGATTCTTTCAAATCAACGTCAAAATACGGTGAAAATAGCTGCAAAACTTTCCAGAAACCATGGTTTCGAGCCAGCTGTCTGTAAAGACACCACCAACCTTATAATATAATGAAACTAGCTGCAAGACATTGCAAAAACAATGGTTTTTGAGCCCGTTTTCTGTGGAAACAGCATCAAAATCAATGGTAAAATGGTGAAAAATATGGTAAAAACCATGGTTTTTACAAACTCCTAGATTTCCAAAAATAACCTCAAAATAAGGTCAAATTAAGGTCGAAATAAGGACTAATCGATGAAAAACCCATGTGTTTTTGATGGTTTTTGGCTAAACCATGAAGATTCTTTCAAATCAACGTCAAAATAAGGTGAAACTAGCTGTAAAACATGCCAGAAACCATGGTTTCGAGCCAGCTGTCTGTAAAGACACCACCAACCTTAAAAAATAATGAAACTAGCTGCAAGACATTGCAAAAACAATGGTTTTTGAGCCCGTTTTCTGTGGAAACAGCATCAAAATCAACGCTAAAATGGTGAAAAATATGGCAAAAACCATGGTTTTTAAACTCCTAGATTTCCAAAAATAACTCAAAATAAGGTCAAAGGTCAAAATAAGGTCGAAATAAGGACTAATCGATGAAAAACCCATGTGTTTTTGATGGTTTTTGGCTAAACCATGAAGATTCAAATCAACGTCAAAATAAGGTGAAAATAGCTGCAAAACATGGCAGAAACCATGGTTTCGATCCAGCTGTCTGTAAAGACACCACCAACCTTATAATATAATGAAACTAGCTGCAAGACATTGCAAAAACAATGGTTTTTGAGCCCGTTTTCTGTGGAAACAGCACCAAAATCAATGGTAAAATGGTGAAAAACATGGTTCCTCAAAACAATGAATCAGGTTCCGTACCAGTTTTCCAGCAATGAAAGTCCACTGACTCAGTTTAATTTCAGCAGCTCGGGGCTGCCTATCTTGGGAAACCATTTCTTTTCACAACGCTTTTCTAATTGGGCGTCGAAGACACCAAGAGCATATATGGTTCGTATCGTCTCTTGTATTCCCACTATGAATCATCAAGAAAATGGCCCCAAAAAATAGCATTGAATCAGAAATGATTATATCTTATTTTGGCCTTATTTATTTGAGGTGATGGTTTCTGTTTTGGGGTTATTTTCTAGGGGGGGGGGTTCAGGGGGGGGGTGTTTGGAGCCTATGAATTTAGCATAGCGAACTGGAAGCCATGGCCCATAGAAATAGATGATTTATGATGATTTATGATGATTTGATGATTTTCCCAGCTATAAACCTACATTTACAATGGATTTTCCATGGCTATGTTAAATAACCAGAGGGTACCCTGTGGGTAATTGAGTAAAATCACCGGAAAATGACCATGTTTAATAAGTAAATGTGAATAAATGACGATGTGGAAAATTTGTCAATCAACTCCATAAATTACCAATTAAATTTAGCATATCTGATAATGCTGATAACATCACATTGTGTTTACATCTGTGATATTGTATTTCAGCATAGCTTCGGATAAAAAAAACGACAATGTTTATATAAGAAGTAAAGAATCATATATTATTCATAAAACATCTATTTCTAGGACATGGTGATATTGTATTTCAGCGCTTCTTATAATAACCAAAACGACAAAGTTTATATAAGAAGTAAAGATATCATATATTTTGGATCTATTTCTAGGACATGGCTTCCATCGCGCTCTTAAATAACCAGAGGGTAAGTAAACATATCATTTTGGATATTAATATCCTCCCTTGATGATATCAGTTCACAGTGATATACAGTGATTTATTAGTGATACACCATCCCTGATAATAATGGTTGGCATTGATATGGGTGTGTCTGAACATGTAGTATGTATACCCCCAACATTCGTCAACATGGCATATGTTGCTTAACCAAAGGGTCTAGGGGTCCTTTTTTTAGACATATCTATATGTAGATATGTTTGTTTGTAGATAGTATATGATTGCATAGTATATTATCTGGTTGGTGGTTTGGAACATTTGCCCGAGAGTTGGGATGATGATCCAATCTGACTTTCATATATTTCAGAGGGGTGGGTCAACCACCAACCAGTTTTAGTACTGTATATTCTATGTACAAACATTACGAACGTAGCATATGAAGCATCAAACATCAGGAGAGCAACCGCAGAGGGATATTCCAAGTTTTGACCCATACATCCATGGCGGGTTTGATTAGGCATGATACATATAAACACTCTTCATAATCAAAAAGCGTGGTATATTATGATGTATAAATAGATACAATATATACATAGGTCTATGTACACAAATCTAGTTAATGTTTAAATATTCTACATATGCCCATAGCTCTGATTAGTTCTATCTAATTATTATTAACCTATTTCTAGTAGCACAGCAACCATCCACCGACGCAGCGCAGGTACCCGCCCTTGGCAGATCTTCAAGGTTCATTCACGGCGCAGCCAGGGATGCTCAGCATCATCTGTGTCCCAAAACGGGCGCTGAGTGAGGTGAAATCCGCATAGATCGGAACTAGATGTGACATGATGTGACTAATTTGTTGACTATTTGGTGCACTAGATGTACTTGTAACATTTGTAACTAAATTCTCAATCATGTCTGAATCACTATAGTTTAAATAGCCATTACTAATTACACATAAGCCTACTTGTTTGAACTAAATGGCAGATGAATCTACAGTGGGCTGTCGTGATAGAAAGTGTGATAGAATGTGTTAATACCATATGCAAAGCATTGGTAATTTAAGGCTATTTCACGATATATTTACCAGCTCCGTGGACAAATTCATCCCTTGAGGATGAAACATGATGACCATTAAGGATCATGGATCATGGCATTCATATCATGGTTGGCTAAACTGACAGCTTTCCCATGGCGTTTTGATCATGACACATCCCATCCAGCTGTTTTTGGTTGACGCGCTAGGCGGCTCATGCAGAAATCGACATGGTGACCTACGAAAAAAAAAAAAACTTTGAGAAACGCGTCTCCAATGACTTTCCGGTTTATTTACTCATACGTATCTATAATTCTATATATATATATATATAAATATACATGTATATATCTATATATATATATATTGATTGTTGGTTTTTACTCCTAGCTACATAATCCTATACATGTTAGATATACAGATCTACTCCACCTATCCCTCACCACATCGGTTAAAAAAAAGCACCGGTGCAACCGGCACGGAGGTATGAACACACCGTCCTACTGGGCTCCTCCGGCAAGGAGGTGGTGATGACTCGTGGCGTGTTCGGCGTGTTCGAAAATTGGACATTTTATATAAAGACAATGTCCAGAAAACAGCAGAAAACAACATCTGATGTCATAATATCATATAATATCTGTAAATCTATATATAATTATATATATACCCAAAGAATCCGAACATGTACTATGTACATGTTTTGGGTCCAAGTACCCCTCTCAGGACTGAGTACCCCTCTCAGAGACATTGTAGATTTCCCTTGGGGGTGCACGCAACCCACCACAAGTGCCCAGGAGACTTTTTAGGCTAGCACACATGCAAAGATACCACCATGCGACATATCTAGTCTGACTCTGAATCAGACGAGTCAGCACCGTATCTAATTTTAAGATACAACCTGCGAAGTGCCATATTCTCCATGGATCTCGGATGACATCTTCTGCAAACTCCTGAGATCTCAAGCACATGGTTCCGTAAATAGGATTGAATACCAAAGAACCCAGCAGGAAGTAAATACTCCAACCCCTCAATCTTAAATTCAGCTTGGACTCTGACAAGGCGTCCCACCCAATCTTCCATTGGAAAGCAGTGCGTGTATCGCACATTGTATCCTAGAGATGCAAAATAACTCATCCTTCACGTATATTGCATGCAGTCATACACACAACTAGCAAATTTGGTCAAGAAACGTTCATCCAGCTGTTGCCATGCCAGCTCTTGGTATGCCTGGCCATTGGGGGAAATTAACTAAATTACAAAACCGGCAAATTGGCATTAAATATTGGGCATGGTCTTCCCCCCAAATCCAGCTAATTAAAAACACATGCCTAGGGACATGCAGCTTTGGGCGGCAGGGAAACAAAGCCCGGCCATTCGTCGCCGCACCATGTGACAACAAGAGATAAGCTTCTAAGCTCAAGTCCTAGGCCACAGTGGGATGAAAAGTGGGTATATCAATATCTATTATTATCTACCTATCTATCAATCTATATCGATCTATCTATCTATGTCTATATCTATATCTATACCTATACCTATACCTATCTCTATCTCTATCTCTATCTCTATCTCTATCTATCTTTCGTTTCTATGCTATAACAATATATTTGGAAGCGAACAGCACGTGCACACATGTAATCTCTAGTTGGGGCACACAAAGCTCAAACATTCGCTGGGCAGGGTCCAGTCCCTCGCATTGCAAGAGATACCGTGGTGCTCGTTCCGAAACGTCATACCACTCAGCCAAATGGTACCTAGGCCAGCATTCCAAAAAAATATTTTAACATTTTCAGACCCCAATCATTTATTAATATGGTGATAGTTGCAAGTGGGTACGGTACATATATACTGCTTAGAATCACAGACCTGGACATCAACTCCAAGATGGAACCTTTCGGTTCTCCATGTGCAAGACCCAGCAGCAAGTCACTGAGCCATGCCGTGACAACTCGCGACTCAGTGATCACAAGGCAGCAGCAAGAAAGGGGCTGGTGTGGATGGGCTTTCAAAAAATACAATGTACACGTACATATACACAAGCAACTATATCTGCGTGCGTGCTTGTGCGTGTGTGTGTGTGTATGTGTGTGTGTGCTTGTGTGTGTGCATGTGCACATTGCAGCTCAGGCACGTTGTAAGCTTTGCAATGCAGCTCTGGGTACTCAGTCTGGCCAACCAAACTGGCTGGAGTGAACTTGGGCTGGGATTGCCTCAGCTAATTATTTAAATGTTCCCCACATGCAGCCATGTACTCTTTCCCAATTTAGCCCAAAGTAGCTACTTGTTACTTGAACATTGACAAGGGACGTAATTTTCCGTTGTTGGCACCAATCTCTGAAATGAATCCACGCATTTTGCAGCTTGAAGCTCTCTGACATGTCAGCCCCACCAAAGAATGCATAGTCAGTGACCAACACTTTGAGGACAGAGCCCAAGAGCCAAACACCGTAACCCAAATTCAAACTATGCATCGCGCAAAACTTAATCTGCGCCGGGTGGAACATTTTGAGAAAGACCAAAGCACCTTGATTAGTTTCAAACATGCACGATTGCAGCTGGCGGTTCTCTCTTACATAAAAGTTTTCTTGTGACTGGATTCGAGAAACGACCAAGCTAAGCACTTTTTCCAGTGGAACTGTTTGTTTTTACTGCTTGCGCCAAAAAATTTTGCAGGTCTCGCCGAGGCAGACGTCCAAGGCAATTTGGTACTTGTAAGTAGTTGGTCTTCTGCATAAAGCAGGCATGGCAAAGGGCTTTCGATTTGTAATAGGTTTGCAGCTGCATCCATTCCTAGGAGAAAGAAAACCTAACATGTAACTATTAATGCATACAAAAAAAACACTTGCGGATAAAAACTATGTGCAGGAAAAGGTCTGCATGCCACTTCCAATCACCTAAAAGCTGGGTGACCATGCACATGACCAACGCATTGTTGCTGCCGACTTGCACCCCTTCAAAGAGGACATTCAGAGAGGCCACAACCTTGCAAAGAAATGTTCATCGATCACACACTATCTAGATGTTTCAGGGCGGGACCAAATTGTAAGACTAGATGCTGTTGCACTGTTACACAATTGCATTGTGCCAATCTGAAACTGGATGAACTTAAAAGAAAAATGCTTAACCTAGAAACCGGCATCAGAAAGGCTTGCAAGGTCTCGAATCCATAGCCCTCTTCCTCAGGTGCCAATCTAAAAAATGCCAAAATGGTTTAATCTACAGGCACTTGAAGTAGCCGCATCCCAGTTCAGAGTGCAGAAGCCACAGGTATGCTTGCAATAAGATCCTACGATGCTGTACATTGCTGTCTAGATTCGAACTTGTAAGTGAAAAGGGGGAACAGCGTGTGCAAGGATGACTTGCGATCATCCAGGACAAAACCCAAAGCGACAGCCACAACCTTGTCCCTTTGTTTGTTGTAGACCGCGTCATCACCCCATAGGAACAAAGGATGGGTTTCCCTCCAGTCTTTGCATGGTTTAGCCCATTCAGCATGCTGTGCCATGTGCTGCCAGTAGTATGCAGTATCCTGGGCCCTGATTTCAGGCATGAGATCCTTCTCCACCAGCCACTTGATCAGCTCGTGCGGCAAAATCACAGGTAGTTTCCTGAGCATGCTATATATATATATATATACACACACACACGCACAAGCACAAAACCAATCGGCTTTAACTGCGCGCAAATCTCTAGAGCCATGCAACTTGGTGAATTTCTCCCCAGTGCTTGGGTCGGCCACCGGTACTTGAATCAGAGTTGTAGGCACCTCAAAGTAAGGAATCCAGTTCGAGGGTAGCCACATGGCTTTCTAACTGTGGGGATCCAAAGTTGAACCCCAAAGTTGAACTACGGTGTGGTTGATCCAAGGAACCTTGCCCCCAACTTGCCTACAGAAGTCCCTTGCCAAGTTAGCTTCATGACGACCACGGTTTCCAGCTCTACGTAGGGAGTTGGCAGGACCAGCCATTTCAACGCCATGGTATTTGAGCTCCTTGCGTTGGGGCAGAGCTTGGATTGAACCCCGCTAAGAAGCCATATGTTTATTGATTCACTTTTATGGGTATTTAAACATATTATATATATATATAACATATACTACCTTGTCACTACGGCAGAATTATGGGATTATAATGGGGATAAACCATACCAAGTGGGCCAAGATTCTGTTCCACATATATATGTATATATATATAATTTTGAATAAACAAATAAATAAAAACAAATAAATATTATATATATATACTATGGCCGATTTACCCAACAAATAACAACTTCCCCACACATCCCGGTGTCCTTCTTCACCACCTTGATGGTTCTGTGTGCTTCTCGAAAAGAGTCAGCCTTTGCGCCAGGTGGGGGGAACAAGAGTCTAGATTCAAGTGAATTGGGCGTGAGCATTGACGTTCATGGTCACTTGAATCTAGGCTCTTGTTCCCCATGGGGTCAATGTATGGTGTGGAGCTTGCACCAAAAGAGGACAGCCGAGGGGCTCCGGTGCCAATGGAGTCCATAACATGGGTAAAAAGGGGCGATTGCAATGGAGCCCCAGCACCTGCGAGGGGGCACTACAACCCCATGCTATACATGCCAATTTGTTGTGATGCATTGCAATGGCAGAGCAGCAATGTTGTTGCAATTGATTTGTTTTCATCCCCATGCCATCTCAAGTCTGGTTGTGTTCAGATGCCAGTATGTACCGGCCAACACGATCCATGTAGGGCCCGTAGCCCATAGAGTGCCACTGCTGCACAACACGCACATGATGAAATAAAATACGTCGTATATCAAAACATACTTGTTGCTAGTTATAACACTGATCTGGACTCCGGAAAATTTGAAGTATTTAGCTAGTGCAGAGTTGGCAACCACAAAATTTAAATTTCTTGGGCTGTAGAACTGTGCAGGCAACGGAGGCATAAGCACATCTAACCCAAGCAATTGACCCCTTTCAGTCCTTCACGTTTTCTGCCTGGGCTGCAGCAGCAGCTTTGGCCTTCCCCTTGGCCTTCGGCTTGGGCGGTGCCTTAATCAAAGAATCAGATGACATATAGGGCCCCCTAAGACGAGATAGATAACACCAAAAAAATGGAACAGAAGGGGTTTGGCAACTGTAGCTATGATTTCATTATGCTTCCCAGATACCATAGCTGAACGGATCTGTTTCGATTTGCCATTGTACTGCTGCAAAGCCTTCTCTGCATTTCCCATGTGTCGTTCATACTCCTCCTAGTTCCAGGGGGCCAACAAGTTAAGATCATGAGGGTTTCTTTTACTGCATGCCAACATTTTGGAAAGTAATTTGGGGGCCCGTCCTTGACCGAACCAACAATTTCCGCTTCGGGGTAGCGCTTGGCATACCATGTCTCAAGGGAAGTCTTTGCGCTTTCCAGATCCAACTTGCAACCCTCAACCTCCTCTTTGTACGCATTCTTCATGGCACCAGACCTTATTGGGAGGTAGGCTACCTTACCTGGAAACCATCATATTTTTTTTTGCTTGCTATATATAGGGAAACATAGTATATCGTGGTATAAAAATATTGAATATATCCAAGCTACAACTCAGAGTTGTCAATCTGTGTCACCAAGCACCGGATGTCTGTGACTTTGCTTGACAACCCCGAAACTGTACTAGCAGCCTTTCTGTTCAACGAAACTTCCTTCTTGGCTTTCTTTTTGGGGTCAGCTGCTGGTGGAACATGTTCAGCATTCCCACCGGGTTGACCATCTGGCTTGGCAGGATGTTGCAACATCAGAGAAGAAGAGGCCGGCTCCTTCGCAAGCAAGGATTTCCTGGCATTGGCAACGGGTTAGGAAAGAAAAAACAGGTCCATGCAGACACGCTCAATGAATTGGCCATGGCCATGGGTATAAAATTAAAATGTATAATTAATTATTATATAATAATATAATTAATATATTATATAAAAAAAATATATGCATATGTTTATGCCAAATTGGATGCGTATGAAGCTGCACATTACTTGACAAGTCAAGCTGAGTATCATCATGGCACCAGTTTGCTCCTCACTGTTGACAGAATCAAACTTGAAACCGTACTCGTGGGTATTTTCCTCGAAGTCCTCCAGCTCACAAGAGTCCCATATGCGGAACAACTCGTAGTCCTGATTGCTGGGGGTAGTCACAAGGTTGAACTCTACGTTTCAATGGACTTATATATCGGGATCCTACACCATAATTGTTTGTATATTATTATATATAAATTTATATATAAATGGATTTTGTTTTTGCCTTAGATCAAGAACATCAAACTTTGACTTTAAGCTCCTTGTCATTGGGAAGTTCAGGATGCGCAGTCCACCACGCAGGGCTGGTGTCCCCTGCAGCCCGCTTGGCCTGCAACTCATACTTCTTCTCCCTGATCACACGGGCACTTAAGCCAAACCTCTCCTTCAGGTCCTTGTAAGTGACGTAGACATGCTTGCCACGTTTGCGGGTTCCACTCTTGGCCATGTAATTCAGGTGGGTTGACGATTTGCCCCAATCTTCTCCTGAAGATAGCCAGTCCTCAAAAAGTCGTTGTAATAGCACACGGTCTTAGTTGCCGAGTTGGCATGTTGTTCCAATACCGACCCCTTTTTTGGGGGGGAGAAAACACACAAATGGAAGGGCCCCACTTGGTGGCTCATCCCACTTAGTAAGTGGGTTATAACCTCAGTTATCAATGGGATAAGTAGGGTTAATCCACTTATAATTGGGGTTATAACCCATTTACTAAGTGGGATGAGCCACCAAGCATGATCTATCTATCTAGCTATATCTAGCTATATATATATATATTATAATAATATCGGCTAATTATCACCAAGCTACTGTGCTTTCTGCCTTCCCCAGCTTTGACCACGGACGCCGGAGTTCGCACACCTTACTGTTGATCACTGCTTTTCCCCTATTTTTAATTTAAATAAGTATTCCAATGAGTACTAGTACTAAACCAATGGGCCAAATCAAATCAAAAGAGGTTAAATTTCAGATGGGAAACTGTCAAAGGAGCGGGAAAACCTCATGTACGAATTGTGGGCTTCTCGATCCTCACGTTCCTCAAAGGTTTCGAACTTAATGTTGCCACGGTTGTCTATGTGTTTCAATCGCCATGTCCCATCCTCCATTTTCACTCCATCAGGGTGCTTGGTATAGAGCTCTTCCTTAGCTAAAGCATGGGCCCGTTAGGTTTAGTTTTAACCCATAGGTAGAAACCACTGAATGTATAAAGATAGCACGGTAATCGATATGTACAATTATTTATACGCATGGTAACATATATATATATATATATTTGCATGGGCATACAGATTTGAATTACAAATCCAAAATTTACCTTCTAAACCCATTTTGAGAAACTTCATTCTGGCTGGTGTCCTTGCGAAGTAGCTGACCTTCAGCAGCTTTGGCCAGGTCACCAAGCGCCTTCTCCCGATCTTCCGACTTTGGAGCATGGGGCGGAGCAGGACTGGCCTGTCGGGGCACAGGTTGGCAATATGTTTCTGAAAAAATACCAAAAGGGCCCCCTAGTTTGGGATTTCAAACATTGATAAATGTTTAACGGGGAGATATAGGAATGAATATATATATATATATTTGAACAAGGGCCAAAAACCTGCTATATATTTTATGTCATTGTTTGTGACCCAAACCTCCTTTTCCTCAGCAGGCCCACCAGGCTTCTCCCAAATGTCTTTGAAGCAAGACCCAAGCTTCTCACTCAACTTCTTCTGGGTTTCCGGGTCTAGAGATGCCCCACTCTTCACCAAAGCTTCACCTACCAAAGTCTGAATGGCTTCAAAAGCGGCAGTGACTGGAACTGCCACAGTAGCCTTGGTGCCTGAATCTGCAGGCTCAGTAGATTTGGTGCTGGTTGGGGTTTGTAGTTCGCTGCCACCCGGTGTGGAAGGAAGGTCCACTACTGCTGACTTTCCAGCTGGAGTGTTCCCAATGTTTTTTTCCAATTCCATCTCAAGCTCAGCCTCTAGCTGTTTGATGTCAAATCCGGGACCACAGGAATCCTTGTAGTTCTCAAACATCATAGTCAGAACATGTTCAATGCTTGAACTGAGCAAACATTTGTTCTCTTGGTAGATTTTGATCTCGGCATTGACTTCATTTTGCAGGGATGTCCGGTGAGTCTCAACCCATTTCTCAACCGTCTCTTTTCGGGATCTAAGTTTCTGTTCAGCATCCTTACTTGTGTCACCCTTCACCATGTCCACCATTTTTTGGTAGCTAGTCAGGGCAGCCCGGATGACAGCTTCTAGCTTACCCAACCCATGGTGTCTGCATGACTGAACGCTTTCCATTCGGGAGAGTGCCACCTCATGTAATGAGATCAACTCTTCGACGTTGGCCAAAAGCTGAGAACCTTCCGCCATGTCTCCCAAACACTCCTTCTTGATAGATGGGTTGGTAGTCAGGTAGTGGAGCCACGCAAGGGTTTCCTCTTGGAGTATCCCGCAAGTTTCACCCGGGGTAATCCCATCATCGAACAAGGGCTTCAAGTAAACGCTCAAAGTCTTTGGTGACCCTGCATAGTTCTTGGCTTTCAAAGATTCCAGCATGTGATCATACCAATCATCGAAGCACACATCACCCAGCTGGAGCGTGGGAGCTTTGCTAATATCAAAAGAACCTGAGCTCATCATTTGATTGTTGATTGCCTACTCTATTATGAAAAGATATGCCAAAGTCATCCAAACTTCTCCAATAACACCACTTACAAATTGAAGGCTGGGTCAAAACCAAACCCTTTCCAATAATGCAGGAAAGATGCCAGCATCGTCGACAGCACTTTCGAATCGAGGCGGCGAAACCTGAGAATGGCAATTTGGTGGACATAAATTTAAAACATCATAAATGCAGTATCTAATATCTTCCCATAAATGGGGGGTCCCAAACATATTCTTTTTCAAACATGTGGCGTCACAAACCATTCATTTCCATTTGTGGGAAGTTCGATTCATATGCATGCACATTGCAGGTACATTATTATTATATATATATTATATCTATATAGATAATAGGGTATAGCTATAAAGAGACGAAAATAAAAAGGATATTATATATATATATATAATTGAGCGATATATATATATATATATATATCCACCAGGGGCCTTGGAGAACTTGACAAACCCAAATCGGCATAAAAAGGGCAAACCAAAAAACCTTGCTGCATAACTCATAAGCATCTTGCAATACCAACCCACAAAATTTGAATAAATTTAAATAACGGGCTCATTGATGGATTTTTGATTGTAAAGATCTGAGGTGTAATATGAAATTTGAAATGCAAAGTCTATCCCCCCAATCCACGAGAAGCCAAAGAACCATCAGAGCTGCCACTGTCCCGGGTGAAGTTGGGGGGGTTTGATTCCCAGTCACATCCACTGCTTTCGCGAACTGACCCTCCAAGTTAAGGGGTTCCATGGGCTCATCGGCTGTCATCCCTTCACCCTCCAAGTTCTCATGGTTTGCATTCCCTACTTGTTCGGGGCCATCAGAAGGTTCTGCCAAAGCTTCTGTCCCATCCCCATTACCCAGATCTCCAGGAATGGTTGGGGCAGATGGGCTAGCCACTTCTGTGGGTGGGTCTGGAAGAGTTGGGGATGGCTCCATCTTAACCACCTTCAGAACTGCATCACTGCTAGGCTTGTCTTCATGATCAACCCGAAGTTTTTTCTTGTCAGGGGAAGGTACAGGTGTTTCCCCATTTCCCATCTGTGGAGTTGCCACTGGCCTTCCTGCAGGAGTAGCGCCAGCTCGAAGATCCTCCTTCAGGGGATCAGGCTTCTGGTTTTGCCGCTCGCCTCAGTGGATCAGAATAATCATAACCAATTGGAACCCCCAAAAAAATCTGCTTGAACTATATGTGACTTAAAGACTTAGAGTGGTGCTTTGGTTCTTCAGTGGGTGTAACTCACAAAACTCACCGGCCATGTTGCTTTTGCGTTCGGCAATGCGCCGATTTACAGCCTCTAACTCAGCAGTCGCATCAAATGTGTCCTAAGTTTCAATCCCCCAAGCCCTTGTGGAAAAAAGCGTGATGTTTTTTGGGGCATCCTCACAAATAAAAATGATGCAAAATCAACAATTTTGTTAATGTTCCAATCACCAAAATTCAGGCTGCTTGGCCATCATGCCCCCCTTGCCCATGCAACCCCGGGCGCCAGGAAAGCTGATCAAGGTTCTATTGCTAGATCCTCAAAAAAACCTTGGGAAAAAATTTAACGCAAATTCACGCAATTTAACGCGGGAAACTTCCTATTCACAACTTTTAACGCAATTTCACGCTAATTTCACGCAAGCTCATGGGACCCCAAATCCCCGAAAATCATGACCATCATATATTTGTGAAGGGTAGCTTCCATGCATCTAGCAATTTGGCTGCACACATGGTAAGGTTGAATATGTTTTGGGCCCATTATTTTGCCTATATATCCTTTATATATAATATATGCCATGTATTAATGGATTTTCTAAACATACATATTCTCCCTTACCAATGCAATCTGTTGCGTTCACCTAATTTTCCCCTTTCCTGGTTACATCCGGAATGCATAGGCCTGGGCAGAACCCACAGAAGCCAATTTAATTGCTGATTCTAATTTTCAAATTGAAATTTTTCCCAAAGTGGTATGATCCACTAGCTAAATTTGCCAATGGACGCAACCACTGCATTGAAAACAGCTTCACTACAATCTTTTGAAATGGGCATCAACGGATCTGGGATGAACAGCTGCTGTTTGGCTGCTACCCCTACCATGGTCACTAGCTCGTCCAGCTCTGCGTGAGCCCAAATGTCGCCAGGGTCCTCCACACAAGGTCGAGGAAATAGGTCGATTGGGATGGCGATTGGGGGCAACTGGCTTTCAGGCTTCCCAGAAAATGATGAATAGGGGGCCAACAAAAAAATAATAGTGGAATCATCCAGCAGCATCATTCAGGTATTCCTATTTTCAAGCCCCACTTTGATTCTTCTTTCCCCCGGGTTACTGTTGACATTCCTGAAAGGAACGCAGTTTTCAACTTGGGTGAGCCATCTAGCTTTGAGGAAGCCCCAACCCCAAATGGTGTTGTTCTTATTGGATGTGGGCCGTAAGAAATATACCCCATAAAAGACACCTCAATAATTTGTTTAAAAATGTATTTGAAAGATGCCCTGTAAATATAGAAAAATATGGTGGTCACTTGCCCCCTCATTTTGGTAAATGGTTTTGACCCTATATATATATATATTTTTAAATATTATTAGATATTCTTACTCATCGGGCTCCCTTGTGAAAGAATGATTTTGGGTATAGAATGGGGGCCAAAGTTCAACACGAACCCATCAATTAAAAACCAAAAGTTGCGCGCGAACCCAGCAATTGTACGTTTAAATATGGTGTTGCCCACTTATTATAGCTATAATATTGCAGATCTGGATTGCCAAAAAACATCGAGCTGGAAAATAACTTGTAATAGTTCCAAAGTGCGAATCCCACCCAATTGCTTTAATAGTGATCCACCTTGTAGCCAATTGAAAGCAATTCTGGAGGCGCAATCCACTTGTCCAGCTTCTTCTTGCTCTTGCCAGCCGATTCCTGAGAATGGGCCATGGTCGTAAGTTTCAATAAACTTCAAGTTGGGGTTGAACCGCACCTAAGTGGCCATGGATTCTCTTCGGGTGGCCATACACCAGGCTTTGCGCATCTCTATAATCACATCTATATATATATATATTACATAGATAGATAGATATAGACAGATATTTCTTTGCAGGGGGGTCAGTGAATCTATAGATATGAAATAAGAATTTGAATATTATTTTAAAGTTTGCTCAACCCAACTGAAATTCCACTACAATTTTAGTGCCGCAGCTGGATCAGGAAAACCACTGAGTCCCGGTCAACCCAAGATAGATGCAAATTTGCTACACGGTGGCCAAAGGCAGATGGATAGCTTCCAGTGCTTCGTAAATCTTTCCCTCCACTCCTTGGCATGATTGCTGATGGTATATATTTTTTTGAATTGGAGTTTAACCACACAAGGATGTGTCTTGTTGGCAGCGTAAGCTTTAAAACGGGACTATCTTAGTCCCTTTTTTGTTGTCGTGGTTTATATAGTTATCGAAGATTTATATCAGCGTCAAAAATATATTGTACAACGTGCATTATAAATAAAAAGATGTGTAGCCAAATATATATATATATATAATATATACCTTGTTCAGAGGCATCAGTACTGATAAATACAATATGCATCAATTCACCGATTCAGATATCAAACATTGGGGCCCCAACACAGAAACTTTACCTCCTTGCTTTTTGACCTTGACAACCTCCTTCTCTGTGCTTCTTTCCTTGCAGGACTCACGCTGAGCCTTCGTCATTTTGATCTCAAGATCAACCATCCATGGCCTAGGCCGGGCCAGCACGTTTGGGAACTGGCAGGGGCAATTGCAAGAAACCCTTTTCCAACATATATATATATTAATATGGTGATGCATTTTTTTTGGACAGATAAAACCATGGTATCTCTTAGATTCCTAGATATTATATATATTATATATAATAAAATTTTATAACTATAGCTATATAGTCTTACCTCACCACCACTGCATCCATGTCACGAATTGCCAAGTCCCAAATGGGGCTTGACAGAGAACATACCAAAAGCTCCCATGCACCTGAGCTGCAAATGTGCACTACGTATGTAATTTCCCAAAAATGGTGTTCTTTATGGGGTTCCAAAACATTATTATAACTTTGAAGGGGAAGAAGGGCATCTTGAGATATACCTATAAACATATATATGTACACATACTATAATAGATATATACATGATGGTAAACGACCGGCCCTTGTAATTTTTGGATTGGTTTACCATTCCCCACAAAGTTTTAAAAAAACACGCAAAAAACAGACCCGCCCCCCCCGGGGGGGGTGGGAAGGTTTGTTTTTGCCATTTTTCTTTGGTATGAAACCAACAGCCCTTGAAAAAATAAGTAAAGGGTTGCCAGTGAAAAACTAGAAACCATTTGGCAAGAAGAGGGCGCAAATGGGGCTGCAACAGCCATTGGATTGGTGGTAGGTAATCAACTGCTGTTCGCAAAGGATTCTCCAGCATCCATGTCACCCCTCGGGCTATTCCAACTAATACCAAAATCGATAGCCTGCAAGATAGGAGGTTGCCAAGGAAGACAAAAACACGAGGAGCACCCCATGGGTCCAGGGCAGACCTTTGATGCACACTTGAGCTCATAAAGCCCATCGAATCGCAGGGTAAACCTGCATAAAGCAGGCCCAGTGGCCGGACTCGCAGCAGCAGCCTCAGCAAGGCGAGGGGTGGCAAGGGACCGGTAAACACATTGTCAAAAAGCTCTAAGAGCTTTGTTTTGTGGCAATATTTTCCCAATGTGTTTGGAACCTCAAATCTATTGTCAATGAGAAAAGTAACAAAGTAATTCCCGTGAGGACATTATAGGCCATAGCATCCTTTAGTCTCAGAATGCATATGGTTCCAAGGCAAGAAATACAACTACAAAAATATGAATGGCTTTATTGATTTTGTTCTTGAAGCTGAGGGGCCACAAGGCTTTTAGGAAGCCATTGGTAGTGGACAAATTCTCGAACACTTCATCTCGAAGCAGGTCAAATCCTTGCCTGAGTTTCCAATCACAGCTGCATTGCAGCAAAAACACAAAGTATAAAATAGCTATATGTTTCTTTTTGGCCATGCCCAGTCGATTTTGACAAGGCACGACTTCCATCCTCTTCGTCCTTATTCGGAGATCTACAGGCATGGGGGGCAAAATCATTTGAGAAGCCACACGCCACAGGAAACCCAAAACTGCAGACTATGAAATCTATCTAGCAGCGAAGGAATATATATATAAATATAAATATATATATATATATAAAGAGAGAGAGAGAGAATGCAACAACCCACTCACATACGTATTTGCATATATAAATATATATTTATATAATTATGTCAGGATAGAAAACTTTGACTTGGCCTAAGGCTCGAAATCCATTTGCCACACTCTGTACTCCAGAAAACATCTCCAAGCACATTAAATCACGCTGGGTGATTGGGGTTTCACCTCCGTACTTCTTCGCCGACGCATTGGCCAAGTAGTCCAGGCTGTGAATCCTCAGCTGAATATGCATCATCATGCTTTTGTAAAACTTTATATATATATATATATGAAAAATTGACAAGATGATGACCGAAACAATGATGATAGTCATGATAGATATCCAGATGTTGGGGATGAAGGCAATCTTGATGATGATGTTGATGGTGATGATGAGCATCCTGATGATGATGATGAGGAGGAGGAAGAAGAGGGTGATGATGATGGTGGTGATCTCAAGTGCAGAGGTGGCGAGATGGGTCTGCATGCAGTTGGGGCACACAACTGGTGGGACACCCAGCATCAACATCACCGCGCATTGGACTCGGGTGACCCCCACACTTCGAACTTCAGGGGTGCCAGGCATGGCATAAGATTGCAAATCTATCCTTTTTATCTTTTTGTGTGAAGCTTGTGAGCACAAATGGGCCAGTGGTCATGCATATGTACCAAATATGGACTTACACCTGATCAAAAATGTGTGATTGCTAGAAGCCATGTGGCCAACATGCATATGTTGGAATTGTTTTGGATTTCCCACGTTCACAGTCCGCAAGACCCAGGGCGGGAAGGGAAGGCACCTTGTTGGTAGGCAGCTGCTTGACCATCATTTTCTCGAGAGATTCGCGCACCTGCGTAGGCCAAGCTGGCAGAGTAGCCATAACAAAGCTCGTGTGTGCTCTACCTCGTGTGTGCACATATGCTGTGGCACGGTTTTTGAGGCGATCGTGTATATATATATAATATGTATTTTTGTGTTTTTTCTAATATATAATATATAACGTATCCAGCTTTTGATGTGCAGTGAAAGCCCCATTCCCGGGAAAACATGCACAGGATTGGGGTATGACAAGTCCTGATCTAGTTCTTGAAATTCTTGGTTCTTTAATTGATTGAATGGGGATGAAATTTGAAAATTGCTTTTCTCAACCCGGCTATCACCAAGGGATTTTTTTTTTCACCGCAGGTTCGCGCTGCAACTTCAGCACTGCATGTTTGATTATAGTCATCCCTACACCTATGCAAGATCTTTGCCTTGTGTGGCTCTAGGACCTCGCCAGGTGACCCAAGCTACGTTTCACGCAGTCAAAATTAGTTTTGAAGCTGCCCTGCGCACTCTAAGTCTTGAAGTTGGCATGTTCTGCCAAGCAAATGATTTGGCCGTCAGTTGCGGCTGTACACTTCAGCCACCGGGACCCCATTGGAAACCGCAAGCATCCGGTACACCTGCAGGATCATACAGCATTGGGATATATATATATATATAACCTGAAAAATTGATCTCCACATTGAAAAAGTATTGCGATTAAATTTGCTAACACCCAGCCTTCTCAAAAGTGTCATCCTTTTCACGAATCCATCCCGCAACACACTTGGCAGTTTGCCACCTGGTGATGGCTCATGTGAATTTTCTTTGGTATACCCTGGTCCATCATTAAAAATACATGACCGGTAGTAACCATGAAAGTTGAAACTTGTTGCATGAGAACAGAATGCAAATAGGATACGCGTCCAAGATCGTCGGGAACTTGCTCCACGCAATAGAGCAGCCCTTCTTGTCTTTCTTCTGAGCAGGCAACCAGCTTTGCTTATAGCTAGGCTTGGTTAAAACATACTAAATGCAAAAACCAAAATCATCAACACACCCAGCTAACGAACCTGAATGAACTTGTCCAAAGGTTTGGGGATCTCCTTAACATCGTTCACATAGAATGTCTCCGTGTAAAGGATCACCCCAATGGGAGAGGTGAAGGGCTTATACTCCTCGGCCCCTGGAACAGGGTAGAGCGTGTAGCTCACTGAGGGCACTTCAGGACCTGGGATGCAAAGCTCTGCGTAGATGTCACCTCCGGGGATGTTTGCATGTAGCTTTTGTGCTGCGATTTTTGCCTTGTTGAAACGCTTGCGTTTCGCCTCTGCCTGTTTGTCTGCCTTTGTTTTGTCATTGCTGGGCTTCTCGGGAATGTCACCTTCCAAGGCTTCTTGGTCAACGCGATCCTTCGGATCAACATGGCAGGCAATGCTCCCAGAGGGGTGTTCCACAGGACCGCTGGGCCCCTTGCTGGAACTGGACTCACCTTCAAGCTTCTCCTTGGGAGGGTTCTCCTTTGGTGGGTTTTTGTCGGAAGGGTTTTCCTTGGGAGGGTTCTTGACATAGGCGCGCAATCGCTTTGGAATTTTTCTCAAAGGGGAACTCATCGTTCCACCGCTTTCAGCCTGGGGTGCTTTCCTGACTCTGCGTTTGCCTCTTCTTGGGGGGGTCACCATGGGCTCGTCACCCTTCTCACCTTTTCCATCCTCCGGATCCTTTCCAGCTTTGTCCCGGGGAGTCTCACACACAACCTCAGCTTCACCTTTCTTTGGGGAAACCGACATAGCCGTTGGGGATTGATCTGCGCTGGGTGGGCGGTTCTTGGACTTTGCCTCTGCCTGACATTCGACTGCTTGATCCTCAGGAGACCTCTTTCCCCGACCCCTTCCTTTACCTCGCCCCCTACCACGGCCAGCTGGCTTCGGGTCCACCTTTGTACCATTGACTGCATCAATGATATTTTGGGTTTCCATGGCCAACTTTTCGTTATTTTTTGCGTCAAGTTTGTCCATCCGTTCTTGTTTTCTTTTCATCTTCTCGAACTCTTGGTTCATCTTCTCCTAGCACGCGCAATTCGTTGAAATCTTGCTTGAACTAGCAGTGTGCAAGTAGTCTGCAACGACTTAGGTCTAGAGATCCATATGGGAAAAAAAGGGCTCCTGCGCATGTGCCTTCTTCAAGTCAGATTGGTCTCGGGACAGTTGGCTGAAATCTGCCGTGGTGACCTTCAAGTCAGCATGTGGGTACTCCTTCTTCATGTTGTCGGGTATCAAGGGTGCACGGTCCTAAGTGTCAAACATATCGCACAAATAGATCTATATAAATATAAACATATATTTATATATATGTAAATGCATATACATATGTATATGTGTATATATATATATTTACATGTATGTAAAATATATTATATATATATATGTGTGTGTATGTAATTAAGCCCCTCAAGTGATGCACCCCTGAAGCACTGCATGCGCTCTAGAACGCCCTGTCGGCCAAGGTGCTTGGAAGCCTGGCTTCATTTTCTCATTGCATGGCACTCCCTCTTCGCATGGTGCCTCAGATCAACAGGAATCATCTCGCAAACCAAAGGGGCTGTATGGCATTCCATCCTAAACAAGTAAAAAATGTAAACCTATGGGGGCGCATGATAGCAAGTGTCAACGACCAGGTACCTTCTCTGGAGCTGTGGGTGCCGGGGCTGGTTCATCCCCTGTGGTCTTTGGTTGGTCATTGCTAAGATCATCAGTAGATCCATTAGGAGCCGCGGGTTCAGCTGGAAGTTGGCCTTTGTCCTGGGTGAATAATCCCAGAAAATCACAGATAACCAAATTTTATCTAGATCTTGATAATTTATAATCAAATTTTATGTGAAACCCAGTGCTGAAATTGACATTGGGGGTCCTCATCATCTGAATCCTCGATTTCAAAGCACAGTGTAGGATCAGCCGGAGGCTGGTTGCCATCCAATGGGTCCTGACAGAGAAATTAAACAACTAGTATTAAGTAAGAGGTTTGAAAGACATAGGTTGGCTGCTCAAACGATATATATATATACATACACAAAACCTTTGAAAAAACTCTACATACACAGACCTGTGGGGTATCACCAGAGGCCAAACTGTCCGATGTCAGCGAATGCTGCAACGCATCGCTGCTTTCAGGTCTCTCCTGCGAGCATGCGATGGGGTTTTCAACACTCTATCTGGTGGTGTTGACTAGCACAGCTTATAGCAAAACCTAAGGCAGCATAATCCTCTTCTTCCTCTTTCTGGTTGCTCTTGTTCGCCTTCTTTTGGATACCCCTCAACTGTCCCACTATGGCTTTCAGAACGCCGATGACAGGATTCCTGCCCAGGAGCAGGTTAGGTTAGGACATTTTTTGTTTTAAAATCAGGATCCTAGACTTCAATGCTCCTGCACATTGTGTCACCCCTCACCTAGAGGCCAATGTCCGATAGCTGATGTCAACAACGTGGGTTGCCAACATTCTGAACTTGGACGATTCAGCGGCACACCAATCCTAGCAGGGATCCCCCACAGAAAAACAATTCCCCACCACAAAGCCCATTCATTTTTGTGCATATATATATATATATTTGCATATTGCTATTATATACCCCGCCTTTACCTTTCCTCGGCCTCCTCTTTTGCCATAAAGCTCGGATGGAAAGATATTGGCAGCAACAGCCACCAAAGCCAAAGCGGCCTTACAACACCCCATTCCATATGATAGATTTTGAGGTTGTTAGCTTCCTGCATATGAATGCAACCGCCCAATTCCCTATAATTTCTGGACCAATAATTTCTGTACAGGAACTTTGTGCTTCTCAAGATCCGGCAGCCGGTTGCAGGCAAATTCCAGCAAGTACTCCTTGAGAAGCGGATAGTAGTTCACGATGTCCACCTCATGAACCTTAAGCCGGCCCATAACTGCTGGAAAGACGCAATACATCATTAATAGCATGCATAGGGTGCGCATATACCGCTACTATACAAACAAACTACGTAGAAGCACCTTGAATATATACTTCTTATACAAAAAATATAATACATATCATGATTGACCCCCCAGGGATTGAAAGCAATGCTGCCAAGAAACCACTTGCCGATCTTTAGTCCAGGCGATGATCCGGCGGTCCTTACAATTTGCCATGCAAAACCATACATAGGGGTGGACAACACAAACGATTACATGGAAAAAAATAAACCGCGAACCTTTCTTTAGGAAAGACTGGGCAGACTGGGCGCATAGGACCAGCTATGTTTTAAATTTGGAAAATTATCAATATAATCACAGACATGTTTGTTTTCAACAAGAAATTGGTGGATAAAGTCAAGCATCGGAGTCTTCATTGATTTGTACAATGTTGTTCTGCACCCATGGTAGAAGGATCTCAAAGATCTTCACAGCATCGTCCTTGGCATGGTGAAGTTGTTGGTGGCCCTGGGGCGTTGAAATTTCCAAAGCTGTATGGTCATGTCAGGAACCCATGTGCAACCCAATGCTACCTAGATTCAGTCACATGGACTACCATTGGTTTGTATAGGTGCCGCAAACCCGGGACCCGTAAATCATCCACAAGATCCAAAGCAGCAGCCATGGCTGCCCAGGCCCAATCACAACACAGAGCCAGCTGGATGAGCCGCAAAAAGGGGCTACCAGGGAACTGGCTGTTGCATTGTGATAGCCGGCAAACACTTTGGGATGGATCAAATTCAGAATTATTTCCCAGGTTGTTTTTAAAAATCAACCATTTGGAGGGATATGATTTAAAAATCAATCATTTGGAGGGATATGATCCATGATTTGAACCATCCACAATCACCAAATCATCAGTGTCTTGATGCAAGGCCGGTGGGGGGTGGCGCACGGTTGGACAGGATTGCCGTGCGGAGGGCCATATCTAGATGATCTAATTAAATCTTTGAGCCATTGGAGCAACCAGTACCACCAATAACCTGTAACCTACTTATTTGTTCCTATTCACAACTTTTGCCCCTGAGTATCCAAATATCAACACTTTGGGTTTAAGTAGGTACTATTTACAACTTCCCCCAAACATGTACATAGTGCCTACTTGGAGTGTTTGGGATATATGAATATATATTATATTTACACAATAATTTGTAGTTTTTAAGAAACATGATTTCGAAACCACGGAAAGATTCAGAGCTCGTTGATTGATTCAGAGCTCCTTGATGAATTGCCCTGGTGAGGTCCTAACACGCGGACCGGGTGCCCAGCGAAACAGGGCTGATCACCTCAGTTGGGATAGAAGTTTTCCATGGCGAAATATATGGCAAAACTGGGAAAACTCACCAGTGGATCCAGTGGATTTTATAGGGAACATGAAAAAAACAACCAGTGGATTTGGGCAATTTTAGATGTAAATTAAGTTTGATAGCGCGGTTTTCGTTCCTTTTTTTGGTGTTTTTTTTTTCATGTTGGGTGAAGCATCTAATCTGTGGAAAGCCCAAGACTTGCTCCAGCAACCCACTCTTCACCACAGTGCGGCATCCAATGGACGATCGATAGATATAGAACTGGGATGGTGGGCCGCCGATATCCTTCTCCTAACTATTTACAGTACACCCTTCCCGCGGACACCGTGCTTCAACTGAGGAAGACGTAGGAAACAAGCAACAATAAACCCCAAGCATTGGATGGTTTGTTGCTGGGTACCACGGATTTATTGACCTGGCTCCTGAGGAAGTGACTATTGAGTGTCGGATGAGCGGTCCGAAAAACACGAAGCATTTGCCCTGCATCACCGTCGGGCTTCGGGTTGCTGATGAGTCTTCTGCTGGAAACATGGATGGTTGGACCATGCTGAAGACACGGTCGGGAATTACGACCGAACCTGGGGCATGCTGGGGCAATACTGGTCTCTAGATGTTGAACCGCATCGTTCCCTCAAAGATTTCATGTACAATTCCACCATATTGTCGGTGCAAAAAATGGTGCTAATGTGTACTCTACAGACTGTTGAAATTTTGTTTGCCCCAAAATTTATCAACATTTTGGATCTATGAAATGCCTCCCAACGTTGTGGAGAACAGCACTGATGACTTTCAAGAGGTCCGTAAGTCAGGCAAGGGCACTTGGATGTGCATCCCACTTATATATGAATAATAACATATAATAACCATATACCATATATAACATATCGAATATCTTCGGCATATACGGGTAAACATGTATAAACCAAACCTCCAGTGCATGGATATATGATACGGAGCATCTTTTTGCTTTTCCCTCTATGAAACTGAATGCCCATAGTTTGTCCTTTCGAATCATAGGTTGTTAGCCTGAATTTGACAGAGAATGGTCAGGTGTCCCATTTCCATCCATTTCAATATTTTGATCATGAATGGCGAACAGAAGTCTCTTTGATGCTTTGCTAATGTTTGGTACCCTCTGGTAATTTAACATAGCTATGGAAAATGGCCCATTTATAGTGGATTTTCCCATAAAAAATAGTGATTTTCCATAGTTATGTTAGTTTACCAGAGGGTAAGTTTTTTACTGGGACGGACAAACAGTCGTGGCTTTCAACGATGCTTTCAGTGCTTCGAAGTCTTGGATTTGGTGACCTGCAGCGGCTGGGCCCACACAAAGCTGCCATGGATTGTTGCGGGCAAAACCAGAGATGTTGTGTCAACACACATACCCTCTGGTTATGTCAAAATAGCTATTGAAAATGACCATAGAAATAGTCGATTTTCCCATTAATCATGGTGATTTTCCATAGCTATGTTAAATTACCAGAGGGTACACACACCATCAACAAAAAATAAGCAGCTAATCAGCTAATCGAAAGTATGCGCTTCTGACAGCTTTCATGGACTCGAGCGCGTTGCTGTCATGATTACTTACCAGAAGGCCTGGAAACGAGTTCTGGTGTTCTCAGCGCTGTGGGGCAGTGGGAAATCTAAAAAAAGGGGAGAGGTAGCAAACATGTTTAGCCAGCTATAATGGTTACCACAGACTAATGTTGACAAGACAAAACTGACACAACAGAATGGATGATGCTTCCAATCATTGGTGTGCCTGCGGATTTAAGCATAAGGCATAAGTGATCATTGTAGCATTTCAACTGTCTCCGTTCGACCCTATAACATCCAACTAAACAGGGCCTTTCCATTTTATGGTTGATATCGGAGATCACTCATCTTTGGTATATTTACGCCCCACCTCGTTTCGCCCAACATCACTTTTGGTTTTAAGGTTTTAGGGTCAAAGAATTAGGGTTTAAGTGTTTGGTGTTGAGAGGTTGTCCTTCATTTTCTCATGGTGTTTGGATGTTTTTGGAGTTTAGGGTGCAGGGTTTACTGTAGGATTTAAGGTTTTAGGGCTTTAGTATGATAGGGTTCAGGATGACTTGTGTAATGTCGCACAGGTCCCCTACCTGAGCTTTTCAGGAGTGCCAGAATGACACATAATTTACAGGGTTTTGAGAGTGCCTCGAGTGCCTCGGGAAAAACGAGGTGTTTGACCATATATTTACCCAGGGGGACAGCATATCAGGGGGAACCGGCCCCAAGACTATGCCACATTCTGAGTTCCCATTGCTGGTAAAATCCCGACCGCTTGTGAAGTCCATGTCTGAACTGATTGTAATCCCATGTTTCAGGAGTGTTCCTGGATTAGAATCCGTTGGAATCCCATTATGACCCGACCCGATTTTTAAAATTCATCGACATGAATATAAACTATAACATGGTATAACCTTGGGTTATAAATGCTCATGAGCATGTGTCTTCACAGATAATATGTATAAATTTAACAGATTAGATTGGATTGGATTTGATTATATATATATACATAGATTTAGATCAGATAAGATCCGTATATATAATAATAATACATATATATATATAGAATTCATATGATTTCGATATAAATAGCTCCTGGTTCCATCTCCAGGGATGCATGGGCCTTTGGCTCCTCTTTCGCATCGTGGGGACCACCTGGCCTGCGGCTGTGCTGCCTGGGCTGCTGGCTGCAGGCACCCTTTTGGTGGAGGATTCAGGGGGATTTCACCAGCAAAACCTTGACATTTCAGAAAAATCCTGGATCTGGTTGGTGGTTTGGAACATGAAGTTTATGACTTTCCATATATTGGGAATAGTAACCCCAACTGACTAATATTTTTCAGAGGGCTGGGTCAACCCAGTTGGTCATTGCTTTTGCAATTTGATTTTGGAATGTGTTGAATACAACGGAACTTGATTTAGCCTGCCGAAATCCACTTTAACCATCCAAAATGATGGCTTTCACTATCATTAAGAAAACATGGTTATTAGGATCCAACATTATTTGACCAACAAAACAAGGGAATTTGACCAATCAACCTGAGGAATTTGAGCGTAGCAACCCAATAAGTATTGGAGGTTGACTGACCACTTCCATTTGGGGCAAAGAATCCCAATTTCGCAGCACATACTTGGCAACATTTTCCAACAATCCTTGGTTCTTTGTTAACCATGTGTAAATCACATTAAAGATTTTTTGTTTTTTTTACTGCATCAATTTGGTTTTTCACTTCGCTGCAGTTGAATATGCAATGCATGGAAAAAAAACATGGGTTTGTTTGAATGTAAAGTATATCAACATCGCTTGGCTGATCATTATTTTACTTGGCTGAACATTGCCAGTGGCAATCATGGTCAGTTCCCCATGTTTAACGATGAAACCAAATATCATATGGTTGGATATGGTTATATGATCTTATATGATCACATTGGTTACATTAACCCAAGCATGTTGGTTATCAGGTTGTTGGCTATTAGCAAATTAATTAACCATTGCTAATCACTAAATCACCAAGCAGTAATTAACCAAGATCAACAATTATTTTTAAAAATAAACATTATTAACCATTAATATTATTATTAACCATTATTAACCATTACTAACCATTATTAACCATTATTAACCATTATTAACCATTATTAACCATTATTAACCATTATTAACCAATTTTGTTTATCAATGACCAAGCTATGGATGATCCCCAAAAAAGTCCCCATGGTCCAGGTATCAGCATCTTGGTTGGTCTCTATGAAGATGCTGATGTGGTGATCCGTGAACGAGAACGCTACCCAGCCACATTCGAAACGCGAATGGTGAACGGTGATTGGACATGGTGAAAATGGATGTTAGTATACTGCTTAATAATAGTTAACTAATTGTGATTCATATAAGTGTTTAAGAGTTAATTTATGGTGATTAATATAGTGTTTAATAATAGTTAATTAATAGTGTTTTTTGGTGATTAATGGTGATGAGTGATAGTTACTTGATGATTCATAGTGCTGAATAATTGGTTGCTATATGTTACTATAATCATGATGATAACCTCCAAGATATCTACGCAGTAGCGTCGGGTGGAACATGTCTAATTGTTCATGGCTTATAGTTCAATACTTTATATGTATATCAAACTTGTATTTTTTGTAGTTAAGGTTGATTTCCAGTTTTTTTTTACTATTTGTTTATTTTTATTTCATTGTTATTTCCATGTTTTTTTTAGCGGGAAGGTCTGCTTGGGGGGGTTGCTTGCTGTGAATATGTATACATGTATGTATATAATTGTGTATGTATATATATATATATGTATAATATATATATATATATATATATTTCCAACAAAGTGGTTCATCTTGGTTTGAATTTTGGACCGACTTCGTCGTCTTTCTGTCGATTTTTTGATGCAAATCCCCCATGCGGGTGAGTTTCTCACCAGGCTCCAGCCAGTATAATCATTATAGGTAAAGGATGCCCACATTTGGGTGGAAATTGAAATGATCTTTGCCGAGATTATTCCGTACATTTAACCAATACAATCTATAAATCTTGGCTGTGCCTTTTGTATCCTTTTGTCCCTATATTTTTACCAAGATTCCACTGATCTGCCGAGGCTTTATCGGGCATCTATACGCATTTCAACTCTTCGCTTCAGTGGTTGGACGCTGGGTGCTGACGGGTGCTGGGCATAGGCTATAGCTGCATTCTTCCTCCTGGTACATTTTTTGCTTGTTTAGCCAAACTGCATTTTTTTTAGTCTCAAGAAAAAATAATGGTTTCGCGAAAAAACCTCTACCGTGGGCTACGAACAGTACGTGGCGTCGGTTTGGTCCATGGGCTGCCCCTTTTTGACTTGAAAGGGCATACAACTCTTACCCAAAAACATTTCTTAAAATTCTCAGCATTTTTGCGGCGTCAGACTGTCTTGAGTGACTTGCTCTTTGCTGCCTTTTGCTCTAGGGCATGGGTCCCCTGCGCATGAGCGCCATTTTCCAGCAGACCTGTCGATGTGTGGAAGAGTCTCCCGATGGAACTTGGATTGATCTTTGCGACCTGCCTAGGTGTGCTGATTTGCATGGTTTTTCTTGGTTTTCTTCAGAAACTCTACTGGAAATCCAGGCACCCAAGGCTCCCGAGGTGTCAACCGACGGAGCGGAAGCTGCCGTGAACTGGGTTGCCGATGTGTCGTTCATGCGGACTGCTGGAGTGGTGGGACCTGCATCAAGACCCAGCAGCTGGAAGTGCAATCTCGAATCCTTCGGGTGGAATGCCCCAGTAAGAAAATGGTTTCCATCACCAACAACCTGGACAATCTAGACAGCAGCTCGGCATCACGATCATCCGGGAAAAGATGGAGACCGTTGACGTCTAGGCAGTGGATATCGAGGGTTGGCATGGCTCGATGATGCTCGATTTTTCACCATGGCGAGTTGCCAGACTCAAACTGCCAGCAAAGATACCCAGAATTGACTTGGTCTTGGGGTGGCATGCAGCAGATTTGGTACATGTACATAAGATTGCATAACCTGTTCCCTTACAAAATTGGGGTAGAACGGTATACAATTAATAAGAATAAATATCAATTAAATTCAATTAATACAATGGAAAAAATCACCTAGTGGTCCCCAGCCCAGTTCCACCCAAGAAACAACAAAACAACAAAACAACAAAACAACAAAACAACAAAACAACACTGAACATACTGATCATACTTATGATCATACTGATCAAACTGATGATCATGCTGATGATCATACTCATCATCATCATCATCATCGTCGTCATCATCATCATCATCATTCTCAATCATTAAAGCATATATTAATAGTTTAATATATATATATAATATTAATAGATAGCTGCAGAGTAATGTAGATCAGGAAAAACAAGTGCTTCAAACAAACACGCCAAACCTCGCAGTTTCGTTGGCCAAAATCGCTGTTTCGCCGCAAAAAAAAAAAACACGCCGTTTCAGTTGGACAAGCGTAGCTTGGCATCTGAATGCTTCATATTATCTTAAAATGCAAGCTAGCCAATCTCCATCTGCAGTATGACACAAACCGCAAGTCTAGTTTTTCTAAAGTGTTGGCTACATTAAGTCGGCTAGCTCGGGCACAATATTCGCATCGTTCCCCCATCAAACACCCAGGGGTTTCTTGTAGGGTAGGTACTGAACTGTTTCCAAACCACCGAAGTGCAGAAAAACACAGGAATAGCAAAACTCGCAGTTTGAAAAAATAATCACAGTTTCAAGGAACAAGTCTATTTTTTTGGGAAACAGCAGTTGTTTTTTTTGCTCCCTAGGAAGTTGCAGGTATGCATCATGCCTAAATGATCTATATGGTTTTATTTATATACATATGTGTATAAAATTGTATAAATGAATACATACACACCAGATGTTATATATATATATATATGTATACACGTGTGGTAACCCCGAAGAAAAGATAGACAAACAATTTACAGTATTATACTATTTTACTAGGATTTTAATCTATTTTTTGGGGGTTGACTCTACACTATCATATCTGCAGAGATTGAAAAGGAGACCCAGATCCAGTGCAGATCGAAGGAGAGCCTGGCTTCCAGCTGGGCTTTCCGAGGGGTTCTCTGAAAATTCAGTGGAAACATCGCAAATCTGCCTATATCATCATTGTCTCCAAAGAAAGTGGCTATTTGGGGGTATAGCCAAATTTCAGACACACCCATATAGATGTTTTTTGGGATCGTTTCTGAATGTATGTATTACGTAGAAAACCAAGAGATCCTTAGAGTTTTCAACGGTATCAAGGGTATGGTTAGCGGTTAGAGATCCTCATGATGGTTTATCTACGTTATTTCATTCAATCCCTGAAGGTGTGAACAAAAATGTTGTAAATTACAAACTGATTTTTCTTGCTGGGGGCTTATTTTCACCCTTGAAAGGTTTGGGTTCATTAGTTGGTCTACCACATTGCCTACGAAATCTGTTTTGGCGGTTTCAAAGTATTTCTTGACTTCAACCGTACAAACGGAGCGGCTTTCTTCCAAAGACTTTTTCGTGTTAAACATTAGGGCCTGCCCGCAGCTTCCAGGAAGCCTTCTGGTCTTTAAGACCAACTCAGCGTACAGCAGATATTGGGAGGCTGGGACCTGAGGTGGTTGCAAAAACTGGACCGGGTTATGTGAGAGCTCTGTGTTTCAACTTGGACGTTTCACCTAGCTTTTTGTTTTTGAAAGGCGATGCACATGGCATGACATTCATGACATCAACAATCTTACAGTAAAATTGCCAAATCCTTAAGAGTTTGAACAAACTCCATGTACCAAAGAAATCATTATCATCCATCAAAATAGATCTTTTAAATCCCAGTTCTGTCAGAGATTTGAAAACATAGCCATTGGTATCCTGCCATTGGTGATTCAGCCCACAGGCTGCAGGTGCCTTGCAGAACATGGCCTCCAAATGGTTGGACGGCGTTTGCATGGCCGTTTCCTTTGATGCTGGAGGCGCGAAACGAAGTGAACGCTTTTTTTTCTGGAGAGGATCGATGATCTCAAAAGGGAGAGTCAGAGCCATTGGGATTTAAGCAATGATATATATATATGATCATGGGGAATTGGGATTTTTGGAATTACTAGGATATTGAAAATGAATGGTATATCATACGTATGAAGCAATGAAGAATAATTACTTGTCTTCCAACGATAAGTGGGAATTGGACCAATCCCACATGCTCCACGTGTTTGGTATTTTGGTGGGGTAGGTAACTATTGGTAAATATTCCATACATGTAGCATTTGCGAATGGGCAACGGCACATGGGTGTTTGACGGCCCTTGAAACTCAAGCCGCAACAGATGTGTGTTGAAACATGACTGCGAGAGCTGATGGTTGTATCATTGGACACTCCCAATGAATCAATGCTTTTTGGGGCTTGAAACCACCAGGTAACCATGACCTCAGAGGGTCGAAGCCAGCTCCAGTTCCAAAAATTGCAGTTCTTGGACGTCAGGAAATGCATCGCAGCCCTACTTGCACGGTGAAAGTTGGGAAAGGACTGCCACCTCGGCCCAGTCGGCCGAACAAATCCATTGGGTCAGAGAGCCGTTCCGGCTTGGAGAATCTATGAGCCGTCGCGGCTCCTAAACATGAGCCTTCATATTATACATGACATGCAAGATAAGTCTGCAGATAAGTATGTCAGAACAGATGTTTCTAGACTGGATGACCTGTATCAGGGTTCAGGCTGGTTGCATCATGTTAAATCCATGTAAATCCAGATATTTTAAACACATTATTTATAGTGATTTAGTTAGATTTACTTCCTTTCAGTATCTTTGACTCCTGGATACATGAAACTCAAATGATCGTTCAGTCATTGACTCTAGTCATTAGGAGCATCCAGCCACATCCGACCTCGGGAGACAAGGTGCACGCCCCAGACTTGGGGAGCAACCCAGCATTCATATGCGATATATATATAACCATAGTTTAACCATACAGTGGTGTATAATGGTGTGTATATATATAATCACAAAGTGGGATATATAACCATGTGATATGATGTATGTATGTATGTATATGTATAATGAGGGCTGGAACCAGAACTTATTATGCACATACGGGTAAGGGGCAAAGTTTACGACCCAACAGAACCGCAGACATTTACCCAAGTTTGGCACATGCCCGTATGATTCCTTAAATCAGTTTTGAATGATCACTGATGAGGTGTACTTTGCTTTGGGAAGATCGTTATATCACTTGGGAAGATAAGAGTGTGCCATGGCTCCAGCCCAGCACAATCATCCATTGATATCCATCAAGGCTCCAGTTTACAGCAGGGGTAGATGGAGAGATGGAGAGTTGATAAAGTCAGGACCCAGACTTTCCGGGATTCAGATGGCAAATACAGAATTACATATTACACAATATATTATATTTGATTGGTGGTTTGGAACATGAATTTTATGACTTTCCATTCAGTTGGGAATATTCATCCCAACTGACGAACTCATATTTTTCAGAGGGGTTGAAACCACCAACCAGATATACATATACCCTCTGGTAAACTAACATAGCTATTGAAAATCACAATTTTTAATAGGTAAACTATCTATTTCTATGGGCCATCTATACCATGGCTATGTTGAATAACGAGAGGGTATATATATAATTATATATATATATATATTATATATATACCCATGTTGCTGCAAGCAATTGTAGGTGAATCATAGCCACAAGGCTGGGAAATTGCGAAAGGTTTTCCCCTGTTTCTACGTAGAAACGGGGTGGCCTTTGAGCCGCCGGAGCGATGGGAAGTCCCCCACATTTTTCGGTTTATCCTATTGATAGGGCTGCGAAATGAAAGGAACTTAACTAATAAGTGAACTAAGTATCTATCACTTGCGCCTCATAGATTTAGGTATTCTAAACTATCCTAAATGGTCATTTGACTATTTGAAGACAGAAGAACAAATGTGGGGTAAATATCCAAAGTTGTATGAACATGCAAAGTACACTACCCCTTCTATCCGTTTCTAAAAACCCTTTCAGAAATGTGAGTCAACCTCAAAGCCGCAAAGTCGCCTTGAACATGTTTCTGGCTGAAAAAAACAACTTTCCTGGTTCAGACCGCAATCTTTCCAATTGAAAGCCTTCGATTTCCGATTCAAACAACATTATTTTGATGAATAAACATTTGAAAAATATGGAAAATATGGAAAAACATATGAAAACACGTTGAAATGCCCTGAAACCCCATGTATCTCGGCTCAAAAAACCCACTTCTGCGTGAAAACTGCCGTGGCGCCAGGGTGGTCCACCGCATCAGCAGTACGTGGCAGAAGTGGTGCACATCGCCAGTTTGCTGCATGCTGTGGCCTTGCAGGACCTAGGTGTCATGATCTTTTTTGACATATCCTCATTAATACTATTTTGTCATGAGGATGATCATGATAATAATGATAATAAGTGTACTAATGAATAAGTGTACTTAATGATAAACATATGTCATAATTGATGATAATAAGTGTACTTAATTATACTATTTTCTAATTGTCATGATTATCATGAGGATGCCCCTAATCATGATATAATATATAGTTGTCTTATGATTATCCTCATGATCATGTCATTATTTCTATGACTGCACATTTTGTCTAATGTATGTGTGCGTTTGTTTGTTTTCTTATTCATATTGTCACCATTTTATTGTTTTGATATGACTATTAATGTATTATGATTATTGACATACATTTGCATTATGGTTCTTAAGATCAAACAAACAACACATTATGACTACTATTGTAGTGCTGTGTTTGTGAAATGTCCTACAGTCACGATGATGCGGAATTCACCATCAACAACGCATACTTAATCTGCAATATTGCTTGTGACTATTATGAAGCGATGATTCTGGTTGGTGGAATATTGCTTGGTGCATTCAAACATATTTGGGATGATGATGATGATGATGATTATGATGGTGGTGATGATGATGATGATTATTATGATGATGATCCCAACTGACTAATGTTTTGGGAATGGTTTGAAGCAACCGATGGTAGTCATCAAATGGTGTCATGCGCATTCCATCCTCTGACAATTAACCTCCATGGGTAATTATATAACTGTAATTGACAAGCAGTCAATCAATTGAACATGCAACACAAATATCACGAGTTTTCAAGTTCGCAGAGTTTTCGCTTGGTTTTTTTCGCTTTGGCACATGCCACAGAAATCATGATCCAAGCGTTTCGAGCACCGGCCGAGGCAAAGATCACGACTTGGAGAATTTGGTGCCAGCGAAAAACCGGATCAGCTGCTTGGATGGAAATCCTGACGGCTTTTTGTCTCAGGAATCACCATGCATTACGATGTGTAGGAAACGGTATATACTGATGGTTTGGAACAGGTTTTTTTCCATTTTTCTTGTGAATATATAATAATCGTAACTGACTTTCATATTTTTCAAAGGGGTTGAAACCACCAACCAGTATATATATATATATATATACATATGTACATGCTGTGTATATATATATTATAATATATACACATGAATATAACTCAACATAATGCACACAGATTTGATCTTTGAATAGATGCTAACAAACATGTTGAAAACACACAGTACATTGATCAATTGCAGCGCGAGAGATAGAGAGAGAGAGAGAGTAAATGCGTTATTACAATAAGATGTTTGTTTTTGTATGTGATGTTGTGATGTTGTTCTGTACATGTTCCGTGCATATATACAATATGAGTCCACGATTTAACCGTGCTGAATGCTGACGCTCAGAATTCAGATGGGCGACCCCGGACAGGTCGCCCTGCTGCGATGCCGTCCTACTCGTTTTTCTCCGACAAGTCTGGGCCCTTACTGGAACAGTTACCCTCTGGTAAACTCACAGTTTGCTGTTGAAAATGGCGATTTAGTTCGTGGATTTACCCATTGAAAATGGTGATTTTCCATAGTTATGTTAGTTTACCAGAGGGTATGTAATGGGATCAGTGGGGCATAGACGAGTTGGTCATTTGGTGTATGAAATTTTCACGGATGTTTATAGTGGACCTTGGATTCAAAAGCCGCCAAAAATGACATTAAGAGACCACCAATTCAGACACTTTGATCAACCGTATGGGGATGGATCAAGACCAGTCGTTGTAAAAATGTTCATATATGTTCATAGATTTTCTGGGGATGAACATCCATAACTCCAAGCTAATCCGGGCTTCAATAGAGATGTTGTTTCTTGGCCAGGTCGATCTTCTCCGAAGAGCACCTCTATGCCTCCCATCGCAGCGCCAAAATTCCGGTGCTCGGAGGCTTGCGTTTGCAGGTGCGGGGACGGACAATCCGAGGGTTTTTTGGGACAAAGATGTGAAAGCAGTTGCAGGGGCACGTTGTTGCAAGGGTATTACATCTCCATGATCAAGCGTGTGGTAATGTGTGATTAACGGAATGATAATTCAATGTATAAAAGGTTCACAGCCTTCTGCAATGGTAAAACAATGACTTAAACATGATATGACTTAACAATCCTACTAATATTACATGATACTACACAAACAATGATTAGTATACTATTACTAAATTTGCAGTATTACTATAGTATTAGTATACATTATCCTATTATCAGTAATGTTATTAATATATATATATACAACCATTAATGATTTATTCCTCACTAGTACATATTAGTACCGTATACTATTATCAGTATTTGATTCCCCATAATGAAAATCCAGGAGAGGCCATAAACTATTAATGATAACAACTATTCAATTTTCAATTGCCATGAATAATATTAATAATTTATCAGCAATGGCTTTATAATGTTTATTGCCATTGTATAACAATTTATTCCCCCTACGGTATACTATCAGTACTTGATGTCCCATTGTAAACATTACTGATATTGCCATAGATATAATAAACTGCTTATATTACCATTAAAACAATATTCTCCATTAGTACAGTATACTATTATCAGCAATTGATTCCCCATTAGAAATACCATGTTATAGAAGAATCAATGCATGGGGATAGATAATAGTGATTAAATTACTACTACAGATTGCATAATAGGGGAATCACGGCAATAATACCTGATTCCCATAGGCAATAATGGATAATGGGGATTGTTAATGTATTCTATGGCTTCTATTACCATTATAAAGACGAAATGGGCAAATAATACTGATGCCATAAACTATACCATCACCATAGATAAATATGGCTCTATTAATACCATACAATGTGGGGCCCCCGTTCGATAGCTAAGTTGGTGCAAATAACTCCCAGTTCACTATGGTTTGCTATACGCAAATAACTATAGTTAACCAACTTAGCTAACCAACTTAGCCATCCAGAGTTACTATAGTTTCTCATACGCAAATAACTATAGTTTACTTATAACTATAGTATTCATGGGCTTTATAAACCAACAAGCACCAGTTTTAAGGGGTGCCCCACGAAGCCACGAAGCGAGAGTTTCATCAACTCGTGGAGCTTCAGGAGAAGCTGGTCCTGGACAAGGACAGCCAGGGGACGCCTCTGACCACCGCCGCGCGTGTGGCCATGGCTTGGGAGCTTGGCCCGCGACTGGCCCGCTTGGCCCGCTTGGCCCGTGGCCAACAATCAGGAGATCTTAGATTTCACCGGAAAAAAATGATGAAGCCATGGGATTTATGAAGGTTTTGAGTGATCCTGAAGTAGATGGAAGATGGAAATTTGGACAGATAGTGCCATACTTTGGTGATGTCGTGACATTTCCATCTTCTACTCCCAGATCACTACAATATGATATATATATATACATTGGTGATGGATACATAAAATTGTGGGACAATGATTTTATTTTTGAATGACTTTTTTTTGTTACTCCCATAAACCAGAGTAAAATTGCAAACCAACTTAGCTATCGTTTGGGAGCCCACCTTGGAGGTGAAAATATGGATTTACGCTGAGTTCACGTCTTGGTTTGTTCCACATTTTCTATTGGGGCCTTTCTGTTCTGACCGTAAATAGGAGAATATGATACCCCTGATTACCTGTAGGGCAAGTGTTTTTGCCTACAGAAATTGAGTTATTTGCTGAAAACATCAAGCTAAACCTTGCTTGAGTTTTGCTGGGGAGCTAAGGTTGGCCATGAATCGGTGATAGGTTGACGGCCGGGACGATCCCGCAGTTGAACAAGTCACCCTACTCTGGGTTTAGCACAGCTATGGAAGATGAACATGGCCCATTTATGGATTATGTTGCGACACAAAGCACATGTTGTTTGTTCCCATGGTAGGTCAGATTGCCTACTTTTGTTAAAGTTGTACATAAATCCACCTCTTGTGCAAAATTCTGATGTTTATCCGTTGCGGATCATTTCGCTTGAACATTCATTTGTCCATTTGTGCGATGGTCAAAAATTGGAATACCTCGGGAGATGGTCATCAATGGTCATCAATACATTGGGATATTATATGATATTATATACCCTCTGGTAATTTAACATAGCTATGGAAAGATCCACCATTTTTAATGGGAAAATCCACTATTTCTATGGCCATTTTCGATAGCTATGTTAGTTTACCAGAGGGTATGTATAACAAATACATACAAGTAACTTGTTACAAATACCCATTCTGAATACAGGGGTTGCACTTGGATTCCGACTATGATAAGGGATCCGCTCACGACCGTCTCCATGAGATGCTTTGAGGGGGTACCCTTTATCAGATTAGAAAACTATCTGGAGGTTAACGCCAGAATTGGTAAACCATAGTTGATTCATCCGGGGTTGTAATCATTACCCTTTAAAAAAATGGAACCATGGGAATCCTGACCCGGGTCATTGGTCAATACGGCTCCGAGGTCGAAGGTTGGTTGATGCGGCGCCTCCTTGCTCGGCAGAAGTTCGAACAAGGCCGTTCCAACAAAAACGGGTCCCTCCAGGGTGACTTAGCCAGCAAAGGTGGAGACTTCACCAGCACTGGGACTTCTGGATAAGTTTTTTTATGACCTCACTGTGAGGTCACCAAGTGGCCGCAAGTTTCAGGTATTTTCAGGTCAGTGACTAGGATTTAGCTAGAATCCCGAACTATAAATTTATCTCATTTGAGGTTGGTGAACTATCTCAATATGGGGTTCACCAGATGCATTGCTTTGCCCAGCCTGTTCGCAGGTGAAACAGCCAAGACAGCACCACCCATCTTGTCTCGACTTTATCAGGCAGGGTGATCAAACCATGTTTAGCTTACCTCTGGTATCCTCTGGTTACATGGGGGTTTCCATAAATGGGGGTATTCCAAAATGGATAGTTTATAAGGGAAAATCCTATAAAGATGGATGATTTAGGGGTACCCCTATTTCAGGAAACCTCCATAATTTGCAGCCTGCCAATGGGAGATCCACTGCAAAATCCAGCTGGGTTTGTGGTCCCGTCATGGAACACTGAACTTGGATAAAACCGTGCCAGGGTAAAATGACTCATACCAGGGGAACATGACGGAACCGAATATGAACTGATTCGCTGTCCTCCTGCAGTGATGACTTCGAAGGTTACCGTAGGCCCATCAAACTACATGGATACAATCCGCCGACAGAATGACTCCGTAAACTGAAATAAGGCTTGCGACTGTTTTCAGGGACAACATCCAATCCACGAAGATATAGTTGTATGTTGTTGTTGCTAAGGTCAGTGCATTTCATTTTAAACCTCTCAACAAGATCTGAACATTCAACAATCAACTGGCTTTGGTACGTTCACCCAAAATTGACATTGAAGATCATATGTCCAAAGACCTGTAGGGCCTTTACTTGTCACTTTCATTGTTTGAAAGCACCCAAATGGATCCCAAATCCTGGAAGGTCACAATTCCGGCGATTCCCATTGTTGGTTTCCCAGCGTAGCAGTGGCGCCAGGTGATTTCCGATGGAACCTTATGGTTCTTCACTAGTTCCAAGAGTGCTGCTGAGCTGAAACGGGGGTCCTAGGCGAGTCCTAGGGGTCCAAAACCCATTGGAATTATCCATGGAATTTTGGACCATTTGGACCTATAACTATTCCAAAACCATAATTTACATAATCTTGCATCCACTTAAGCGTATTACGGTATTACAAAAAAATTTTGGGCTTTGGAGATATTTTCTCGTTTTGTTTTTTTTTAATTAAGTTATTTTCAGAACTCGTTCTTTTGTACCTTCAGACTTTGTTACAAATACCTTCATGGCTTTTAAAACCATGCCACATGCGTTCTTGTAGAATTCTCATCTCAATTTTCCTTAGTTGTGGTATATAACACATTTTTCTTCTGACACACTTCTTGTGGGACAGCTTTTCTGTTCTCTGCCTGGCGCCGTCCATAGAAGGACATTTCTCGTATAGACGCCCTGCTAGATATTTTAACAAGTGTCATGGATATTTTCTTTTCTCGTTTTCTTTTGGCTCAATGGTTAGATGCGCCGCTCCATTGTGGCTGTTTCGGCCGCAGTACTGGCTGGCTCGGCCATTTTAGTGGCTGCTTCGGCCACAGCGGCAATGTCAAGCTTGGAAACCGGGGCCAAATTCAGATGGCGTAGTTCGGGCAAAAAATGGTGTAACACGTTCCTCATCTCAGATGGCCAGCCAGAGCTAGGGTCATGGTTAGATGTGAAGCAGCAACCTTGGGGTGTTGGTTGTAAAGTGTGCAAGGAAACTGGGGTTTCCAACCCTTTCGCTTCTTATTCAATGACCAAGAAGGGCCAACTGCAGAACTGCAATTTGATAAAGCACCATAAAAGCAAGGCGCACAAGGCAGCGGTGAAGGAATGGTTGAAGGAAGGAGGCTGTGTTGGTCCCAGTCCCGATGCAGCCCCGTCATTGAGTCAGTTTCAAGAGCTGATGGAGTGCTTTGGCGACAAAAGATCATTGTCGCAAAAAGAGCTGCAAATGGCATGGTGTTTGGCAGAGGGGTTAAAAGCTTTGGACCAAAAGTTCATTGCGAAATCTTCTCGCATTTCTTTGATGCGGGATGAGCGGCATGGGCGGTTGGCCATACGATTCATGGCTGTGGCCCCAGACTTGACAACTCGAAGTGGCTTTTTAGGCCAAGCAAGGCAAGCTGGAACAGGAGCTGACAATGTCTCCTTAGCCACATGGGCAGTCATGAAGCGTGCTTGCTCTAGATTTTATATGGCCCCTCTTAGTCAGAATCCTGGGCGTTTGAAGAAAAATCTTTTTAAACACCTGCGGTCAAGAGTTGTGGCACTCGCTGCTGATGCAGCAGCAGATGAAATGGCAAGCTGTGAAATATTAAGGTCAGCACGCTTGAGTTTGAATACAGAAGACAATCAGCCAATGCTGCCAAATTTGCAACATGTTTTCAGGGACCGGGCGCACGCCAGCAGAAGGTTGACAAGCAGACCATGGAATGCGGACGAAAAGCTGAAAGAAGTGATGCAATACATGGGCCGAGGGCCAAGGTCAATGGCTAGGCTCATCAATGACTCCATGGAAATCAAGCGCATATTTGGTGAACACTGTCGCGCTTGCGACTCCACGATTGAGACTGCCATTTCATGCTTTCGGTCTGCGGGCCACAGGTTCGAATCCCACGCACGTCCCCTTGGCAGAACCTGCTTGTTTTTCCATGCTTGTGTGAAAACTGCCCTTCATTTAACCAAAGCACGAACAGATGTCTCTGCCAAAAAGGCGAAGGATTGGCTTCTTTGGATTTCAGAAGAACATCTGCTGCAGGCAGCTATGTTGGCTGATGCGGCCGACACAAGTCTTGCTTTAACTCGATCCTTGGATACGGAGCATGTTGATCCTGCAAAGCTGAAAGGTGACTTGCAAGTCTACATGCGACAAATTCGCAGTCTTTTTGTTGAAGGTCGTTGTGCGACTGTGTTCGGCTTCACCTCGACTGTTCTTACCCAATTGAAGTCGCCCATTGTTTTTAACATTGGGAACAGAATGAAAACTTTGGGTTCTAGCACCGGAGTGAACAGAGCAATTGTCGACACATGTCTCGGACGAATGCAAGCTTGGGTGAAACTGGCTGTTGCGGCCATAGAAGCAGAATTTCCTCATTTTGAAATTTGCCAAGCGTTTGAAATATTCAATTTGAAGGGGCTTCCGCAAGAAGGGGTGAACGCACATCTTAGAGCGATTTCCCACACATACAAATTGGATTTGCCCAGGCTCCGTGCACAGTGGGAAGACCTGTATCCCCGTGCCCAACTGGAATACAAAGAACAGGTTGGCTCACTGAAAGAAAGCAAAGATATGGTCCACGATGGCAACAAAGAAGCCTGGAGAGCTACTTTGGCCAGATACTCTTCAGCCAGACCATGCAGTCATCCCAGCGACGTTTTGCTTGTCGCATTGCAAAATTATTTTTGCTGCACGCCCAGTACTTCAGCAATTGAGCAAAATTTTAGTTTGGGCCAAATCCGGTACACAATGCAGCGGCGTCGGTCCTTACCCAACAATGAGGAATTGGTCCTGAAACTTATATATGGTTTGCCCAAGCAAAACAAAGACGAAAAAGTTGAAATTTGCAAGCTAGCCCGTGTTGCGTGGGCAAACCAGTATGGCCGTCCACGGGAACATTCCAAAACTGGTCGTCGGGCTGACAAAGGAATCAAAAGAAAACAGGTTGACCCAGGTTTGACTGAGAGCAGCTTCCTTCGGAGACGTCGCTGCGCGGCTGCTGCGGCCGCAGAGTCATATTCAGGAACCCAGGAGCAAGCCGACCCCCTATTCTTCACTGAAGGTCATCAGAAGGAAATGTTTTTTTTGGAAAAGAAAAGCCGCATTAGGCGAATTCAGGCCACTGCGGAGAAGTCCTTACCAGACGCGACTTTGCAAGATCAACAAGACGCAGAGGCTGCTTCGGCCAGATTTGCAGAGAATCAAAAGAAAAGACGCGAGAAGGCAAGTAGGATTGAAAGGCATGTTAGCAACAAACACAGGGATGCCTTGCTCGCCGATTTATCTGGCTCTAAAGCTTTCCTGGCTGTTTCGGCCAATATGGAATTGACTGCAAGTTTAGCCAACAATGGAATCCAAGTGACAGCGCCAGCCTCCCAAGCACATGTCATTGTTTGCGACAAGCCAGGTGAAAGCTTACTGCCAGCATCCCTACAACTGATGATAGGTTTGCGAGGCTTGGTGGAAGTTTCCCCATCTTTTTTTACTGTTGGAAACGGTTCTGCTTTGAAATTTCATCGCGCTGTTTCGGTGCGTAAAGTTGTTCTTGTAAGCAAAATATGTGCAGAAAAGCATGATGCCTTTTGGAAAGATTTTCGGCAAGCGCTTCCTGGTGGGCATGGTTGGCAACTTCACAAAATGAATGCCGGCACAGTGGCACAGCTGCAGGCGAAGCAAAGGACCTTTCCGAAATACAAAGCATACGCAGTCATTCATGAGGATGAAACAGATGCGGTCAGTGAAGGGGACAAGCAAATTTTCACCATCCAGACTTTCTTGCATCGCATTCGTCGCGCAGACATGGTAGAGTCGTGCTCCGGGCTTATGAAATGACGACGCATGCTTGCGCAAAGAAAAAAGGGAGGATCACCTGTGTGTTGTTGGTCTTCAACTGGTTCTCTTTAAATCTAACTTGTAAACCCGAACCCCCCAGCAATGAAATAAACGCAGGCATACAATTTATAATTGTTTCAATCTTTTGTGGGTTTTACTGTTCGTTTTCGCATTGATGTGTTGCAACATGTCTGCCAGGTTTTGTCGGCTCAAGTCATATACTTAGTGGCTGTTTCGGTCATCCTGGCTGTTTCGGCCAGCTGCCTTGACTGCTTCAGACCTCCTGCCTGCTTCGGTCCGCCTGGCTGCTTCGCCCAAATCAAGCTGTTTCGCATTCAGGGGTGGCTGCTTCGGCCTGCTGCTGGCCTGCCTGGCTGGCTGCTTCCAGCCATGCCTGTCCAGCTTCGCGTTCCCCGATTGGTTCGTGTGGGGAGTGATTTCTCTGGCTTGGACACAGGCATTTTCGCTTTGAAGCGGTTGCAGCTGCCGGTGGAAGTTTCATTTTGCAGCGACACAGACCCACACTGCAGAAAACTACTGGAAGCTGCTCACAAGCCAAAATGTTTTTTCGACGATGCCGAACAACGAAAGCCAGAGGATGAGATCCCTGTGGACGTATACATTAGTACCCCGCCATGCCAGCCATGGAGTTCACAGGGAAAAAGGAAAGGTCTCCAAGATCCCCGGGGGAGGTTGCTGAAAGTGCCTTTGAGGTATACAAAGCGGCACAAACCAAGGGTCTTTCTGATGGAGAATGTGAAGGGTCTCTGCCACCGGAAAAACAAACCGGTACTCCGCGGCATCCGAGCCACGTTAGAGAAGCTGGACTACAGGGTCTGGCTTGGAGTCTTAAACGCTGTGGATTTCCAAATCCCGCAAAAGAGACAAAGGCTCTTCATTGTCGCGATCCGCAAAGACTCCTGCAGGAGACCTTTCAAGTGGCCCAAAAAACTCGGTAAGCGAAGGCTGTCAGAGGCCTTGGACCCGATGCAGGCTGCAGATCGGCCTGGTCGGTTGCCGAAAAATCAAAGAGCCAAGGCTTTGGCTTTGGCTGCCTGCCGAAAAGTTAACAAGGAGGGCATTGACCCACGACAGGTTCCTGTTGCCATAGACGTCGGCTGCAGCCAAAAATATGCCACCTTTGGCATTGATGTCAGCCGCACCTTGAGCCAAGCTCGCGCCAAGACAGGCGGCTTCTGGATCAGTAGTCGTGGAAGGTATATGACTACAAATGAGATGTTGAAGGTGTCTGGGTTCCAGTCTTCTGAGATGCCAGATTGGAACCAACATGTAAGCAAGACTCAGTTGCAAGGAATGCTCGGCAATTGCGTGCCGATTCCTTTGGTTGGCTGTGTGCTCCAAAATGCCTTGTACGCAGCTGGCTTGATTTCCAAGCTGGCACCTTTTCCAGTCTGACCTTGGCTGCTGCGGCCAATCTGAAGCTTTTGTCGCGGCTTGTGTGGCCGATTTGTAATTAACCTACAATCAGACAGCCTTGACGCGGGATTTGTCAAGTCAAAAGATCGCAGCTAGCTGTTTCTATGTGTTTCGTAGTCACTCTCTCGCTTCAAGACTGCTGGCATGTGCCATTCAAGTTCCAACCTGTCTCAACTTGTCATTTGACAATGGTCTCAAGTTTTGGCTCAAACCGTGTTGTCGTCGCCTCTCTTCCTTTTTCCGTGATGCCTCTGCTGCGCTCAGAAGCGGAGACTGACGAGGCAAACTTCTGTCAGTATGTCTATGTGACACAGCTTTTTGTCAAAGAGAAGCCAGCAGATTTCTTCGGTCTCGCAGAGATGGAAGACGTGTACGAATGCACTCGCAATGCCATTTTTTGGTGCTACTGCCACCTGGCCCCAGACATCAGATCTGAATTTGAATGGCAGATTGTGATTGCACTGGACATGCTGACGACTTTGCGTTACACAGATCCCGACAGCTTCCCAGACAGCCGAATTGTCGCTGGTTTGCCAGATGCGGTGGAAGAAACCAAGTTGCCCCTGACCCATGCAACCAAGCGCGACTTCTATGTGGCCACGCTCTTCATCAGCTATCTCGACGCTTGCCCGCTGAATTATTGTGGCTTCAGATGGTCTACGTTTCGTGAGAACCTGTGGGAGTCCTTCAACAAGGCAGTCCAGAGATCAGAAGTAAACAATGAATTGAAGATTGGACACTTCTCAGGAGCCACCTGGGTATTTCAACTCACCCAAGCTGATGCGGCCGAGGCTTAGTTAAGGGCGTCGTCAGGCTGCTTCGGCCTGCTCGTCGCCTGCTTCGGGCTGCTTGTCGCCAGGCTGCTTCGGCCTGCCTTAAACTATTTTTTGTAGTGGCTGCTTCTGCCACAGAAGCTTGGCTGCTTCGGCCAGCAAGGCTTTCGACAAGACAGACGGTCTCTTGGAAAATAGTGGCTGCTGACCGTGGCCTTCTTGGGACCAGGTTATGAAACCCCAAAGAGTATTAAATCCTAAAGGGGTAATATTATAATTATTGTATGTAACATGATTTAAATTTAATACTAGCTATTCAAATGGGTATATTTTTTTTGGTCATATAAGGGATTTTGACATAATAAGGAATTTAAATAACTCTTAAGGAGACTCGGGCCCTCATTCGGGGACATCCCCTAACCTCCTAAGACTCTAATTCGGGGACGTCCCCTAACCTCCTAAGGGGTAATTCGGGGACATCCCCTAACCTCCTAAGACTCTAATTCGGGGACGTCCCCGAACCTCCTAAGGGGTAATTCGGGGACATCCCCTAACCTCCTAAGACTCTAATTCGGGGACGTCCCCTAACCTCCTAAGGGTTAATTATCAAAAACCCTATCCTAAGGAGAGGGCGATTTGCCCTCTCCAACCGCAGGTCGGGGACGTCCCCTAGCTGTGTAAGGAGAGGACGAATAGAGGACGAATGTGTAATACTACTAAGTGTTTCGGTTTTAAAAGCTGTTGTCCTCTGTTTGTCCTCTCCAACCGAGCATCGGGGACGTCCCCTAGCTGTGTAAGGAGAGGACGAAATGACCTCTCCTTACACAGCATGTTTTACCAAAATCCTGCTGTGTAAGGAGAGGTCGTCGTCTTCACAGGTCGTCATGTTGAGCTTGGCTGTTTCGGCCACCCTGGCTGCTTCGGCCACTTCGCCTTCGTCGTCAGTGAGGTGTGTAAGAGAAGGCTGTGAGAGGACTAATAAGACATAAATATAAATTCCACATTAGTCCTCTCACAGCCCTGTCTCCTTACACACGTCGCTGCTGTCAGCGCGGGTTCTAAGGGCCCTCTCCTTAGAAGCCGTCATGTCGTCTCTCGTCGTTTGTTTTCGGCTCAGAGGCTTAGCGTGTAAGTTTGAAAGGTAATAAGCTGTTTCGGCTTAAACCTTGCCTGCACTCACAGGCTGTTTCGGCCTGGAGTGCTGACATGCCAAGCCCCATGGACTCAGGGTGGGCGCCCATGTTGTGTATCGACTGTGGTGGCGTCTTAACCCGTTATGGAGATGTCAAGTACGACGGCGAGGAAATCTACAAGGCGACGATGCCAGGAGCATGGGCTTTCCTGCTTTTGTGGCAGGCTTGCTATGGCGAAGATGCTGTGAGAATCATTTCGAAGGTGAAATGGTTCCCACACAAAGAGAAGCATTGGGTGGTGAGACACGCGATGTCTCTTGGGTTGTCCTCGGACCAGGTCTTCTTGACGGATCAGAACAGCAACAAAGGATACTACGCGCGCCGCTCCAATGGCACCGTGGTCGTCGACGACAGGCTGGATTGCTTGCAGAGCATGATGAACGGAAGCTCAAAAAGCCTGCAGACAGCTGTCCTGTTCGGGGGCGCCGATCCACGAAACGAGAAAAAGGTGCACTGCATCAGCGACTTCAGAGACCTTGCCGTCTTGCTGGAGGTCTACCCGAATGGTACGGTTTGGGACTGGCTCATGGACGAAGGCCCTCCAAACAAACCTCATGACGAAGCAGTGCGAGACGACCTCCTGCAACGCTTGAAGGCCATGGACGACGCCCGAGCCTGGCTACCAACTTCAACGGCAAACAAAAGAAAGGTTGAGGCTGCATCGGCCTTGTCGTCGAGCAACTGGGTCCCAAAAGGTTCTGCAGCGCCCGCCGGCGACAATGACGACGATGACGAGCGTCCGCCGCCTCCAGACAACGTCGTCTTTTTGTACCGCAAGTCTGCTGCAAAAAAAACCAGTCAAGAAGGAATCGCCGCCGCCGTCGACGAGACCGCCAAAGCAATCCACAATCAAAGAAGAGCCGGACTACGGCGGCGACCAGGCCGACGACGACAACGACGACAATGACAATGAACAGGAAAGCAGTTCAGAGGAGGACCAGGAGGAGGACACAGAAAGCGAGGCCAAAAAACTTCGACGAAGTTCCTCCAAAAAATCCGGCAGCAGGCGGCGAAGCACTTCCACTGATGCCAAGATCAAAGACTTGCAAAATCAGGTGAAGCAGCTGCAGTGGCAGCAACAGGCTGGGTGGTACTACCCGTACTACCAGGCCGCGGCGGCTGCTTCGGCCGCGCAAGGCAGCCAGCCGGCGGCACCGGCTGCATCGGCCGGGCCGCCGCCTTGGGGGGGCCGACGTCCGGATTCGAGCTGGACGCAGGCAAAGATGAAGCGTGCCGAGCAGCACCGTGCTACCGGAGGGCAGACGGCACAGCGGATGACCCCGGCAATAGCATGTTGCCGATGTGGGAAGAATCAGCCGGGCGCATATTGCCCTGCCAGGTGCTGCAGGAGGTGCTGCACGCAGTCGAGTTGCCCACAGCACCATGGCTGAATCGGCCATGTGCTGACTGGCCTTCACTGGCTGCTTCGGCCAGGGCGAATCTTCACTGGCTGTTTCGGCCAGACGGTAGCACCACTGGCTGTTTCGGCCAGACGGCAGCATGGCTAAGACGGCCGTGCGACACTGGCTGCTTCGGCCAGGTCAATGACGACGGAACGCGACAGTGGAAAGGGGAAAAAAGCAAGCAGGGACATCAGGTGTCTTGGTCCAATCCGGGGAGTTAAATTATTAAAAATAAATATAATGATATGAAATGGGGAAGTAGACGACTAAAGACGTAGGAAGTTTTAAACGCTAATTTAAAGTCTCAAGTTTAAAACTTAAAACAGCAAGTAAAAGGGACCGTCTAAGAGTATTGAATCAAGTCAAACAGTTTGGGTATTGACAGACAATTAAAATCCGCAGCTGTTTCGTAGCTCATTCCCTGTAAATTTAAGTCTGGGGCGGGGTGCCTGGCTGATTCGGCCAGTGCCTATTGGCTGCTCAAGTTTGTCAGAAACATGCCGCCAAAAAAGAAACAAAAGACGACAAAGGCTTTGCCTGCACCTTGCGAAGACGAAGATCAAAGCGAGCCAGACCTTGGTCCCTCCAAGGCTCATTGGATTAAGGTGCATGATGATTTGGCCCGAATTTTCTCACACGAATTATTCAAAGACATATTGACAGCAGACCCTTTGTCTGTCAAAGATGGCGGCAGAGAGGCAGCACTCGACGCTACTCAGGCTGCTTCGGCCTTGAAAAACGCTGGCGTCTATAAGTGTGCCGCCAATTTTTTCCATCAAGACTTCCTTTTCATGGCCACGCACAAAGTGCCTATGAACGAAGCGCAGGTGCAGCAAATCAAAGACTATTGGTTTCCCAAAAATGAACCGCCGTCATTGTGCCCCTTTGTCATCACAGTCGCTTTGGAAACCCCTGGCTGCATCGGCCAACGTCCACAAAACGGTTTCCAACGTCTCAGTCCTCCAGAGCCGGTACACGCCTTGCTGTTTGCACTGGCTGAAGCCATTGAAAGCAAAGCAAAAGTTGGAGTATTGCGCGCTTTCAGAAGTTGCATCCTCACTGCGACCTTTGTGTTCGAAATCTGTCCTGTTGGTGAAGACCGCTACTGGCGTGCACAAAACATTCGTGAAGAGATGGTTGAAAAGGGTTTGTCGGTTCAGTTGTCATTGCGCCAGCGTATATTTGATATTGCAGGCTTCTACGAAGCCAAAAAAAAAAACTGAGTCAAGCCTGGGTGCCAAAAAGCTGGCAGCTCTGTACACACAGCATCTCAAACTTGCGTCGAATCAAGAGAAAATTTCGGAAAGCTTTGTCGATTGTGCTTTGTCCATCCATCGCCGACTTCTCAGCATCCCCAGGTGTCAAGCAGTTTTGGAATGGTGTGACCAAAACTGGCTCACTTCGTCTGCTTGGAAATCAATTTACGCCTTGCAAGCATTGCTTGACAGAGGAGGCACGCCTGAGATGATTGCCTGGTCCCTGGAAGGGATGGTGGATGGCGTCCGCATGTCTTTTCTAGATGGTGGACACTTTGTTATTAGCAAGCTGAAAGATTCAAGGGCCAGCTACATTGAAGTCCTCAAAATGAAGCGCAAAACTTTGTTGCATTTACTGAACACATGGCTGAATGACTTGAAGCTGGAGAAAAAATGGAAAGACAACATCAAGAGCTACTGCGGCTCCTATGAGATGTTGCGAAAGCATATTTCGCCATACCCTGATACGCAGGCTGATACGGCCTGGTTGCTGGGTTGCCCGCCAAGTGTTTCTGAAATTTGCGAGTTCCTGGATCAACTTGTCTTTGGATCCCACTATGACGCAAGATACAAGGATGCAATCAAGAGCAAACACGAGGTGGAAGATTTCTTGAATTACACAACTCTAAAGACCACCATGGAAACCATTGAAAAAATGACTCGCCAAGAGGACAAGCCCGAGGGACTCAATGGCGATGAAGAGCAGAAAGCAAGAACGGAAGAGGAAAGACAGGAAACAGAACTGGAGGCTGCTTCGGCCTCTGAGGCTGCTGCGGCCTCTGAAGCTGCTCCGGCTTCTGAAGAAGTGGAAGACAATGGTCTTAGTGAGGCAGACAAGGTCATGTGGAGACAGCACATGCGCAAGATCCTCAACCAGCATGTGCGATTTGTCGCCGATCACCGCACCAATGTGGAATTGGAAAGTGCCTTGAAAGAAACACCTTTCATGTCCTTGCGCGGAGATCAAACAGGAATGGCCCTCTTCCACTTTGATTTGAAAAAATATGGCGAGCCCACCACACGGCCAGACTTGAGAACCCCAACCTTTCGTGAAAACCTCTACACCCGGCTTGTCAAGAGCGTTCTTGCTGCGCGGCAAGACGCAATGGGCACTCCCAACCCCAACCTTCAGGCAGGGGAAGTTGCATTGATTTTCGATGCAGGAAAAAAAGGACTTATGAAAAAGTTGCTCAGCCCATGGAAAGAAGGAACAGCCAAAACCAAAGAGGAGGACGAAGAAGCGGAGGATGATGGAGAAGAAGATGCAGAAGAGGAAGATGACAAGCCGACCTTTTGCGTAGACACCCTGATGATTGGATATTCAGAGTCGTCGCTATCCGCACGAAAGAAGCGGCTCCGTGGAACTTGCACTCTGAAGCAGATGGAGTCATGTCACATTTTGTCATCCAAAAGGTTGTCCCTGCCAAGCCGTGACAGAAAGCACTACGCAGGTTCAACCACTGGCGACTTGATTTCCAACGTGCACATGCCTGCTTGGTCTTCTGAGTGGCAGCTGCCTTGGAAAGAAAAAAAGGAGCTTTTGGGGAAAAAACACATGATAGCTGTCGGAGGTAAGACACAAAACAAGGAGGAAGAGAAGCAGAACAGCAGATCCAGCAATGGCTTGGAGCCAGTTTGCTTTCACAGTCCACCCTATGAGCTCTGCGACGAGTTGATCCACGACTTTTTCGCGAAGATCATTATCGATCTGACACCTCTGGACGGCCGCATGGCTTGGGCTGCCTTGCGAAATCGGGTAGGGTATGTCGGAGTTGCCTTCAACCCGGAGCACCAACGCCTTCTTGAAGACCGGCTGCTTGCTTTGCTTGAAAAGGAAATGACAAACCCTGAGTCCAGCTTGTTTTCGTCAGCTTACAGTGAAGCCGTCGGCGGTGGCAGTGGTAAGGCACCTGTGAATCAGACCGCAAAACCGAAGGCAAAGGTAAAGGCAAAGGCCAAAGGCAAGGGAAAGGCCAAACCAAAGGCTAAAGCAAAATCCAAAGCCAAGCAATCAAAGGATGAGCAGGAGGAAGGCGAAGAGGAAAAGGACGACAATGACGAGGAAGACGACGACGTCTGGGATCCTTTGGGAGACGACGACGATGACAATGAAGAGGACTAATGGAGACAAGTGATGGGGCTGCCTCGGCCATAGACGAGACGACGTGGCTGCATCGGCCATATACCACGGCTGCATCGGCCGTGTGGCTGCCTCGGCCATAGGCGACCTCTATGTCGCACTTCGGACACATAGGCAGTTTTGATTGTGCCTTCCATGCGGGAAAAAAAAGCTGCTTTGAATTTCCCACAAACATGACATGGTTGAAAGGTAAAAAGTATGTATGTCGACTCTCTTAACTTAGGGGGATGTCATGTCCTGTTGTCAGTCGGTTTGTCTCATGTTTGCTGTACGTGTTCTGAAACATGCGGTTTCTCGCACGTTTAGGCTCTAGGCTTAAACTACAAATGACCGTTTCCATGCCAATGACAATGATGCCGCCGCCCAAACTTCCACGACGACGTGGCAATCCCAGTGTAGTCACTAAGCCTGATGCCAAAGTCATCCAAAGGGATCTTCTCAAAAGGTTCCATGTAGAAAAGCTGTACCAGAAGTACAGGCTGCTTCAAACCAGCACATGGCCATCGGCAAGCAAGCTTGCTTCCACTATCCGGATCGAAATTGTGAGAAGAAAAGGGGTTAAGTGGATGAATGAAAAAGAAAAACAATGCGATGAGAAGTAGCATGTTGGCTGCATCGGCCAAGCTATGGCTGCTTCGGCCAAGCTATGGCTGCTTCAGCACATGGCTGCTTCGGCCTATTCGAGTCTAATTCAAATGATTTCAAAATCTATGGGAACCAATCTTTAATTCACCTGTTTGTGGCTTGCACAAACCAAACTTGCTGTAGATATTTGGATTCCTCGTTTGTCCAAGAGGAAAAATGCGTGGACCGATGATTGAAGCTATTTTCTTGTCGTTGGAAGACATGACATTGTCACTGAAAGCACACACATGCATTAAAATTTGAGCGCACACAATCCGATATTTCACCCATGGAGACATTAGCAATCCTTTTGGTTACTGTTATATGCTTCCTTCTCCTTCATTCCTTTTAGAAACACTTTTTTAAAAGAAGCTGCCTACTCCACTTTTTTATTTTTATTTCTCGTTTCAGTAACTGTCTCGTGTAACTTTCTCGTGTAAGGGCAAATTTTTTTTGTAATACCGTAATGCCGCTAAGTGGAAGTAAGTAATTATAGATATGGTCCAGTAATGTCCAGTATCTACAGATAGTTTTCAGGTTTTCTATTGGAATTATCCAAATTAATTTCAGTACAAAACCATGCAAAACCTCTACGGTAACAGTAATTTTAATAGTAAGTAAATGTAAGTATCAACCTGGTATAAGACTTATAGCATTTACTTACTATTACAATGCTTACTAGCCATGTTACAACTTGGTATACTCTCAAGTCTAGCTGGATGGCAATAGAAAGCACTACTAGACTGACAGGATTGGCCTATCCAGTCCATCTGAGGCCTACATTCCCTTTCCCTTTCCTTATCAAAACTTTGTGGAAGTCGCTTGGCGAAAGGCTCGGAGGATGTCAGAGGAAAGTCTTCGCTAACATCGCTTGGCGTGATTCTGAATCTTTAATCACGCCTTGCGGAAAAAAATGTCTCGCAGCATTCTGAAGCTCCCATATTTGGTTAAACTGAAGGCAATTTACATAGTCTCAACTGCTGAATTCCAAAATCCTGTTTTTCCTGCGGGACCAAATTAAAAATGACTGATATAGAGGGCCCATGCGGCAGGTTTGAGTATGATTATGACGATCTCGGGGCTGGGTCCCGGAGAAACTGTTTCAACTCGATGGTTACACAAATAGCTGAAATAGCATGAAATAGCTAGAAAATGGCTAGATACCAAAAGTATTTGGTTGATCTTTGCCCCAACACATTGTGGCCCAGTCCCCATTTTGGTTGATTAGTATGCCGCATGCCTATGATGGTTGCTGAAGTCTCTGTTTAAGTAGCCTTCCCCCTGTTTTGTTGGTTTAACCACCATTTTGTCCCGGCCCCATAAATCACAATCACCGGAGGGACATAGTTCCACCGTTTATTGGTTATACTATGTTATACTTTTATCCAAAATCACTCACTATTTTTTGCCGCAGAGATGGGGCCATCCATTAAATCTTGCGGGGTTACTTCTGCCCAGAAACAGTGGTGAAAATCCACTTGATCCACTTGGTTGAAAAATCTACAGGGAAAAGGTTCCTATGATGTAAAACCAGTCTTTCCTACATGAAAAACACCTGAACATCGACGGATAAATGACACTTTTTCTCAGTACTTTTGGGCAATTTTGGGGGTTGCTAAAAAAAAGTCAGGTGATGCTGTGGCTCTTCACCCTGATGACCCCGGTGGTCATTAACGGCATCGTCTTCGAACAGATCTCAAGGTACATCCCGTCCCCAGGGTCGCCAGGGTGGGAGATGATGTGTGTGTGTGTGGATATTTACTGTATAATATATATATATATATAATTATATATATATATATCCATATGGAAACTAGTAAGGTTTTGATATCTATATTTGTTCGGATATTAATAGGGACTTTTGAACATTAGGGGAGTTTTGTAGCCAACCGACATTTAGTGGCTTTACCATCAGAAATTGGGAATGTCAAATGGGCGTTCCTATTCAATGAGAGACCCAACATCAGGTATTTAGGTATTTTCGATTCGGAGACCAATGGTTTTGTCGTACTCCATCCAGCTGCCCAAAGAGTACAATCAAAACGACTCTTGCTTATCCCGGGTCACGTGAACACATCTAAGCTTGGTTCCCGTCTGGTAATGTAAAATGGTATGGATTATCCCCCACTTTCTTCACATTAATGGTGATTAATGGTGATTAATGGTGATTAATGGTGATTAATACTGATTAATGGTGATTAATGGTGATTTCCCATTGTCACGATTGATTGCTGGATAGTAACAACGACAGTTGCTTGATTGGCGTTAACTTATTTGTCAATATGCATCATGAGAATCTTGAAATATCAACGAACTATCTCCAAATCAAATGTCCTTCCCTATTGTTTGTGGTTTGTTCTTGTTTTTTGTTAATATCCCTATGTTTCGAATGACATATAGATATAGGTTGCGAATGCGAAATGGAAAAACTATATTATATGAGCACCTCCCCAAACTAACATTAGTGCTTGTAAGAGTTTGATTGTCCTTAACTTATAAAAATCACCTGTATACATTATACTATACAGCAACATTCAGAAATCTTAAGGTAAACCACAATAAAACCCAACTCTTCGGCCGCGAGAACCGTGGGTTCCTTTTGCGTGGTCATGACCTATCACGCCATTAAGAACACCGGCGACGTCCTCGAGGAGCAGTTTTTGGGGGACCACAGATGCGCAGCAAGAGGGCTCAGCAACCAAGACAATTGGGTTTTGAACCAATAAAATGATGGTTTTATAGTTTAAAGCATGAAACATGGTGGTTTTACGGGATTTTAGCACCAAAACTGATCGTGTAATGGTGAGCTTGCCAAAAAACATGATTTAAGCAACAAACTTATTGTTGATTTCTCCAACAACGAGTGGACATCATGATCCATGGAATCCATGGTGAGATATATAATGAGATATAATAACCAACAATACAAAATAGAGGTTGTCTGAAAATTATGGATGCCCAGATTATGGTAAGGTCACTGTATCAATCTGAAGTGAGGAGCTAGGAGCTCATAGTATAGCCCACAATGTGTGCTTACGCATAACATTGCATTAGACTCGCAAATTATTTATAGCAAGGACTCCCGACATGGGAACCATAACCACTAGCCATTACAAACAAATTATATTCTCAGTGTGTATTTGTTCTTTCCAAGGGATGTTCCAGGCCCTGTGATATGAAATTTGGTGCCTGGCCCTGGCCCTTGTGACCCAAGCAGGTTCTCCATTCTTGGGATGGCCTGAAGCAGAATGCACTAATCGTTGATGGTAGACCCATGAAGTCATGCAAAGCTCAACAACCCATTCATTGATATTTGTTCTTCAAATTGCTTTTGATTTGGTTACAGTCAAAAGGAAAAACATATGTATTATATATATATATATGTATGCGTAATTATATATATTCTGGTATTATACATATATTATCATTGTATGATTTGTATGTATATATATTCTGGTATATATATATATATATTGACAGCAACAAAGGCTGCAAATACAACCAGCAAAGTGAGAATGTAACTGTAATCCATCACATGGCCAGGATCCATACCTGCCCTATGACCCCAATGCGACTGGGCAGCGATAGTGTTGGATGACCCAAGCATTCCTTCAGGTTTTCCGCGTGATGCATTTCAGATCCACGTTTGGGCCTTTTGGATCCTTTTGGCCTTTTTACGCCATTGGGACTTTTGATTTTTGGGATGTCTGGATGGGTCAAAACCTATTATATTATATACATATTTTGGGGTTGAACATACATGTTCCAGCGATGTGAAGACTGGAAACCATGCGCTGGCCCTAACTTGCAGCACCTTGAGCCCCCATGTAGTCGTTGATTGCTCCGCCATTTTGAGGTTGTTGTCTTATGAAGCTGTTGTTTTTTTTTCCGGTTTAAGAGATTGTTTAAGCTCTTTCTATCTTGGCTTCTGCAAGCATCCTCAAACCATCTAAATTCGCGCCAAGGACTTGCCGTTAGTGTCATTGCAGCACTCCATAAACACAAGGCGCGCCACTGACCATGCAGGCCCTAGCTGTTTTATGCCAGGTATGTGGGTATGAGCAACTTTTTATCCGTGGCTGCCTGGGATGAAGGGTGAATCAAGTTGGAATCTGTGGTTCTAGCGGGTTACAAGTATATAGTGACATAGTTGCTGTGAAATCAGAAGGTTGTAGCTAATTTTTGATCATAAGTCAAAATTACCCAAACATGCCCAAAAATCATGATGACATGTGGTCCAAGAATGAAACGAGCAATTTTAAGTGGGGCCATTGGTGTGTCGCCGTGCCATAGGCTTTTGGCCTTTGGAGTTGTTCCACAAGAAGAACCTGAAGGCGCATGTCCAAAATTCCACCAGGGGATTCCAGAAAATCACCTGGTTTGGCTCATGTCCTCCATGGAAAAATGGCTGTGCATTGTGGTTATAGCAAACCTCATTTCTGGGCAAAGCCATCTGGAAGGAAAATTCATGATGATCTCATCATCGAGCATTGCAATAGAAGTTTGTAAGACCAAGGATGGTCTTGAGATGAGTGTTTCGTTTTGTTAATAGTTCTTCAACCAACAGTACTTGAACCATTAATATAATCGTACTTTTGTTGACTGTAATATCTTCATGCATTCCCTTATCTACTTACTCACGTTTCAGCCTTTCATAGCGGACTGTGACTTCAAGAAACCATTATAACTTTGGTTGGATCATCAACCACGGATATGTTGATCTCATGCGCCATAACATAGAATTGCCATGTTCAATGTCATAGTTTTTATCGTTTTCCTTTTAAATTGTTGCTCTCTTTGGATTTGGGGATTTGGGGCGTCGATCCTTTGGTAAACGCAAAAGAACAGGATAGAATAGGAGGTACATCATCGAACTAGGGTCCCGGATCTTAGTGGGCCCTTATGTGTATAATTATATATAATATGCGTGGAATCAAGAAAGATATATACATTTTCATGTACGTCTATATATATATAGATAGAGTTATTGTAAATGCGGTAGCAACTCAACCAAAAACCCAAGGAAAGGTTCCCTGCCACACCACAACGCTGCTGCGACCTCACAGCTTTTTGTATGCACCACTGAAAGCGCTGTCACCCCAGCGTCTGTTGTATGGCCGGCCACGGCCTCCAAAAACTGTAGCACAAACCTATGGCTCCACCGGGAAAACACGTATCCCACCCTCCGCTGCACCTATGGGCTGCCCTGAGCCTGTGTTTTCTGCGGAGGTTCGCCGGTTGGCAAAACTGAGCTGAAGGCCTCTGGACAGACCCATGGATAGGCATGTTGGTGAAATGAGATCGTTCACATTCCCATTTATTCAATATTTTAATTGATTCGAGCTCATTTCACAGGCGGCTGATCGAAGCCACTTTAGTCTGTTTCGAGCATTTGCTCGATTTTTCAAAACTTCATCAGCATCGTGCAAACAGTAATGGCCCTGGCGAAGTGTTTCTCTGAGAAATTGTCCCTCCATGATCTTCGTTAATGCATCTGCAAGCTGAGCTCCCGAATGTACCCAGTGTAAACGTATGTTTTCAGAGAGTATATCCTTAATGGAACGAGCTACCAATTGGGTTCGGAATTCTTGACATGATGGCACTGCAGTTCTGGTTGTTAAATCATACAAGCTTTTGCAATCAGTTATCGCAAGGTCCTTGTCCTCGGCTTTCAGCGTCGGAACGGTCAAAGCTTCTGGAAGTGTCTTGACGGTCTCCGGCTTCTGCCATGCGATCTTAGGATCGATAAGCCAGGCCCAATAGACACGGATCCATGTGAGCTGATCCAGCGTAGATGAGAGGGCGGTTGCCTCTGCTGACAATGTGCTTGTCACTACTCGTTGGATTTTCTTAGTTCCCCATGACAAAGGACTGATTACGCAAGTTTGATTTTGAGAAATCTCTTTGTGGGTTGCCATGATAATCATTCCCGCATAGGATTCTGGTTTCACCTTGGATGCAAATGACGCATCTGAGAAAGCTAGGAACCTTAAATCATGGATATTGATGGGTTGTATTTTGATGGTCACATCATTATGTTTCTTTGCAGTGTGAAGGGTTTTATTGGCCATTATAAGGGTGGTCATTGTCGCGGTGTTAATCTGGGATTGCAATTGGCTGAGTGAGCTTGTGAGATCGGGTCTGGTGTGCACTGCTGCATACTGCAACGAGCCAATGAGGCCGCGCAATAAGTGCCGTTCTTCTTCGGTCACAGGTTCATTTTCTTGTGCTCTGCGTTCTGGCTTGATGCAAATGGGATTGATGTTTTTGACATATTGGGATTGTGATAATTCTATGCTGTTATCTGGATTCTGTTTGAGGTCAATTCCTGTGAAAGTGAACACCCGTGATTTCTTGGATCCGAATGGGTATTTGGATTCCAATTTGGAAACTTGCTCTTGGAAAAACTTGTCACCCCCGTAGATTCCGTCATCCACATGAATTCCGAGTACACCTGATAGTATCTGATCTTTGGGGTTCCTCAGGACAAACACACATGGATCGAACGGGCACGGCTTAAAACCAAGGTTTATGAGTTCTTCTTGCAGTGTCTGGAACCATAAGTACGGCGCATCGATGAGCCCGTACGCAGATTTGTCAAGCTTACAGATCTCGCCTGTCTTCAAACTCATTGCCTTGGCCAACTCCACAACCGGGTCAAGTCCTATGATACGATCCTTTTGGGGCTTTCCCTGGAGAAAGGCTGCTTTGATATCGAAAGAACCTAGGGACCAACCCATTGATGCAATCAATTGCAGGAGTATCATCTTTGATTGTTTACCAAGAGTGGGGCTGTCTCTGGGGACTTCTGTTAACTGGGGATCCATGTAGCCTAATACAACCAAACGTGCTTTGGGTTTATGAGATTGAAGCTTGCTACTTTTGGTTGCATGATCGCTACTTGGTTCATCCCTTGGTTTCCAAGTGAGAATCCAACGGCATCGTAGAATTTGCTCTGGTGCGAGCTTTGTCCGCAAAATCCTGGAGACTGTTCCAGTCTTCAGCCAATTTTGAACTTCTGATTCCTTGGCTTGTGCAAACGCCTTTTGTTCCTCACTGGTCAACATGGATAGCTTCACTTCGGTTCTCTGTTTCTTATCAGTTGTCGCTATCAAGAGATCATCAGGGGACCAAGTTGAACATTTTTCGGAATCAATCCAGCTGGGCATTTCGAGTTCACACCTCCAAGCGCAAGGGATCGCATTCGGGTCGATTGGCATGACTTCATCTTCACAACACAGGAGATGCGTTGTGACAAGGTCATCGTCACTGGTATCCTCTGGGACTGGTGTCTCAATGGCAGGATCATGTGGTTCATGAGACTGATTTCCCGTTTCAGGTTCAAAGTCAGGTTGATCTTGTGACTGGCTTTGATCATCTGGGTTGGACTGATGTTCACTGTTATCGGGGGGATTTACTGGTGGATTACTTGTAGGTGTACTTTCATTGGGAATAATCTCAGGCATGCTTGAGGTCTGAACGGTGTTTGGATTATTGATTATGTCTTCAAGTGGAATTTTCTGTGCTTCATCAGAACATACTGGTCGGACGTGTTCAAGTGCCCTGCGGTACAACTTTCCCCCTTGGGTGGCCCAGATTGAGTTACTTCCTTCTTGAGCAACAACCTTGAGGGGGCCGAACCAATGTCCTCCAGTGGGTTCTGGTTGCCATAACATTACCCACTCCCCAGGGTCATACGCATTTCTGTCCGGTCTGGACCGGCGCAAGCAAGCTCTCCGGAGGGCCTGGTCATTATCGGCCTCATGAAATGCCACACGCGCTCTTTCACGGAGCGCCAGACTTCTTCTGAATGCAATTCCATGAGCATCCTCACGGTCGGCACTGGCCAGCGATGACACGGTTTCACAACTGGTGATTGAACCTGGGACTTTGGAGTTCTTACCAAACACAAGGACTTCTGGTGAAAAACCTTTGCGAACACTGAGCTTGTTTTTGGCATGCGTGCATTGAACAAGAGCTTGCTGCAAGTCCACATATGTTTGGATTGGCATGTCATTGATCTATCTTATTGAGCATTGTTTGCAGGATATGTCCATGTCTTTCGCTGCGTCCATTCTGCCAATGTGCATGGGGAGCGGCTGTCACTGACTTCACGTCAAAACGCTGTAGGAATTCAGTGAAAAATTCACTTGTGAATTCGGTACCTGAGTCCGTGACAAGCACATTTGGTGGTCCGGCCCATTGAAACCAACTTTCTGACACACATTGAGCGGCTTGCTCTGCGGCACGATTTGGAGCAGGTGTTGCTACATGGAAATTTGTCGCTTGATCCAAGATGTGATAAAAATGGAAAGTTTTACCGGCTTTACTGGTCCATGTTATCCCATCAATAAACACCTTATCATTGAAATCAAGCTCATGCTTTAGAGTGCTTGGTCGGGCAATCTTCGGCTGTTGATGTGAAGCACAATTTTCACATTTCATGTCAAACACTGCTTGTGAGACTTCGGGCCTGACTCCTTGGTTCCGCAAAACCATGCTCAGTTGTTCAGGACTCGGGTGGCACAGATTTTGGTGTGCACGACGCAGCATCGCCTGCTCTTCGCGAGGCAAGGACAAGAACCTGTTGAGCTTGCCCTTCGATTCACCTAAGTCCATTTGGATTTGAGATCTGGACGACGAGATTTCGGTATCCCTGCTTGGGACCTGCTTATCCCCTTGAACATCTTCTTGAACATCTTCTGGTTTTCTGGGTTCAAGGACGTTTGGTGGCTCCGAAATCTCTGTCACTTGATCTTGGGAACTTGGTGGACTTTCCATCCGGGGCGGTGAATCACCTCCTGCTCTGGCGGCTTGTGGGTCTGGCTGACTGCCGGCCGGGCTTGGTGCTACTGCTACAGGATTGGCCGCGAAGACAGTTATATTCACTCGACATGGATACGATTTACGGATGATCTTCCTTTTGGAAAGTACATCATACTGTTCCCATTCATCAGTGATGATTTTTCCAGTGCTTCTCAGTTTCATGATTGATCTTCGGAAAGGAGCTTCTTTTGGGCTTATTTCTTTTGGTGGGGCCATAGTGCGTTCGGTCCCTTTGCAAGCTATTACCCCTTTGATGACCTTTTCAGGGAACATTTCTTGAATCCTTTGAATCACTTGTGGTTGTTCGATGGTTCTTTTCCCTACCCTAGGCAGCATGGGCTCGATGATACTGAGAATTTCAAGCAGTCCCCTCCGGGTTTCATCCCCTGGTTCATTAAGGGCATTTGGATTGTTCGGGGATTGGCTTATCTTCTTGAGTCTCCTGCGTTTCTCACTGGGTTGATCATCGAGTGACCTGTCTGCTGGCAGAGATTTGTGCTGTCGTGATTGAGACAGCCGGGCTTTCTTGGTCAAACGGGACTCCACGGCGAATGCACTGCTGATTTGAAACCATTGATCTAGAGCTACCAGAGCCTGATCGGCAATGTCACCTACTGGCACTTCTTGGGGAAAACTTCTTTTCACCAGGCACTTTGCAACCAGGCGTGCAAACTTCCGTGGATACCTTTCAGAAAATTCGGATCTCGCAATTCCATGGCCATGCACTCTGGTTGAACCTTCGATGGCCTGATGGTCATGCATTCCTGGGCATCTCAGTGGGTCAAGAAGCTGTTGCAATTGTCTGGAGGTGGTACGTATGTGCATTCCCTTTTTCATGGGCTTTCTGTTGAGTGGATCTTGGAGTCCACCTGCAGTGCACATGTCAGGTTTGGCACTAAGGGTGTATCTATCTAACTCATTTAGATACGGCAACAGAAACATGAGGGACCCCTTAGGTTGTTCCCAGTGTGCATGGCGTCTGCATCGATGCTGGTGTCGGAAAAGCACCAAGCATAGGGCTACTTGGCTGAGCATGTCCTTTCTTTCAGATTGAATCTTGTCCCACAGCTCTAGTGATTTCTGGCTATTCAAAAACGACCATTTGGACCACGGTTTGCAAGTTGGACTGACCCAGACATGCTTCGGCCGGTGGCGGCAGATGATTCCGAACAGCTTACTCCTACCCTCAGCATTCTGCAGATTGCCTTGGTTCAGGCCGAAACGGATGGCTTTGCCTCCAAGATGGTTTACCTGATCAGTCAGAGTGCTTTCTGGACTGCAAAAAACTTCCACGACATCAACTGGTGGTCCTATGATCTTGGTGTTTGTTTCTATGGCATGAAGTTCCTTTTCCATCATGGACACCAGGCTTTGGAAGTACCTACGTTCCTGATTACTCTGGCTTTCCATAAACTCATCTATCTCCCCGGCCATGAGCGCCCAGTTGCGATCATCTTCACTGAATCTCATGCTGTCCAGGGATCCTCCCATTCGGATGCCAGAGGGAGCACCGGGAGGTCGTCGTCCATAGTCGACGGCACTGGATCTGCTGGCACATTGGGCGTCAGGTGGACCAAGATCTGATGCAGCGCATGCTCGAGGCTGGTCATTCGAGCTTGCAGGCTGCTCATCTCGGCATTGACTGGCTCTTCGGGACATGCATCTGGGTGAGGCGCTGGGCGGCTCTTTGTGGAAGCTGCCAAGATCTTCGGAGCGGCCTTGGCTTTGGCCTTCACTGGGGCTGGTTGTGGAACTTCTCCCCCGCTGGTCTCGGTCTCCTCGATCCTGAGCTTGATGAATCGAATCATCTTCTTGTGTTCCACATCTTTGCTTTCCTGATAATGCCCCAGGAACCAGCGAATCCAGTCCGGTGCCGATTCCCAGACTTCTGCATATGACTTCCCCTGATGGGCCTTCCCGAATCGCACCCTCTCTGTCAGAAGCATCTCGAGAGTCATGTGGTCGATGTCCTCGGTCTCCGGACGTGGCATCTCCGCTTGCACACGCTGGAGACGTTTTGTCCAGTCGCTCATGGTTCAGTAGCGATCTGGCGGATGCTTCACGGTGGGCTGACGTTTGAGATTCAGGGCTCACGGTCTTGGTTTCTGATCTTTCCGGTGATCCATGGTCCCTTGACATGCCCTTTGGGGATTCCGTTTGTTTTGTCATTTCACATTGAGGTGTTTCATGGAGAACTGGCTGTGATGCTGGAAAACTTTTCTCATGGTCATGTTTGGTATTGGATCCTGTTGATGGAGACGGTGAAAACTCAACTGCCTGACCTGCCTTGGAACATGTGTTTGTGAACATCTCGGAACCTGCAACTGACGCTGACTGGCTCACGTTTTCAGAGGATTCCTGGGCAAAAGTCTCGGCTGTCTGATTGGAGCCTTTCTTCGGAGAAGACACTTCAAACAACAAGTTCATGTCGACTAGATACAACCCCTTGCTGGATAACTTCAGTGGTATGTGTTGTCCATGTTTTGGAAGGATCAACTGATTGGCACTTGTATCTACCATGGCTTCCAAGGCTCTCAAAAGCGTATTCGACACCAGAAAAGGTGTGGCTCCTGGAACTATTGCGATCTTGAGATCGAAACCACACACTGGCACCACCATCGCATGTTCGGATTTGAGAGTACCTTGATTTCCAAACCGAAAGGTAACATCACAGGAACACCTGCGAATCTGTTTTCGGATGTCGACAGGAACATTTCGTAAAAAACCTGGTACGAAATCACTACCCATCACAGTCTTTGTGGCACCAGTGTCAAGGATACCCCAAGTGTCGTGGGTGGCAAAAAGTACCTCGGAGGTGTCATGCGAGGCATCAGGCATTGGGCTCTTCGGCTCAGATACCTTCGGTGCATGATTTCTGTCCAAAATGGACTGGCTGACAAACGGGCTTTGAGGCCACTTCGAACACTTGGTCTGCGGACCCGGCATACTGTACACGGATGCATTTTGGTTCACTGCAGACCGATCAGGTGCTGAGGCAAGGCGGCTCTCAATCCTGCTCACCAAGGATGCAACTCTGGAATTATTACCCTGATTACCCTTAATCCGGCTCCTAATTCGTTCCCTTACATCCCTCATGTTTATAGGATTTCCCTGGCTTGGACTTTCACCTGTGACATTGAACAAAACTGACTGTACAAAACTCAATGCATGTGTTCGGATGTTGTCCTGTGCAGGCGGATGGACTTCAGGAAGGTTCATGAACTCCGCAGTCATGACATCACTGGCAGCAGAAGATGCGACACCCATTGAGAGAGTTACAGGGACCGTCGAGGCTGATGTGCTTGACATAGACTGGCCACGATTCGGACACTCGCTCTTCCAATGGCCTTTTCGGCCGCAGATCCTACAGTTGCTCTCTAAGATGCGCTGCTGCAGAGTTTTCCGGCTGGTCCAAGGATTTTTCCCTTTGGACTTGCCCTTGAAGCCCTTGGATTTCCCCTTGTTGGAGATTGGCCAGAATCCCCTGGCTCGATACTTCTCACTCAGCTTCCGACGTGCTTCCATGTAAGTCGAAAACGCTGCTGCCAGATCTTCATCCGACTGTACAACTTCCGTGGCAGCAGTCTCAAAATCTGCCACGAACACTGCGTCCTCGTCGCCCTCCTGGGCCAAACTTTCGATATAGTCCTCTTCAGCGACATCTTCATGACCTGTAACATGTGCGGAATCTTCGTGGTCACCTGACTGTTCCACATCCTCTGCAACAAGGAGGGTCTGGTCGTACACCTTCGCCTTGACCCCTTTCTTGTTGGCACCTGTCATCTCCTGAAAAAAGGATGTGCCTAACATTCGAATGGACTCCGTCACCTTGACCATGGTCAATTTCCCTTCCAGTGAATTGTCGCTATCAATGATGACCCGTTTTTTGTCTTCACTTGACAGCTGAGCTCCCCTAAGGGTCACATACGCCTGAAGATCTTCGAAAGTCAGCTTCTGTGCCAAGAGGCGCGTCCAGAGAACATCAGCACGAGCTAAATAGCTATCATGGCTTTCGTCCCCAAGCTGAGAACACTGATACAAGGCCTTCTCTGCATCAGCATATCTACGTTCCAACCCAGTCTTTCCCCAGTGACCACCAAGAAGCTCGATCAACCTTTTAACCCCCTTCTCCTCATTGACACACAACTCCGCATGATGCAGTTGCAACTTGGAGAATGCGGTTCCTGTTGTATTCAAGATCAGTCGGGTGATCAACTCTGAAAGCTTCGATGGCGGCCAAACTGCAAGCACGAGTTGGACCTTCTGCTGGTACAGTTGCAAATCGTCTTTACTTGGATCAAAGCTAGGTACCAAGTATGCCAGTTGGGTGGATATGGTTCCTCCCACCGTCTCGGATGCTTCAGTGCCTGAGGCTCCATCACTGCCTGGCGGCATGGTATCGGTCTCACCTGCTGATCCTGGCAGCAAGCTAAACTGTCAGCTTTGCACCAAGGTAGCTTCCTGGATACTCCCGACGGCTGTCGGGAGCTCCGCTACCAATGTAAATGCGGTAGCAACTCAACCAAAAACCCAAGGAAAGGTTCCCTGCCACACCACAACGCTGCTGCGACCTCACAGCTTTTTGTATGCACCACTGAAAGCGCTGTCACCCCAGCGTCTGTTGTATGGCCGGCCACGGCCTCCAAAAACTGTAGCACAAACCTATGGCTCCACCGGGAAAACACGTATCCCACCCTCCGCTGCACCTATGGGCTGCCCTGAGCCTGTGTTTTCTGCGGAGGTTCGCCGGTTGGCAAAACTGAGCTGAAGGCCTCTGGACAGACCCATGGATAGGCATGTTGGTGAAATGAGATCGTTCACAAGTTATATATATATGTTACATTGTATGTAAATACATACATACATACCATACCATACCATACCATACCATACCATACCATACACATACCATACATACCATACATACCACACATACCACACATACCACACATACCACACATACCACACATACCACACATACCACACATACCACACATACCACACATACCATACACATACATACATACCATACATACCATACATACCATACATACCATACATACCATACATACCATACATACCATACATACCATACATACCATACATACCATACATACCATACATACCATACATACCATACATACCATACATACCATACATACCATACATACCATACATACCATACATACCATACATACCATACATACCATACATACCATACATACCATACATACCATACATACCATACATACCATACATACCATACATACCATACATACCATACATACCATACATACCATACATACCATACATACCATACATACCATACATACCATACATACCATACATACCATACATACCATACATACCATACATACCATACATACCATACATACCATACATACCATACATACCATACATACCATACATACCATACATACCATACATACCATACATACCATACATACCATACATACCATACATACCATACATACCATACATACCATACATACCATACATACCATACATACCATACATACCATACATACCATACATACCATACATACCATACATACCATACATACCATACATGCCATACATGCCATACATGCATACATACCATACATGCATACATGCATACATGCATACATGCATACATGCATACATACATACATACATACATATATATACACTGTTGGGTTTGGAATAAGGATATGCATTATATTTGACATAGGGTGTAAACTAGTTCATACATTCCCATCATGGTACTTTCACAACAAACATAGTGATGCTGATGTTAATGTATATCCACACAAGGTGCAATGCATATATCATATATATATATATCTATTTATGTACATACGTACATGGAGGGATGTAAGGCACCAAACTCCTTTGGCCATAGAGGCATCGCCGGCATCGCATGTTTTTTGCATAGGAAAATAAATCACCCTTTCAGGCGAAGCACCTCAGAACAAGACTGAAAGAAATGTCCAGGCTTTGGAGGGATGCGTTGGACGCTTTCGTGATCTGCAACGAAATTGCTGGGGAAAAAACAACACAAATCGACAAATACTATAGTTAGGGGTATTCAACCAGCAAACATCAGAATTGGACCTTGCTTAGGTGAGCTTTTAACAGGTTTCAACCAACAATAAACTCAACTGGTGATTTAACCAGCAATAAATTGCGTTCGAACTAACAAAGCAACAATCAATGAGAATGTGTCAACATTTTAGACCAAGGGGATCGCAGATTCTGCTCATTCAGGTTTAACCATCCAATTCTAGGGGTATCCTCATGATATTTAATTTTGACCCGTACCCAAATTTTGGTTTAAGACATGTGACTCGTATGACATATGGGTTTGTTAACAACTAAACATGCCGCAAAATATAATGTTTTTTAATTGTGATTTCTCTGGACTTTTCCCTGGGTTCCCATGGGACACTTCGCCACTCATCCCCAACGGTCAGAGGAGAAGCCGGAGAAAGCCGCTCAGGTGCGGCTCATAACCAGTGGGATATTTGGAGAGCTGTCATCGGGATAGGTCAAATAATTTGGGAAACAACTGGGATATCATAACTCAATATAACTCAACGATACTCAACGATGAGTGGGACATTTCAATATAGCCCATTTGTTTTTTTTGATTTTTTTGGGTTATTGTCACATTTACGAACCACTTGACAGTTGAGATGCCGCCCCAAGTAGTCACGTCGATGAGTCAGCGCATGTAGTCCTGGAAGAAAGGTATTCTGTCGGAGTCCAAACTATGCAACGATTTGGTGTGAACAAAACTGTACATACACACAATTATGTATATATATATATATGTATACATTACATATAATATATATATATATACATATACCTATATATATATCATATATATATATGCAATATGTCTATACAAATAGACACACACACATACACATATATGATCTAATATATGTGTGAAGGTGAAAATAAAGAAAGTATATCAGAACATCACATGACGAAGTCCGTGACATCCGTGAGGAAACGGTTCAAC